AGGACCACCCCGACCGACTAGCATCGCAGCACGAGCTAGCCGGAGCATATCAGGCGAATGGGCAGGTGCAGGAGGCGGTAAGACTGCTAGAAGAGATAGTACGCATTCGAGGGCAGACGCTGACGGAGGACCATCCCGATCGACTGACGTCGCTGCACAGCCTGGCAGGTGTATACCGAGCTAATGGGCAGACCGAGGAAGCTGTTTCACTGATGCGGCACGTGATCAAAATTCGAACACAGAGTTTGACGAATGAATGTTTTACCCAATCGGTTGGGAATCTGATGGAAGATGATCAGAGTGACGGCAATTTGACGGAAATTTCTTCGGGACCGCCCTCCTTAACCAGCGATTCAACAGTCGATTCTATAAGGGATGGATACGACCAGGTGGTAGAACATCTTGTTGAACTTTTCTGCTCCGATGGAAATATTGGGCCAATCTACCGTCAAGCTGCCAAAAAATTAGGATTGCGAAAATTCAGCCAGAATCACGATCAATTACTGAAGCTTTATTTCAGGGGATTGAGACACGAAGTCAAAAATGGGACTGAATTGGCAACTACACGTCTACTGCGCACTAGGCACTATCGAAACGAGATCACTTCTCTTATTCTAACGTCCTTGGAGCTGTTGGAAGATGGCCAGGGTCGACTTACACCGGTAATTTTGGCAGAACGCAAAACAGAACGCAACTACAGCTTGAATCAATTCCTCCGCAGTCTCACCATTCCCAACTCTGACGACAACCATGAGAAGCCGCCTGGTGGTATAGATATTTGCGAAGACATCGTTTCCGAGAGCGACGGATCATCTACTGAGTCTGAAGATGAATCTTCAGGCGACAACCAATCCCCATTACAGGCCATTGACAGTTTCCTGACCGGTGGCAGGGCCTTCAACCAGCTAACGATTAACCTTACGAGCCTCCTACGGCCTCCTCACACCCTGGAAGATGCGCTGCAATCCGAGAGTGAATTTGTTGTTAAGCAAAGCATAGCTCGGATCATAGAAGGTCAGCCAAGCAAAGACCAAGAGACAATTCTCGGCCTCCGCAAACAGAACCTATCAGATACCGAAATCGCAAGAGTTTTGCTCGGAAATGCACTGGCCCTGCCACGTGAGATCGCAGAAAAAGATCAGAAACCTACGCTAGCAGAAAACACCGTGACAGCTGATGCCGACATGCTGAAACATGATACTACATTCACTAATGAAAAAAAACCGATCAGCCAAACAGCGGTTACGAAGTCGAAATTGGACAACCTGACAGAAAGCCGAGTATCACAAGTACACAACGAACCCTGTCTTGTCACATGGACTTGTTCTTGTGGAATGCAACTTTGCGACTACTATACAGAGCTAGTTCCTGGAAGCTTGGAGCAGCTGCAACAGCGTCTACGGAGTGAGCATTCTCAAACGTCAGCTCCTTGGACCATTCTTTGGAGTGGCCTGTCCACTTGGGCTGCCTCGAGATCGCCTGCGACGGACGCCAATCAAAAAGTTCACGACAAAACGTCATCCACAAACCCATCAGCCCAGGCAACCCAAGCAAGGACACTGAGTAATCCTAGCATGTCGAGAATTGCCGACGCAAGTACTCCTTTCGGATCTCAGGGACCCTCTACATCGGGTGGCACTTTGATCAATACCCGGCCGGATCAGCGAGAATCTATGGTATCCTATCTCCTCCTCTGTTTCCCCGAGGGATTGTCCGGTGTGAAACTGTGTCAACAACAAATCTTGAACACGGCACCACAGCAAGATCTCCCAAACCGAGTCACAAACGACAAGCAACTCTTTCACCTTTTGCGCAAGACGTATGCCTCGGAGAGGAGAGCCTTCATGTACAGATTCTGGCCTAAGACAGTCATCAGGGTATCACTAGCCTACTTTCTTGTTGACCTGTCCGAGTATGTGGAGCTGAAACATTACGCATGCCACGCAGGCGGAGACAATTGTCGGTGCATTCCACCACCGGATATGATAAGACCATCAAACAACGCTCAGTACGACTGCATACCCAGAGAGCCACGGGTAAAACCACCTATTGGTCCGAACTATCTTACCCATTACTTCCAGAATCCGCATTGCATTAAAAGCGACAAGCTTGTATGCACACTAAATCAAGTCCCTAAACGTGTAGGACCATGTATGGCAACATCTGGGACCGAGAGAGTGGAAGGGTGGGGTATAGAGTTCGAAGAAGGTTGGGATCGTGGCCGGCTTAGAAACTTTATCTTCGGCCTCATTACAGTCGGGAGTTTGATCTTCGCAATATTATGGTCGGCCTTGAAGAAAGACACACAAAGCGCTTTTGGCATTTCTGGATTCATCGTTGGTATTCTAGCAATTGTCAGCGGATACATCGCGTCTGCGGAACCAAGAATAGTCCATAAATGATGACGACATCTCGTTGCTGCTTTTTCACCGGCCGTCGCATATTGGGCGAATGGACAGTTGAAGGAGGCGATGCGGCTACAGGAGGAGGTGGTGCGGATCAATGGGCAGACGCTCGTCCGACCGATCTTTCGCTCCACAAAGCGGACACGTCTTCATTTACGAAGACAAAGCATCTAGCATTCGGCTCTGGACTGACGGGTGGCACTGCAGCTCGAGTCGCATCTTGGGCGACTTTCTCATCTACGGCGAGCGATCAGCTTCGCCGAGTCGACCGCGCGCTGGAGGGACTGACCACTAACCACTGCTGGAAGATGATGGTTCAGCAGAGCGGCACCGGCACCAGCAGCTTTGTGATCCGTTGGCGAAATCGTTCAACCCCGCAACCTGGTCAAGAAGACAATCAGTATCAAAGACCTGGATGGCTCGGGCGCCACGTGGCACTTGATCCCTTACTTCCGACCTGTCGATGTTCTGGAAGGCCGGCTAAACCCCCCACGGATGAGCCCGGACTCTGTTCTGCAACGCTGGTATTCACCAAGATATCCCGTACGAGATGACAACAAATCACATGGCGCACAAGTCGAGAAGTATGGTGCGCTGCCCATGATGGACCCATGGAATGATTCGCGGTTCACTGTGCACTGTGTTCAGCCAGTCTGGCCTGTATCGGAAGGCACTCAATATGACCAGGCCAATGCCTGCCAGGATCCGGTTTCAGCGGTTGGAGTTGTCGAAAGTGGCGCCCCGTTCTGGCCGCCTGGAGGCCAGCTGGAGCCATACAGCATGGGCGTCCTTAACGACAGCTCGGTTTGATCGTGCTCCAATCCAGATCTAGGGATGAAAAGACACTAAAGTTGGATGACAAGAAAGACGCATCGACGGACGTTGGGATTGAGGGAACGAAAGGGGGAGAGGCTTTGCCTCGATTCGGACGACGGCACAATTCAAACGATGTTCGAGCCAGATACAGTAGGCAGTTGTACTGTAAGTTCGGTGGCCAGAACCAAGCCAGTTTCGAGATTGCATGGTGTCGAGACTCCTGGATGGCGCATACTGCTTTGTCCGACGGGATCCGAAAAGGGTTTTGAGTATGGTCCCGAAAAGGGTCCCCGCAAAGATCCTTTTTTGTTCCGGAAGCCCAAAATTGGGTCCTTGTCGTTGCATGTTTGGACCTCTATGATTAGAAACCGTTCAATGTAAAAATAGCCTCCGCGGGTCGGGATTGAGAGTGCGTCGACTTGTCCATGCCACATCGTCCCTCAACCTTGATGAGTTGAAGTCCAGTCAACCACGTCTCGCTAGCGGCAGTTCAGCTCCGGCCGTCCTACAGCTCGGTGGTCGGCCGATGATAGTTCATGAGGGTCACGCCGATCCCGCCAAGCCAAACTCAGTCTGGCGACGGTGCACTTGCACTTGCACGCTTATCGTTGATCACGCATCGACATCTGGCGAGCTGCCAGACTTACCATCCAGCTCCCGGTCATCGCGCACGATTTTGTCTTATAGGAACAAGCATTCAATGCACCAACGAGCAGACTCTCGAACTCGCTGTTACTGGCCCACTTTATCCTTTAAATGAACTTTGTGGCCATCCGCTCATTTCCGTTGCGGGCACCATGCCATGGATACTGTCGATCCCATATCGTTTGCTTTGGCCATCCGCAATGATGCCCCTCAAGCTAATTCCTACGCCAGTCTCTCTGCGTCTCACAACATTCCCGTCGCGACCTTGTGGCGTCGCAGCCACGGCCGACCCTCAAAAATGGACCAGGCGGCGAAACAGCAGTACCTAACCCCTCAAGAAGAGAAAGCTCTGCTTCGTTACGTCCTCCGCATGTCGTCGAACGGCTATCCTCTCCCTGTTCGAGCACTGCGTTCGCTTGCTTTTGTGATTGCCCGTCAACGCTCTTCCGTATTCCCCATCGCGACCGACACTGACGCACTGAAACTACCCGGGAAGAATTGGCCGCAAGGGTTCTATGCCCGGCATCCCGAGCTCAAATCCAAAAGGATGAAAGCGCTAGATTGGGCGAGACATGAACACCATATATTCCACAAGGCAACACACTGGTTTGACATCATGGGACAAGAACTGCAGAGGCCCGAGATCCTCGCCGAAAACACGTACAACATGGATGAAACAGGCGTGTTATTGAGCGTACTCAGCTCGTTGAAAGTCCTGGTAAGCAAGGCTGATCTTCGACAGGGCCGGGGAGCCGGTGTCAAGCGCACCCTGGTGACAGCTATTGAGTGCATATCCGCCGATGGTCGTTCGTTGGCCCCGCTGATCATCTGGCCGGCGACGACGCACCGGAGCAATTGGACCACATACCCGACGCCTGGTTGGCACTACGCCGCATCCAAGAGCGGATACACTGATAACGAGATCAGCATGTATTGGATCAAACATGTATTTGACCCCCAGACGCTACATCTCGCTCAGCATCGACCACGTGTCCTGATCAATGATGGATTCGCAACCCATGAATCCCTAGAACTCATCACCTATTGTTTTGAGAATAATATCATTCTCTGCCGTCTGCCTTCGCACACGTCCCACAAGCTGCAACCGTGTGACGTGGGTGTATTTGGACCCCTGAAATCGGCTTACCGTGAACAGGTCGAGCGGTTGTACCGTGGCGGTGCCAACACGGTTGGGAAGGAACATTTTACTGCTCTGTACAGTCGAGCTCGCGACCAGGCTCTGACGTCCCGAAATATCAAAGCCGGTTGGTCGAAAGCGGGCCTTGTCCCCTTCAACCCTACCCGGGTTCTGCAAGACCTGCAGCCGCCCAATGAGAGTTCTAGGTGCAACCAAATTGAACCGATTCAGACAGATGTTCCGCTCAGCAATATTCCTTTAACCACGCCTGTCACCGCCCAGAATATGGCTTCTTTGAGACAGAAGCTGGAAGAAGAAACACAGTCCCTGGGGGGAGACTGCAAATTTCGTCTGCAAAAGGCATTCAATGCTGCCGAAAAGCTTTTCGCCGAGCGTGCAATTCTAGCGGAAGAGAATCGATTGCTGTTTGAGCAGAACAATGAGAAAGTGTCTCGCGCGTCCGTCAGAAGCACGGTGGTCGGTAATGCCAAAATCATGAGCTATGCTGATATCGTAGAAGCACAAAGAAAACGTGACGCCAAAGACACAGCATCTCAGAAACCATCGCCACCCGATCGGACAAGTCATCAACCAGTGAGATCAATTGCCAGAGACGACACCGTAAAGACAGAGATGGACAAGGGACAGCAAGAAATTGAGGCTTTGGGATTGACAAGTTTCTGCTCTATCCTCTATTTTTCATAGTCACTAGCCCTGTGTGAGAGATTGTTCTTGGGAGTTGACCATCTTTGGTGTCGCTAATTGTAGCCTAGGTTTGGACTATCACTGTAGCTAGTGTAGTTAGGAGTACTCTATATTGTCATAGTCTTTTACGTCTGGTGATTCACCACTTGAATCGCATGGTCGTCGCAGCGGTGTGCTTTGTCTATACTGAGAGAATGTCTTCGTGCCACGTGCAGAGAGACACAAGTCCCTTTAATAATCATCAGATAAATCAGCCAGTAAGTCCGTACTAAGTATCAGTTGTGCCATCCTTAAAAAGTTCCAGCCATTCCTCAGAGGCTATGCGATCAGGATGATCTTTATCAAGCACTCGTCGGTGGATCTTCACGACATGCCTCATCATCTCCAACGCTGTAGCATGCTGGCCACGATCCCAAAACACAATAGCCAGATTGTGCTGCGATGCCAGTCGAGAGGGATGATCCTCTGCCAGCGTCTGCCCGCAAATCCGCACCACCTCCTCCAGTAACCGCACCGCCTCATTCACCTGTCCATTCGCTCGATATGCTCCCACCAGCTCGTGCTGCGACGCCAGTTGATCCGGATGATCCTCTGCCAGCGTCTGCCCTCGAATCCGCACCACCTCCTCTAGCAGCCGCACCGCCTCCTTCACCTGTCCATTCGCCTTATATGCTCTTGCCAGCTCGTGCTGCGACGCCAGTCGAGAGGGACGATCCTCTGTCAGTGTCTGCGCTTTGATCCGTACCACCTCCTCCAGTAGCTGTACTGCTTCGTTCACTTGTTCATTCGCCAGATATACTCCCGCCAGCTCGTGCTGCGACGCCAGTCGATCCGGATGATCCTCTGCCAGCGTCTGCCCGTGAATTTGTACTACCTCCTCCAGTAACCGTATCGCCTCATTGATCTGTCCATTCGCCTCATATACTCCCGCCAGCTCGTGCTGCGACGCCAGTCGATCCAGATGATCCTCCGCGAGCGTCTGCGCATTAATCCGCACCACCTCCTCTAGTAGCTGCATCGCCTCATTGATCTGTCCATTCGCCTCATATGCTCTTGCCAGCCCATGCTGTGATGCTAGTCGATCTGGATGATCCTTTGCGAGTGTCTGCGCTTCAATTCGCACCACCTCCTCCAGCAACCGCAACGCCTCCTTTACCTGTCCATTCGCCCGATATACCTGCGCTAGCTCGTGCTGCGACGCCAGTCGATCGGGATGGTCCTCATCAAGGTGCTCCCTTCGCCAGTTATAACACTCTTGGAGATGTCGTACCGCTTCCTTAATGCGACCATCAACTTGTAGACACTGCCCTACCTTCATACACAGATCATATCGCTCCCCTAAGTCGACCGTATCGTCCCGCTGGAGGAGACGAAGCGCGTGCGGTAGGTACTCCCGCCACCGATCTCGCTGGCTGTAGTCACTTGATGGGAACACGCTCGTCACATGCTGGACGGCACTCTCCTCCACCCGACCCGCGACCCCCTCTCCTCGAACCCAAATCCGCGTGGCCAAGAGCACCAGGCTGTGCATGTCGAACGTGTCTGTGTTTCCCCGCCGCACCACGAATGCGTATGCATCCAACGTCCCGATGGCAAACACCATTGCTTCTTCGGACGGAAAGAGAGGCAGAATGGACTGTGGAACAGCCTTGGGGTCGATGCACGAGAGGAACGTCAACAGGTCAGCGGCCGCAGGGTCGGATTGTCGAATCTGATGGAACGATACCAGCCACGTCGTGGCCACGGTATGTCGTGACCCTCTGGGTCGAGTGGAATCGTGGAACTCTCGACTCATCAGTCCCACCACGTCCTGATCCGTTTTGCCGATCAGTTCCACGTATTTGCGAATGGGTACTCCGGTCGTGTTGATATATGCTGCCGCCTGCGTAATGGCTAGAGGAAGATAGGTCAGCTCGCAGAGCAAGTCCGCCACTCCCTCCTTGTCGCGGAGGAGGTCTTTTCGAAATATCCACTTCTCCAGTAAGCGCTCCGCCTCGGGGGGACTCATCTCTACTAATTCGACCATCTCGCCTCCAACGGCCGCGGCTACCCTCCTAAAGCGGGTCGTAAATAAGATCCGGCCATAGTCGGTCTCTGGCAGGTATTGAAAGATCCCGTCGGGGTTCTCAGAAGAGCCAAACATGACGTCCATGTCATCCGCATTGTCCACCACGAGCAGCCACTTTCCACTTTCGTCGGACTCGAGCGACCGTCGGACAGACTCCCGGAGATCTTCGTCTTCTGAGCTCTTTCGCACAAATAGCTTCTTCGATATCTCGGTGTAGGCTTGTTCAAAGCTCGCGCCGCTCATGGCCGATACCCAGAACACGGAGTAGTCCAGCTTATTCTCTTTCGTCCAGAAGGCGATGCGGGAAGCCACCTGGGTTTTCCCACACCACCCAATCCCACAAGCGAGACTTTGTGGCCGCCATCGGATGCGAATAGTTGCTGGCGGAGCTCGCTTACCACCCCCCGGTCCACGAAGCGCTTGTTCCGTGGGAGGGGGATATAATAGCAGGGAAGGACCGTACGACCTAGATCTATGCGTGAGCGCGAGTCAATTCCATATCGGATAGGCCTTTATACTTGACTGGTTTCGAGTACGCTGAATGATGTATTCCTAGCTAGACTTAGCATTCACTCGCTAATAGCAAGATTCCGCTCACCTCGACTTCACCCACCAAGGAATTCTCCGTCTTTCCTACCACGAAGCGTCAGCTGCAGAACGGCCGCTAGCTATGCGAAATCTTCCAGGTACACACTCTGCTTCTGCTTCAAATTCGCCACGCAGTGCCGCACGCGGGAGATCTGATGGTCGTCCAGGTACTGATGCGTTGCCGCCTCGATCCGACCTTGCTCTTTGTACTCGGCCAAGCCGATATCCTGGAGTCCCTGCTCGACATTGAGACGGAAATATCGATTCTGGTCCAAGTGCTGCCGCCACCGGCCCACAAACCTTTTGGCGGTTTCCTCGGTCTCCGTTGTGATTTGGACCAACGTCTGCGACAAGAACTTCAGTAAATTATCTTCAACCGCTTTCTTGCCCGGATTCCCCGTTCCGATCGAGATGAAGCACTTCACTAGCGGTTTGACGTTGCCGGATTCAGCACACCAAATGTCGGCCGCTTCTCCTTCCACCTCTTCCACCGGATTGTTTACCCCCAACGCGCCATCCACGAACTGTCGGGCTCCAATCGAGACGGAATCGAAGAAGCCGGTGGCAGCGGACGTAGCGAGGGCGGCTTCACTGATAGTAGCCGGCACGTTCGGTTTTTGGGGAAGGTCATAGCTTCGGAGACGTGTAATTCCGTATAGATCCTTCGCCGCGGTACAGACGAACCTAGATGACCGTTGAGTACATAGTATAATCAGTCTTCTTATGCGTTTATGCGTACACTTTACATCCGCGCGGTTTCTCGTTATTAAATGGTTCCGTCGGAGAGTAACCCTGGCGCGTGATGACGTCGTCGATGACGGCCTTGAGTTTGTTGCTGTCGAATCGTGATTGAACTTGTCCTGACCAGCTGAACGGTATGCGGTGCGCCCTCTCTTCCAATACAGCCTTAGTCAGTCGGGTATAGGCGGCAATGCACTCGTCCACGTCCATCTCGAGCCGGCCGAGCATGATGGTGATCAAGCTGCCGCATTGAGTGTCAGCACACAAGCCACGATGAACGAGGGCGCGTGTCCTACGTACCCGCCGGTGCTGGTCCCGCCGATAAGATCGAACAATTCGCATGGCTTGAGCGCGGGAGCTCCGGTCTTCTGGCGTTCGTGATTCAGCTGGGTCATGAGGCTCTTGAGGATGTGGAGGGTCGATAGACCACGCACTCCCCCGCCGTCGAGCGACAGCAGGCAGAGCCCGGTGTAGTCAACCGGGTTGGACGGAGGCCCCGTCGCTCGTTCGGCGGAGGTCGCTTGCTGCATGAGGTCGGCCGACGCTGGGAGATATGGGAAGGTAGTCTAGTAGAAAGATAGAGTAAAGAAGGAAGACGGATAGAGAGCGCATCTGAGGCTGATGCCTGCGCTTGAAGGTATCTGCGCACAGCATTGTGAAGGGCGCTCGATCAGGCTGAATGTGTATCTCTCGACAGCGCATCTGGGCTATGTGAGCCAGCGGGCGCGTACATGGCGAATGGCAGGGGGTAGCACGTGGACTAGGTGCGGCGCATGAAGGGCTACACCGCCCCAGCCATTGTGGCAGTATGGCGGGCGAGTGCATATGGATTGGTCAGTTGATTACAGCGAAGCAGTGAACCACTTTCAAATGACAAGCGGTCAAAGCAGAAATCGTAGCATATTGCCCACCGTCCGGACGCTGCCTCGCATGTTGTGGTACCGTAATGATCCTGTCCCGCGGTTCGTGCCAAGCTACTGCCTTTGTACGCGGATCTTTGCCGCGGGTCCACTTTTGTGCATAACGATCTCTATGAGATAGGCCGCGTCGTGCGTATGCACGAGCGACGAAGCGAGACTATCTCAGATGTATACAGGGTGTGAGAGAGGGGGCACAGTAGTCCGTGGGCGCAATTATACCAAGGGAGGTCGGAAATATCACTCTCGCCGAAGCGCCGGCACGGTAGACTGCAAAAAGCTCACATGCATTTTCTGCGTGTTATGGGCCACCAGATTTGGTAACTTTATATAAACATCGGGTCTATGGACAATTTAGTGTCTATGCTATTAATTTTCCTCCCTCCCGTGAGCGACCTTCGCCGATGTGGAGGACGGGCAGGTATGTGAAATAAAAGTGGGTCCGCACCCAGGGCATTTCATTGCGCAGGGATGTACGTTACAGTCGCACATCGGGAGGCAGGATGCACATGTGGCTGATTCTCCTTACCCGAAGTCGAACTATTCAAAGCAATCAAGACAGGAGGGCATATATGGGTCCATGTTCCAGACGTTTACGGCTCGAAGCGTCGCAGTACTGGTTCAACGCCTCCAGTCGCTATCTCTCATCTTTGAGCTGATGGGCTAGGGAGCTCTAATGAAAATTCTCTCCCCATTTGCCAAGCACTTTGGCTCTAACGGATTGTGGATGTATCAGCAATAAAATATCTTAGAGAGCCTGTGCATCGCATTTCAGGGCGCAGCGGGTCGTACCACTAGTCGCAAGCATGACGAGCTCATCTGTATGGCTAGCATGGCTGGATGGCCACCAGAGAAAGTCGCAAGAGTTGTGCGAGCGGAGCTGGGGTGGCAAACGCAGACATTTGTGTCGATCCAGTGTCATGTTCCTCGAATGCTGGCGTTTAGTCCAGCCATGAGGCTAAGTGAGGCGGGCTTCAGATGGTGCCCCGCAACGACTTTTAGGGAACTGGGGCTTTGAATGGCCACCATCGCATCCTGACAGACTTCATGTTGTAACACAGAAAGGATTGCTAGGGAAGTTGTTTGCAGTCGAATTTCGTTTGAGACCCATTGATTTACTCGGTATCCACGTCTCGGGGGAATCGTCTCCGCAACGTAAGCGCCCTGTGGATCATCCTGATTGCTGAAACTCACCGAGAATGTTCATTCGTTTGAGATAGAAGGGACCAAGAATAAACGGAAAGCATACTCGGCTTTTGTGAATTCCATGAGTCTCTCGGAGCTGATTTCCAGCTATGGTTCAAAACGACTTGCCTTCATGATGGATTCAACATACGATGACGGCACTATGTCAGATTCCGTAAACGAGGAGCGCAACGCAGTTCTTGTTCAAGTCGTTGAGAAGGGGCCTCTGGAAGGTCGACCGCGTCAAGCTATGTTCGCAAAATTGACAGCAGCTTGTAGGGTACTATGGTATGATAAAGCTGGTATTGTACCCTGCATGACTAGTTTGATGTGAGATTCTATGGTCACGAAGCACCAAGAACAACTAACTTGTCTTGACCGAATTTTGTGCGAACAGATCTCGGCATAGCGAATTCATCTTGCCAACCATGAATATCCCTTAACGAATCCATGGGGAGCTACGCAATTATTATGATTTGGGATCTTCCTACGCTGATCAAAACAAGCGAGTTCGATATAGCGGAGTGTGATGGGCATGAATTATGTAAGGAGGCCTGTCATGGCTGAGGGTCCGGAACAGGCAAGATGAGAGTACACAGACAAGAAAGAGGTATGCAACAGAGACACAGCAGTCACGCGTGCGCAGAGAGTCTCTGAGTCCATTGAGTTCTTTCTAATCGTACAATCTTCCCTACGAAGTTCATACAAAGAAATCAGCTGAGTCGACTTTCGTATGTCGTTGCTCCACGATACTCACACCAATATCCGTCCTCCTTGCATGATAGGCTAAACCATTCATCACCTTTACGGCCGGCACGAACATTTATTGATCTGAGTGCGACCCAGAAAATTGATTGGCAGAAGCGATATGTGACGTTACGAGGCGGTACGACAATCTCTTCGATACTTAATTTCCTTACAGCATGGGCATCCATCAAGCATTGTAGGAAGGGACAGAGGCAGAAAATTGAAGCAAGTCGTCTCCACCTCCATTTCTATCCGCACTGGCTTGGGAATGCCACGGTGAGGAAATTCCTTGTTGGTTATGAATTGATGGCAGAATCGCAAGTTGACCCTCATCTTGACCACGACTACAGTACGTTCCCTCTTTCATCCCCTGTCAAACTTCTTTCATTGAATTTGGTCAGAGAGTGGCATGGAACCTATCCATATACCTATCTAAAGAGCGTACGTCATCATTGTTGCTTGTCGATGGTGATACAGTCTGGTGAGCGAGTGTTGCAAAATAACCCGGTTAGTCGTGAACGATAGGTCACCAATTGTTCAACATCTCTCCACATAGGCGTCTCGGGACCAAAGCATCCAAATCAAGCTCATTGAAGAAACAATTACGGGTCCCGCCAGGCCACGTCCCCACCTTGTCGAACCGAAGATAAGCCACTCGCTGAAGAAATGCCAGACTGCGATCACGTATGTCCATATGGCCAGGTCGTAGAAAAGTCGATTGGTGATATTGTGCGCGGCGTAGATTCGAACTACTGCTGCGAGGAAGGTCCACGTTCCAAAAGTGCGGGATGACAGAGGGGTAACTGGACTGGATTCTGGGTCTGCATTGGACGATGATGGTTTGTGTCCCTCTTTCGAAGATCTCCAACCAGGATAGACTTGAGTCGTGTATTTCAAGGTAGTGTAGGCTTGGATGGAATTGCCCATTGAGGTGGCCGAAAGCTACCGTAACAAAAATGTGAGTTGAGGATTTGCAAAGTCCGACCTAGAGTTGAGCCGACACTTACTAGAACGAGCCATTTAGGGAGCAAGCCTTCATGAGGCGGCAGAATCGAAAGGAGCCTGTCCATGGCGATAAAGAGGTAGGGTCAGTTTCGCTACGACCTCTACTGGTAACAATATGTTGTGATGGCAATGTCGGTGTCACCCTATCAGCCGGGATATTTCCCTCTTTTCATTTTGTGCCTTGGGGAGGGTACCTTATTATTAGCAGGCTGTCTGGAGCCGGCGGGGAAGAATCTGCCTTGCAAAACTAGCTTCCTCTCTGAAACACTTTGTTGCCGGCCTTATCTAAACGCAGTCTAGCGTCCACAAACGACACCAGGGTAACCTTGACGATGATACGATCAGATATCATGTAAAAGCCCCCATATGCTCTTTACACAATATCTTGAAGAAATGACTGTCAGCTCACAAAACTTCTTTCTATTTTTGCTTTTATTTTCCTCCTTATGAATCCCACGCTCTTTGGAACACATGGTTAAGTCAGTCGATGCGACGCTTGCAGTTAGCCGACGCTAAGCAGGCAGCATTAGAACACGGTACGACTGAAGTATCAGCCGTCAGTCTCGTAGTACTTGTATCTAACAATGCTCAATGAGACCGTTTAGTGCATTATGGCCACCGAACCAGACGCGATCATTCTCCTTACATACTCCCGCTCCATTGTTCGCTGAAGGGAGAATGAAGCAAGTTGTCTATGACAGAGGCGAATCAGGTTGTTTTCGATCTGTGTCCAACGATCACAACAGCCACGTCTCGATCGCGGCGACCGAGCCTGTTGGGATCTGGCCACAAAAAGAACGTCTTCTATCTCTTCCATTGTGTGACAGTTGATTAAATCGTGCAACAGCCGAAATCCTTCTCGGGTATCCGAGTCGTCCATCGACTCATCTCCGCAAAGCCTGAAAGTCGTGGCCAAAGAAACGATCCCAATCGTCGAGTAAGCTCGTCTTCCATATTATTTCTGACCCAAAATTGTGGGAACTCGGGGAGGAAAGGTTGTATATGTTGACGACTAATATCCTTAACCCACGGGGAGAGATCATGGATTCGACCTTGACACAATTTGGAATACGGCAAATTGAATTTGTTCAAGACGGAATCCTGGTCAATGGAAATTAGGCGAAGCTCTACGGTGGTAACATTCATCAAGACTGGGCAAGTCTACGGCGTGGCTCTACTCGATCACGTGGTAGAATCCAAGTTGGCGTGTGATTTTACGGAGGACTTGTCCTATTTCGAAGGGTCCAGGGGACCGTCAGACTATATACTTTCGAAGCGTGTACGAAGCATACAACGCTTCCGAAGGTCTTTACAAGCCTTGGCGTCGCCACATATCACAGGCGCTGTGCGCCGAGATGAGCATCCTCTCGCCCTAGAGCTCGTGGACCACGACGATCGCATGGGTCTCCTCCTATTGCTGGAAAAACTCCTTTTGTGCACCTCATGTGTCTCCTTAGATCAACTCCGCGGGCTTATTCGTCGCTTCCGCAACCGTCCTTCAGTCTTCATGTGGAGTCGAAAACGAAGAGATCGACTTTGAGGGAAAGTCGATTAGACGAGCTTTACGGCCGCAAATGGCCAAGGAAGTAAAATCTCTTGATCCTGATCAACCTATTAATGTTGGCGGGGTGGTTGCTCTTGACGATGACTATCACAGATTTACCGACGTTGTGGGGTATGCCGAACACTTCTCCCTGACAGGTCATCAACTGCTGCAGAGAAAGGAATAACCAATCGCAGCGCCAGAAGATGCCGGCAGCACGGAAACAGGGTATCAAGCTGTCTACCACTCCTCGACAGCGCCCATTGCGCGCACTCACAACGGTAATGGTTCGGAATTCCACGACCTACATAGGATGAGTACTTCTATGAGTCAAAAGTACGACAATACGAGACCCGGAAGCTATTGCGATACTAAGTATCCGGTATTGAGGCCCCTGATGCCGCTCATAAATTCCTTCCTCAAGCCTGCCCATGCTTGCAGTCTTCTTGAGTTTACTTCGCTAGCGCCTTTGAACAGAACTCTCACCCCACCTGTCATCATGTCCACGCCTTTCTCTTTCGGAAGGCGTCCGTTCTCAGCACCACCAACCCCAGACCTGGCTCACCAGCACTCTTGTCGAGCATGCTATAGGTGGTCGTAAAATCCGGTCATGAGAGCTTACCAGCGCGGTTCCCTTCAGAAGAAACGGCAGGTGAGCCAGAGACTCTCCATGCTCACCTTGCAGCTCTTGAAGCCCCTTGTCCACCTGTATTTTGGTTGTTTGGATTGCAACTTTCTGTCCGAAGTAACGGGAGATCATTGTCGCTGCGAATCCGCGTTCACAAAGCAAGATGGTCATGGGCGAGATAATCGCGATTACAATCCACCGATTCTCGACGATGTAATCACCTACATTCACATTGCCACTATTGCGTCCACGAGCGGCTTCAAGTATGAGATGGTGGCAGGCCGCGTTTACCGTTGCCAGGGAACTCAAGTTGAACATTGACCGTTGTCCACTACCGACCTTAACTTCTCATTATTCCCATCATAATGCCAACGCCAATCCCCAACCAGAAACCACGATGGATCCATGGTTCGACTTCAACTGGTTCAGTTTCGAATATGACGTGACAAATGTTATGACCACGAATCCCGACTTGTCGATGCAAGCCGATTTAACTGAATGCGGGGACCCTCTCGCAGAAGAACAGTGCGAGGAACGAAGAAGAACCTGGTGGCTGCTCTACATCCAGGACAGATATCTTGCACTCTGTTATAATCGCGCCATCTCTACTCTGGATGCGGAGTGTGCCGGGTTACTCCTTCCGACGGACGAGCTCACGCGGCAGCCCGGTACCTTCATGGCAGAGGCGTCGACAGGGAGACCTATGAGGCCGCGATTCCCTAGCTTCGAGGGTGTGGGACTCAATATCTTTGGATTTTGCCTCCCTCTCATGACTATCCTAGGTGAAATCCTAGATCACGGTCGAAATCTGAGTCATCCTCTTCTCGGACCCCATTATCGAGGAAATGGAGTTTCTTCTGCAGTGGGAAACGACATTATCCATCACATCACAATGTACCAGAATAGTCTCACTCGGTTCGAGACACTTCACCAAGAGACCTCGCTCCCAACAGAGGGTTATCACGACCAAAACAGCCTCCAGAAGAGAATCGTGGTCGCGTACGCCACTTGTATCTCCCACATTCTCCATGCTCCCTTGTCCGGTAAATGGCATCCTTTATCTCTTCTAGACGACAAAGATTCCTAGGTATCCTCACCATCATTTCTCAAAGCGACAACCCATGCCGTCAAAGCAGCCGACGTGGTCAGTCAGATCCTTAGACTCGATCCCGAGCTGAGATACATGCCTTACTTCCTTGGCATACTTCTTCTTTAGGGCAGCCTGGTCCTATTGATGGTCTTGGACGGGTTCCACATTAATGTCGAGCCAAGTGTGATTGCCGCGTGCAAGGCCATAGTTCGCGCCACGAAAGCGTGCATGGCGGCTTTGGACATTGAATATCAAGTATGCCAACCTCCCTGAGACTGTATGTTTTGTCAAATATCAACCCTGTCGCAGCGTCAATATCGACGGATTCTGAGTTCGGCCATTGCCCAAGCTCGTGGACGATCGATTCATGAGAGAAAGGCGCGACACCGCCGGACGAGAGTATTGGCCATGTATCGACGGACCTGCAATGGAACCAGGCTGGCTCTTTAAAAATCTTGGACAAGAGTAAAGGACGATAAGGTGGGCGGAAGGATAGACATCACCGGGCTGGTTAGTTGTAACACCCATCACGCCACGAATTCCCAGCCACTGCGAAGGTGGCAGGAAGGGGGCTGGGCGTTAAAAAGGAGGCAGGAAGATGAACGGATCGAAGGTATAAGAAGAGCCTTAGATAGAGACAGGTTTCAGTACATTACCATTCCACACCCTACCTTGTACGCTCGCAACGATTTGTGATCCTTCTCCCTACACCCCTCGTGACAGACCCTTACCCTTCGTTGGTATCGTTGTTACAGCTTCATGTAGTTGCAAGGTCAAGTGCAACTTCATTGCGCCAGACCACATGTGACATCACATGAAAAGATGATGATGGTGGAAGGCTTTTAATATATGGAACTTGAGGAGGGCGGCAGAACCAAGATTGAAAGTTCGTATGAGGATTGAGTTGGTCAAACTGGGTGCAACTCGAGCTGTATTGAATGCTCTGGGCTCTTCAATTGAGTGTGGGATAGAGCCCATATACTGTGCATATCTATCTACGAGGTGTATGCTGGCGCTGTTGCCTGTCAATGGTGTTACACGCCAGGAGTTGAATGTTACAAAATGAGTAGGTTGGCCATGAACGATAGGTTATCGTTTGTTCAACAGAGTCGTATAGAAGGGAATAGCCATCCGGTGTAATCAATATATAAGGTAGGTTATATCTTGAGTGATAGTATTGGTAACACTAAGCAGTCCACTTTTCCCTTAAAATTGAACATTAGGGATCTCATTCTTGTTGATGTTATCCTCAGGGGTAACCTCTCGCATTTCGTATAAAGTCTGCTTCATGTATCTTATCTGAGCATCCATCCACTGCCCAAGCTTCTCAACGTCGACAATGTCATCCCGGCAATCACCTGGCTTGCCACTGTCGGTTTCTTCAATGGTTTTCTGATACTTGGCATCGAGTTTGTCTGCCTCGATGCGAAATCTCCTGCTCAATAGATGCAAACGGTAGCTAGTCCACTGGTAGTATAATTCTGGTAGACGTGACTTGGTGCGAACATTCATGTTAGAAGAATCATCTAGGAGCTCTGGAGATCGTGGACGGAATGAGCAGACAATTGTAATACGTTCTGGCATATTACCGGCAGGGATCGCGATGTGAGATATTTGTCTGCCCTGCAGAATGACAGCACCACCCTAGACACAACCAATGGTCAGCCTCATCCAAATCTATGTCAGCATGTGCTCCGGGCTAGCAACTGACCATCTGAGGAGAACGAACTTTGGTGGTTCGACCATCACCGCACTGGATCTCGGTTTCTCCATCCGTCATATACCTAGCATCCGACAACATAACAACGCACACAAATGGGTGCGAATCTCGATGCCAAGGTACAATAGCCTCTTTGGCTGGTTTGACTGCGCCTCCAACTTTGGTCAGGTTTGTAGAAGCCCCCTCAGTCGTATCTTCGGGAGCCTGAGGCGGGACAATAGGAGTATGTCTGACGCCCTCGATCCCATCTGGACCCAGCTGTACGTTGGTGTGACAGATCTCATAATCCATGACTGGCACGAGGTCAACTCCAGCGAGTTCACTCACGATTTTGAGGACTTCGGGTGACGTCCAGAACTGATATATGAACGGAGTGTATCGGGGTGCCATGCCTCGAAGCTGTACAGACCCGGGCCGAGTGTAGTACAGACAGTTATCCAGCACATCCTTAGAAAATAATTCTCGACGATGTTGGAGGATAGCTTCTTCCGAGAGTAAAGGGAATGGTTCGGTTGAGGCAATTGGAGAAATTGGGGATGGCGGTAAATGGAAGTCTTCCAGTGTGTGAATTGCTGTTGGGCGTTGATAGGCGAGATGTCTCGCAGGGTCAAACAATTTCGAAGCATTCATATTGCTCGACTTTGTATTTGACCATGACTGGTCTTGTGAAGAAGGTTCCACTAATCCTGGAGACATTGCGGTTCCAAGATTGTAAATCGAAGTTGAATGTCGTCGCTGCCGTTGATGAAAAAAGGGGCTTGATATGTACATCATTTCCGTACAGTCCTTGACAAATCTTAGCAGTATATATAGTTCCTTTTCTCTGTCAATTCTCCAAGGGGGAAACCCAATGTGTCAACTTTTCCTTTTTTTGGTGATGGCGTTTCAAGGATGACTCCGCAAAAGTAGGCAACTAGTCCTGTTTGGGGTATACTATGCGCCCGCCCTCATTTCCGGTTTCTCAAAGCGGGGCGCCATATCTTTTCATAGTTATTTGAAGCTGGAAGGACTTGTTGTTTGATAGAAGTATCTTTCAGTGCCATCGAGTAGCCGGGTAGACGGCTCATCTTCCAGGGTCCTCCGCTCTAGTGGAGTTCTAGTTTGACTTTCCCTCGAGACATCTATCAAGTATGCTTCTGCGGACGAACCAATAGTCGATTTCCAGTTCTCATCTATCGAAAAGCTCTAGTCGAACCATATGAGGAGGGTGCAATTCAACAGCAGATTGAGGCAAACGAATGGACACTTGGAGTGAGTCTGAGTGCGAAGTGCGGGCTGAGATTCGACAACATAGAGATATATTCGCCGGAGAAAGGTTGACACGATTGGGCTCAAAGGAGTCTAGGGTACAAAACCCAGTTATCATTTTCATCCTAACATACACGAAATGTACGGTAAGTGAGGACACCAAATTAATCACCAATAGCTGAACATCTGGTTCACTGCCTTCAACCGTGTGCAAAGGAACATCTTTGTCATCCAGAGGATCGAATCCAGAGGCCGAGGAATACCGCACAAAACATATTGTAGAAGTCAAGACAGGCGACGTTATAGTTCTTCCAGCTGGGTGGCCGCATCGCTCCGTTCAGTGGCAGGACGATTATCGTTATCTTGGATTTTATCCCAAAGTAGGTATACTACCCGCCTGCTTGTCTTGGGTGACTTGCCAATTATCTTGGAAAAATGAAATATTGTCGGGACGAGCCGAGATTGGAGACATTGGCTCAGGAAGCCGTACCGGCCACAGATCCAATCACGGGAACCAGGAGAAGCTTAGTAGAGATATGGAGCGCCATTGGCAAAGACCAAGAAAACCTAGCTAAGCAGAGTGGCGCAGCAAAGGGAACAAGCAATGTGTAATATCCCGTACATGAGTGGTTCCAGTTTGCTAAATGCAAGCCACGACGCTAAACCAAAAGCTTCATATACGAGCCGCCGACAAACAGCCATCTGATAACGTCGCATCGACTAGTCACTCCATCCTAACTAAATCCCCCGTGCATGCGTATCACCAAGATCCCAGACACAGTAAGAATCGGCATTCTACACCTCGTTATCTTTTGAAGATCAGATGTAGCCCAAAAGGATGAAAAGATCCAGGAAAGGCAAAACAGGATATAATCTAGCTATTCGAGGCCTTACGTGAGGATACCGCAACCCAGTGCCCAGATAGTCTTTGAAGTCTCAAACACGAGGAGACCAGACTGCCCTCATTCTCCATAAAGAATCCCATTCACCAAAACGAACCTTCCGCTACGAAGTTTTGCGTGGAGATGTCCTCCGAAAATGATACCAAAGCCATCACCCAGAAAGAGCTCAAAGACGTCAAGGAGGACAGTGTTGTCGGACCCATCGCACAAACTACGACTGTGGACAGTATGAACGAGAAGCAAGGCGATATTCGTTATCGAAACCGAGTTGGCGACGAAATCGATATCACGACCATTCAACCAGGCACAGATAAGGTGTATGAAGCCAAAATTGTGCTCTTGAACCAAGCAATCCTTGATCTGGGCATGGGCAAGTACCAATGGCTGACTGCATTACTTACCGGCTTCGGGTGGTACATAGACAACGTGAGTTGCAAGTGTTCATCTAATAGAGAGGTCGTGTTGGTACTAATACAACTCTCTTTTTCTCAGTTCTGGCTACAGGCAATCACGATTATTAGTCCATTTGTGAAGGCTGAATTCGTGGTTAAGCGCATAGCATGTAAGGTTTCTTTCAAAGACTCGACCTCCTCTCCCTAAACTATTCCTTCATATATAATCTCTCCCCGGGATAAATCTGGACTTTGTTGCTAATCAGGAGATAATAGTCCTCACTGTAGGAAAATATGTGGGATTGGTGCTTGGATCCTCACTTTGGCCGATCACGGCAGATTATATTGGTCGGAAGCCAGCCTTCAACATTACACTCGGTCTTTCTTCCGTGGCTGGGCTAATAGCTGCGGGTTCGCCCAATTTCACCGCTATCACAACTTTGTGTGCGATCGTTGGACTTGCTACGGGTGGAAACCAGCCAGTGGGTATGTATATGACAATCGGACTCGAAATTGACGTACAGTTCAGACCTCAAGGGACTAATTACTGTCTTGGTGCAGATTCTGCCATCTTCTTGGAGCTCATTCCCGCTTCTCACCAATACCTCTTGACAATGCAGTCAGCATTTTGGTCAGTTGGGCAAGCCGTAGCCGTCTTGATAGCATGGTGAGAGACGCAACCTTAAGAGACGAGGCCCGCTCTACTAACTTATCTGTAGGCCACTTGTTGCAAACTATTCTTGCCCGACTTCCACACCTGCAGGTGAATGCGGCTATCACCAAAATCTTGGCTGGAGGTATGCTTTATGGACCTACGGAGGCATCAACTTTGCTATGTTCGTCGGCCGATTTGTTTTCCCACTACATGAAAGCCCAAAGTATCTCTTAGGTAGAGGGAGAGATGCCAAGGTTGTCGAGGTCATACATAAGATCGCCGCATACAATGGGGCCACATCCTGGCTCACAATTGACCATTTTGAGCAAATCGACAGAGAGGTGGCATCCGAGAGCAGCTCAGCTCATCAGTTGACGGCGAAAAGCGTCATCAGAAGCAATTTGGCCAAGTTTGAGCCACAGAAGTTGAAAGGCCTTTTCTCGACTCCCAAGATGGCTTTCTCGACAATCTGTATGATTCTTCTCTGGTGCATGATCGGCATGGCCTACCCACTCTACAACTCGTTCATTCCACTCTACCTTGCTGATAAGGGCGTCACCTCGGGAAACAACACCATCAACAGCACTTACAGGACATACTGCATCCAAGCTGTCTGCGGTATACCTGGGTCCATAATTGCCGGTCTTGCCGTCGATGTTAGACGTATCGGCCGGAAAGGAGTGGGTGTGCTCTCGTGTATTCTTGTAAGTCATTCTATTCCCTACGGTTAATCGGTGTCCACGTCAGCGACTGGTATTTCTAGAACGGGCCGTCAGGAGGCTGCTGGCAATGTAGATGCTATGAATCGATATCATAGTGTCTGTCATGGCAGTGCCGATTTTCTGAAGGAGTCCCTACCTTAAATACCAGGCCATCCCTTGAGATATTGGTTCTCATCCTCTCTTAGCCCGAGTTAACAACGCTGACTTCCCTCGGACTTTCTAGACTGGCGTCTTCTTGTTCTTGTATACTCGAGCCAACAGCTCCAGTGCAATCCTCGGGTTTTCGTGTGCAATCTCGTTCTTCCAGAACATTGTGTATGGTATTCTCTGTAAGCCTCGAACACCTCATTATGTTCCCACGCTAGCTAACCTTCCTCTAAGATTCCTATACTCCTGAACTCTTTCCTGCGCCAATTCGTGGCTCAGGAAACGGTCTCGTTGCCGTGTTCAATCGGTTTTCTGGGTTGGCAGCCCCGTTCATTGCAGCCTATGTTGGTGTAAATAATTCCCCAATCTGGGTTTCGGCGGGGCTGTTCATTGTAGCTGGAGTGGTATTTGCAATCCTCCCGTACGAGATGCGCGGACGTGCAGCAGCGTAGTCTTCTCTCTCATCGAAGAGTATATAGGGCAGGTCCAAATGATATGACACAATGTTGGCCATGCACATGTTCTTCGATATGTACGAGGCAATAATGTTGTTAGGATGCTGCTAGGATTAAACATAGGGAAAAGGATCAGTAGATGACATGAACATTCCCCGTTTCAGTTTGCAGAATATATATATTTGTCTGACGGTGCCTGAGTGCCGTCTGGGCGCTATCATAGATACTGAGTGAAATAAAACTGGCCATGACTGATAACTAACTTATCTGTCTGACTTGCCGAGCTTCTCCGCACTTCTTATCTCTGATTCTGTACCACCTCTACGAAATAAAAGCCCAAAAATTCGCTATCGGCCATTGGAAATTGTATTTCCAAGGGCAGCAAGTGATAGATAACCTCTTGTCCATCTGTTTCCGACGCAAAAGCATAGTCTTGAAACAGATCCCAAACAGATGATGGGATTCCAACGATCAAGAGATGGGTGTGTGACATGTAAGCGAAGGTGAGTAGCTCTCTCCTGATATAAGTTGGTGTGCTTGCAAGCGAATGCTGAGAGCGCTGGCTCGAGTCAAGAAAGAAAAAGTGTGACCTTGCGCGACCTTCCTGTCAACAGTGTGGCCGACTGGGACTCGTTTGTGAAGGGTATAAGTCACGACTTCTCTGGGAGGAAGACCCAATACGAGAAGGCATCAGACGCCGAGGACCAGCAAGACGACAGCGCATTGATTTAGAAAACGACGGCCTAAGCCTGGACGCGAGAGGAAAGGATGTCGAGGCGTGCGACCCAGGGCTTCTGAGTGTGAGATCCATGTAAAACGCTGTTGTCCCCTTAGACAGTGGCACTGACTCAAAAAATAGCACAGCAAAAGATGTTTGGATATTATAGCGACTAGCCCAAATCAGCGGACGGCGCTCTTGGCTTTCCCTGAGGGTAGTCCTGTTACTGACTGGGAGCCGAAGTTGTGGGATTACTATGTGAACCGCTTTTCGAGAACGTATCCGACGTGTTCAGATGCCAACAACCCCTTTCTATCCTGCCTTATCCCAGTTGCATTCCGGCATCGGCCAGTCAAGTGCGCGATGTTAGCTCTGGCCGGCCTCCAGGAACAATCCAGCGACAATTGGAATATAGGCGCAGAGATTTGGCGTCTGCGAAAACAAGCGCTGCAAGGCTGCGTTGAGATATCGACCCAAGCGAGCTCACAATGGCAGAATGACATGCTCCAGTCTCGAGAAATTCGTGGGTATAATTTCAGCTTTCCTGGTGCTATGTTGGTCCTTGATGAAGACGACAAGCTATGTCTTACCACCACGGCGATCCTTATAATTCTATTTGCCAAGCTATCCGGTCAAGCCTACGATTCTATTCGGCCGTATCTGGACTTCGCCCAGGAATATTTTGCCTTTGAAGAAACGTTTGGTTCCTACACTGACATCGCATCGCGGCCGCCCATCTATGTTTTCCTCCGCAGCCTATTCACTTATAACCGGCTTCTGGCATCTATCGGGAGCCGACAACCGATATCCACGGGGCATGACAGTTTCGAACATTCGGCTAATGGGCCGTCTCCTCCAACACAAAATTTCCTTGCTCTACTATCTCGCATCAGCAATCGTGTTGAAGACGTAAGCTCTATAGAGATAGATCGATGGGCAGGAGATCTTGATTTCATCCCGAGTTTCAGCACCACCACAAAAGAGTCAAGGGGACAACCGTCGATCTCGAGCCCTAGGCAACAAAACTTGTCAGACGACAGTTTTGCCAGCCTGGATGAAGAGTGGGAACAGGAAGTTGTTGTGCGCGAGCTCTATCGTGCTGCAGGCAAAATATACTTCTTCCAGCAATTGCGAGATCGTCCTAAATTGTCAGACACATTGACTACCAGAGCCTTTCCGCCGTTTGTTGCTCACGAAGAAATTGGACGTCTCACCGGCTCCGCCATAAGCTTGCTGAAGCGTCTACCGGATTCTTCACCCTTCAATAGCGCCTTGCTATTCCCTCTCGGCATAATCGCCCCAGAACTGAGAGCCACCAAGGCGCGACGGTACACACTTGCCAAATTGCGGCTACTGCAGGACACTCTCCATTTCGACCATTTCCAGATCTTTGGCAATGACTTGGTGGGTCGCTGGGCTCAAACCGACGCCGACGCAAGTCATTGGCCACGGTCTAGCGGCTCTATCTCGCGAGACCGAATCGTGAGACTTGTCGGTTAATGTGTGGGCGATGAAGTGACAAGCGGTTGAGCCTCTCTCTTTTTGCGAGCATCCCATTTAGCATGTCTAACTTCGAGCCGCATAGAGGTATTCGCAGGACAGTACTGGACCGGTTCTCATCAATGGCAATGGGTACATCATCAATACTGGATAAAGAGGCTCGATACCAAAGCATCTCCCACAACATACTCTTCCGAAACAATGAAGGTTTGCCCGTGCACAACAAATCTCTACGTCAACGCAACAGTTAATCAAGTTGGGAAACGGAACTCCCTTTTTCGGTGGGATTGCCCATGGATTATTACATACATAGCTACTTATAGAGACCTTCATAAATGAGACTGCAATGTTCGAATTAAACTGATTTCTTACGATGTTGCAGACTGAGTGGCGGACGACGCCATAGTGGCAGGTGCGGTGGAAGGGGACAGAGCGATGTTCTTTGCTCGGTGGGTGAACGCAACTTCGGATATATTGAAAGCTCTGTCTTTTGTCAACTGAGTAGACAACGAGAGCCCCTATATACTTGTGTTAGAGTGCCTCAGGGTGGAACCGTAATGACACAAAGGCAGTAGGAGCTAGGCAACAATCTAAATGACAGCGAGGCAGTCAATATGACATCAGCTAATCACCCTCTGAGGAACCTCCAAGGCAATATGCTCCTCGTTATAGTAGCCAGGCACGTGATGACATCATGTAATACCAATATGACAGCCAACCCTGAGCATAAATAGTGGTTCTCTACCGCTACGTAGCACCTAGCTCGCAACCCTTTGGCCTCCTAGGCTCCTGTTGAAGTAGTTGGCTTGGCACCGTAGCGACTAGCAACCAGCTGAACATATTGCCACATCCTGTTCGACGTCAACCCATTGGCCTCATGGCAGAACTACAATTATCCGGCTCCTTCGTACGATTGGTTGTTCACTTGTCAGGCCATTTACAAATGCAAACCTTGTTCGACATGTTCTTACTGCACTCCACTGGAGGAGAAGCTGTTGAGCAATAGGGAGTACCCCTTTACTTGGAAAAGGGTTAACACCCCTATGCAGGATATAGGGGAGAAAAGGGGTTAACCAAACGCGTATATACATTGGCATTCCGGTAGAACCAGTTGCCAAACAAGCAAAGCATTCAATACATCTCAATTGTGAAGTGCCATAAGTACTACCGGTCGAAGTACAAGGAGACGAATATAATGGAATCTTATCAATAGTCAACCCCGACGTCTTCAGACGGAAACGAAAGAGGTCTTGTCTGACACATACCTGGAATGAAGGACTTTTGCCTGCAGAACAGTGGTTCTAGCCCTGTGGTCACTGCTCTCGAAATGCTTATGGGATTTCAAGTGATCCGGGATAGACTCGAGGAATGCGTCCAGTTTTGAATTCAGGTGGAGGACATCATGTATTTCTCGCCGGTACTTCTCCTGAAAGTGGATACCTGTCGAATAGGATAGAGAGTCATGTTGTGAGTAAATGGTAGACAACACTTCTTCGAGGCTGGAACTCGGCCGAGGTAGGGTTAAGGATACGACCCGAGAAACCAGCGTCTCGAAGTTCAGATTCGACGAAATCAGTTCGGCTACTGATCACGTGGGCAACAGACCCGAGGATGGCTCATACCAAATTTTATCATATTAAACTTAGTCCAAACATGGGGTCCCGAGCCGCTTGGTGTGGAGCCGTGACTATTGACAGGATTGAGATGAAGCCACGGATTGTGGATTTTGACCTGATATTTCCTGTTTATTCATGGGGATGAGGTTTACATCCTTATGCACACTCTCGCTTCGATCTTATCTTGTTCGCGCCGATGCAAAGGCCATGATATCGGGATCTTACCTGAGGGTTCTTCCAGAGTCTGTGTCAATGTGTTTAATGGTGAAACTCGATCGAAACTCATTGTAGTCATTCTTGTTGACATTGTCCAAACTATACTCATACCTATACTATAGCCTACGACTGCCTACAGCTGCCTACGGCAGCCTAGACGAGTAACTGTGTATTTAAAGTCGCTCATTATCCTTAGATAGTCAGATAGGCAAGCCTCCATAGCCCAATGCGCATGCATTCCTGCTTCCATTCTCTCAACAATTCTTTCGTGGATGGACATTTTCGCTACAGTTTTGGGAAGATAAAAGGTAACTCGAGATAGTGTTCCCTATCTAGGTGCAAAAGGTCTCGTCTCGATGATTTGCTCTGGCGCGAAACCGCAGAATGGCAATGTCTGGAGATGGATGCCGACCCAATGCAAGTCCATGCCCAGACCGGAGTCCTCGGACTGCTTCGTATCGAGAGATGTCGGATCTGATTAGATAAAAGATATTAATAGGGCTAATCGCTTGTACCAGGGTTCGGCCAATGAGTAGCCGGTACGTTTAGTTTTGACTAGGTACCAAAAATGAGGTATTATTTCGCCCCCGATGTCGATACACAGATTGAGATAGGGCGTTCGCCAAGAAGTCCCCGAATTTCCTCTGGAGAAAAAGGCTCGGCCGGATTTGACACGTCAAAGAAGCTTGGTACTTTAAGGTCCTTTTTACCCGCAGCAGTCTTAGAAGGTAGTAGCACCACCTATCTGAGAACCAGTTTTACTCCATCATGGCGCTTGCTAGAATCCCTACGCATGTGCAGGAACTGCTCAAAAGTCTTCACGAGCAGTCCGCAACGCAGGAAGCCGCAATTCCGCTCCATCAGTGGCAAGCCATCCGGGACAAATTTCTAACTGACCCGGAAGGTGCAAAAGCTGATATTGATACGCTTATGGTTGATAAGTTTATTGCCCTCGATGAAGACAAATGCCACTTCGCCTATACACTTCTCCTCGGAATAGGTGCCAAGACGGTTGGCATCAGTACGATCTATCTTGCCTTGGCCGTAGCAGAGAACGCGAAGGCACAGAATGGCGCAAAGGCTATTGTTATCGCGACCGAAAAGGAGAGTTCCAAGGCTGCGGTGGCCCGGGAAAACTGGGACAGGGCCGGTCCCGAGGTTGATGAAATCATTACTTTGAAAGAAGGGGATCTGAGAGATACATTGACCGGCGATTTGGGAGTGTCAGATCAGCCGGTGGATTTTGTTCTCTTGGACAGTAAGTTCCCCCTTTCCTCCAACGGAGCGCACGCTTGGACCGAATTTGCTCTCTAACTTTCACTTCTCCGCAGTTTGGCCTTACGTCGCACTGCCAGCACTACAACTAATCATGCCCAGACTCCGCAGAGGGGCAATCATCTTGACAGATAATATTATCCAAGCAGCAGAAGGATATGGCGACCTCATTCAAGTCCTGAGAAACCCTGCAGGACCGTTTCGCAGCGTTACTCTACCTTACAAGGGGGGAATGGAACTGAGTATTTATAGTCCTTAGTCTATCGTGTGTGTGGGCAGTTCCAGCCGACCCAACACTAGCACCAGGAGATTTCGGATCCCGCGGAGACTAAGTCAAACAAGAGGTTACCCGTGGGGTTCGATTAAGAAATCGATTTGAATTTTTCAATGTGATTTTACACTCAATACTAAGATACTCGGAACACACAAAGGCAAACCACAAAACTGGCCGGAAGGTCGCTCGTATCCGATCACATTTTCCCTGGACAGATTTGTTAGGCCAGAGACATCCTGACCAAGATATACTTTTGATCATAAGAAAGTTGGCATGATTGAATTTCTCAACATTACAACAGGTATGTGCCTTCTGAGCAAATCCTTTACTCGTCCGATGAGCTGAAGAGAGCCCGGCGTATATTACTATTAGATATTGTCAGCCGACGAACTCTGGCTTCAGAATTTGGCTAGAACTTCATAAATATTTTGTGTATTTGATGGTTTGCCAGTTGAAGTGGGACGGAGAATAGTTCGAGTTGCATATGGGTGAAGCCGGCTTTGCAAGAGACTGTAACGTGTGATCCGGTCGCCAACCCTCCTCTTTTCCTCGTAACGCGGTAGAAAACTCAGTGATCTAAAGCCGATGCCAAGCCATCATCACTGATGTACCTATTGAAGATAAACGACCAACATTGAGTGCTATGCCGAACAAGACGTCGCCGTGTCACCCAGTAACGCTGACCTCCTTCGTCAGGATATGTCCCTCAACCGACTTAAGAGCGAGCCTGGCCTATTCAATGTTCCACCCCAGATCAAGTCCATGAATGACTTATGAATGGACAAAGCTGTGGATGCTGTATTTCACCTTTCTCGATCTAATTCTCTTCCGCAGATTTGTCCCACCTCCACAAGGCCGTGGTTGCACGATACTCGCATTGCTTGATTGAGGGTCAGCTCATCCCCCGGTCAATTGAGATAGCCATTCGGGACCATTCGCGCCTCAATCTCGCGTAGAAGTTCAAACTAGAGATCTGGTGGCCTAAGTACGCCCATAGTTGGAGCTGTTGAACAAACGATAACCTATCGGTCATGGCCAACCTACTCGTTTGGTAAACATTCACCTCCTGGCGTGCAACACCATTGACAGGCAACAGCACCAGTATACACCTCGTAGATAGATATATAGGTGGGCTCTATCCCACACTCATTTGAAGAGCCCAGAGCATTCAATACATCTTGAGTTGCACCCAGTTTGACAATTGCAGATGTTGTTGTGCGCCTGTCTGCTAGCGTTGCATTCGTATATCTCTCCCATTTAGAACACATAAGGTCATATCGCCCGTCAGACCTCCTTGTTGTCTTCTTTGCTCTCTCAATATGCGTGGATGGCATCCGAATGCGAACGCTTTGGGTCTTGACCAATGGCACAGCCCTCGCTGGTATCTTCAGCGCTTCAGTCTTCCTGCGAGTGGTTGCTTTGGTCTTGGAGTCATGGGACAAAGGGTCATCCCTGCTTGCCCCGTACACCGGCTTGTCACCCGAGTCCACAGCGGGCATGATATCTCTCTTGACATTCTGGTGGCTGAATCCTCTCCTGCTAAAGAGCTTCAGCTCTCCGTTCACTTTCAACAGTCTCTTTGTCATCGACGACAAGTTCAAATCGGAAACTCTTTCAAATGAAATGGCGAAAGATTGGAACTTGGTAATGCCAGACACTGGGTCTTTACACGTGATGCGTCGATGCTAACTTTGCCAGCGCAGATCGCTTGCAGTCTTTGCTTTGGACTAGCTTTAAGCAACACAAGCGATATCTGATCTTGGGAGCGCTTTTTCGACTTTTGTTGACGGTTTGTACATTTGCACAGCCTTTCCTCGTCAAAGAAGTCGCCAAGTTAGGAAATGGACAAGATTCTCCCGGTAGACCTGTGGGTACATGGTTGGTTGTTGCATATGGCTTCCAGTTATGCTGGGATGGCAGTAAGTTTCCCGTCTTACTCGGGATCACCCGCTAAGAAAATATAGATCGCTACAGCAGGCCATGGCCACCAGACGAATAAACTTGTCACGGGGGTTCGCGGAAGTCTGACCATGCTCATATATCGCTCCATGTTGGACATGACTGAAAATGACGCTCAAGATACGGAATCGGCTGGGCTGACCCTGGTGATTTCAGACATGGAAAAAATTGCCTTTGGTCTGCAGACTATCCGCCACCTATGGGCAAGCATTTTGGAGATGGGATTGTCAGTGTGGCTGCTTCACTGGCCCGGTGCTGTTTGCAATCGGTGAGGGACTCCTTGACTAATGCAATGGTTTATTCTCTGACAATGTGACGAGCATGTGTGGGTGTTGGAGCAGTTTTAGGAGCCAGTGCTGGCACTAACCAAGCCGCATGGCTTCGTGCAATCCAAACAAGGGAGGATGCGACATCAGCTGTACTGAGTTGCCTTCGATACATTCAAATGACGGCACTTGACGACGTCGTCAAGGCATCAATATCCAAGCTACGCGATGTTGAGGTAACAGTTTCCAAGAAATACCGTGGCCATCTTGTCTGGATCGTGACCATATGTCAGTTGGACCCCCGATTCACGTTCCTACGAACTTACTGACGATTTCCATCAAAGCCCATCTGACGTCGGTAATGTGCCCACTTCTTGGACTCACGGTGTTTGCCTTGTCTAGTATTGTCAACCAGGGGAACATCCTATCCTCGAGTCGTGCATTTTCCTTTCTTACCATATTTTTGCTCCTGGGCCAAGCTGTCGGAAATTTTGTGCCAGCAGCTCTCGGAATTATGGTGGTTCTTAGCTGCTTTGGACGGTTCACACAATTCATGATGGGTCCACTCCAGGCCAATCCCGGCTTGGAAGAGTCTCTGCAGAAACTCCCAGTGAACAAATCTTCCGACACGGTGGGACTCCGAGAGTTACTAGGAAGCTTCGCCACCATAGTACCACTCCGAGAATTACCCAGTGGCCCCGCCATCACGCCTGGGATGGATGAGCTCGACACCAATGGGATTTGGGCTATAGCACAAGACGCTGAAGTTGGCTGGAGGGGTTGTCAGACAGTGTTCTCCAATATGTCGTTCACGATTCGCAAAGACCATTTCACTATGATCATGGGGAGAACCGGGCTCGGGCAAGTCTACTCGTTGAAAACGTTGCTTGGAGAAACAGAGATACGATCTGGGACACTACGGTCCAACATCAGAAGGGCAGCATTTTGTAGCCAGAAACCATGGCTCATCAATGACACATTTATGGACAATGTTATTGGCGTCTCAGAGTATGATGAGACATGGTTTGAAACTGTCGTGGACGCATGCGGCCTGCGGGAAGACATTAAGCGTCTGCCGTTTGGAGAAAAAACTGTAGTTGGAATGGAAGGTCTGCGTCTGAGTGGTGGGCAACGAATTAGACTGGTAAGGAACCTATCGTGTGGTCTTGCTTTGCTAATTTGGAGATTTTAGGCGCTCGCTCGAGCAGTTTACTCCCGCGAAAATATCCTAATATTAGATGACGTCCTCCGTGGCTCAGACCCGAATACGGCTAACCATATACTCTGTTCTCTCTTTGGACCCTAAGGAATCTTACGAAGTCGTGGGACAACCGTTGTATATGCTTCGGTCAAAGGTATGGTACTCCCATTCCTCCCTCACGGCACATACTCAACCTATCAGACGCCTTTCGTGCTTTCGCTAATCATGTCATCAACCTCAATGACGTCCGTCCTAAAACGTCGAGACATGGGTGTGAGGATGCGGCTTCAAGAGTTTCCAAATTTGAAGAACCCGAACAAGAAGACACTATTTGCGAGGCTTTGCCTTCTAACAGAACATCCATGCAAAGTAATGTGGATTTCTCACGAATAAGGGATCCACAAACGTCCAGGGTTCCCATAGATTCCGCCATCTATTGGTACTACATGAAAACGTTGGGACGTTCGAATACCTTGGTATTTGTGTTATTGTTCTCTATCGTTGTTTTTGGGCTTTCTTTTCCACGTGAGTGAGCCGCTTTTCCAATCATGCTCACGTCTACGATCAGAGATATGGATCGCTTGGTGGGCTGCAGCCAATGAAAATCACAATGACTCCAAGACAGATTTCTACGTTGGAATTTACTTCCTTCTAGGACGGGTGGCAATTTTGGCCCTGATTCTGGACGCAAGGCCAGTGACACAAGTTTGCATTCTGCTATTGTCCGACCACTAATGATGGTAGACAGCTACTTTTGAGGATGATCCCAAGGTCCGCAATCGTGCTGCACGAAACACTTCTGAAGAGAGCCATTGGGCGAGCAAAATTCAGGAGAAATTTCCAGACAGATCAAATATTGCTAACGACGGATTCATCAGTGCCACTCTTGCTTTTATGACCACCCAAGGGTCTGGGCAAATTATAAACAGGTCAGAAGATATCAAGGAACGGCCTAAGTTCTCAGCCAATCTCCCTGCGACAGATTCAGTCAAGATCTCAGCATCATTGATACTGATGTACCAATAGGCTGTTACCAAACCTTTTTTGCAGCATTGACCAGTATTGCCTAGGCAAGTACAACGCGGTGGCTATCCCATTTTGTTTAATAATACTCTATGTCATCCAAAAGTTTTACCTTCGTACCGCACGTCAACTTCGAATCCTGGATTTAGAAGGCAAGGCTTTACTTCTTGCACACTTTTCAACAACGATCCTCGGCCGAACCACCATCCGCTCGTTCGGCTGGGATGAGAACTACACTGGTGAGACTGCCGGGCTATTGGATCTCTCACTGAGGGCCCACTATCTACTGTTGTGCGTCCAGCAGTGGCTTAGACTAGTTCTAGACATGATAGTAGCCGTCCTTGCGCTCGCGCTCTCGAGCCTTTCCGTCTATCTGAGCACCTCCGCAAATGCGAATTTTCTTGGAGTCGCGCAGATGGGCTTGGTCAACTTTTCTGCGAGTATGAGCGCATTGATAAGCAGTTGGACCTAACCTCGAAACCGCTACCCAGGATGTCGCGCGGATCAAAACCTTTACAGCGGGTCACGAGAAGGATATTTCCGACGTGGTGATGCGCAATGTCCCTATCGGCTGGCCTCATATGATCTGGTCAAATGAGCTGTCATGGTTCCTTTTGACTTCATTATTGAAGTGGAGTTAACTTGTAAAGTACTTTTTTTCTGTTTTCTCGTTCTAGTTTGTCTCCGTGAAAGAGGGACTCTATATGATGATGCTTCGTCGCAATGGCTCCCTTGTAGGCATTTGTAATATAAGGGACCGACGCACATCTGCAAGTCTGGACGTAGCCGCACGAACTTCCACTATACTGGAATGCACAACATGAAACACTAAACCTAGTTGATGATCGAGCAGCTGGACCAACTAGGAATCCTCAAGCGTCTGGTTGCATCCGACAGCTTCCGGATCATTTTCAGCCGAATATAGGCTACCCCACTGTAATGCGCCCGGAGATTTTCGACATACTATCATAGATGGTGGCATACCCACTAGGTGTTCATTTGGGTAATCGTCGATCTAGGAAGCAGTTTCTGCTTTGTCTGTTCGCATTGCATGAGATCCCAACGAGGATGCGTCCTGGATTGAATTGTTGAGAGAAGGGTGGCGGGACGGTCTATTCTACGCAATACTGCCTAATCGACCTCGCCAAAGTGCCTCTTTGGTCGTCGTTGTGTCAGACGGTATGTATTTGAGATGTATTGAATTTGTCAGACTCTCCCAATGAGTGTCGGATAAACATCATCTGCATCTCTATCTAAAGCAGTGTATGTCAACGCTGTTGTCTGTCCATGGTGATACAGTCCAGTGAGCGAGTGTTGCAGAATGAGTCGGTCTGTTGCGAACGACGCGTTACCATTTGTTCGACAGAATACGACAGCTTTGAGCAGAATAAATACTCCTCGATCCTCGAGAAGATGCTCAATTGTGGGTCATATAATCGTCATCCCATAACATGGGCGCATTCCCACTCCCGTCCAACGCCTTCCTTCCTAGATTCTCTTCTTCTATTCTTCATTTTGAATCATCCCATATTCTGTCGTTTCTGTTCATAAACGCCCAAGCCATGCTCTAGGTTCTAAACGCAGTCGCCAGTCCCCGGGACCCGAAACCCAATGTTTACAGACGGCCTGGCGACCAGTACTCACCACGACACGTTCTTCTTTTCTCTCACCCCTACTACTATCACATCAACAAACCATCACCGGACTATCCTGCTCCATGGCTTCTTCCCTAATGTTTTCCCACTCCCTTTCAACGCCTCCTCTTCTGCAACACGGTGCCTCCCAACCACTGCTAAGAATACATCTTCTAGCGTAGTCTCGCTGAACGAGTAGTATTTGATCCCCATCCCTACTTTGTGGCGCTCCAATAGATCTAAAAGAATCGCTGCTGCATTCGTCCATTGCGATTGGGTCTGATTTTCTGTTTGGTCTTCACCATGACTCTTGACAGCAACCTCGATCGTGGTGGGTATCGTAAATTCCAGCTGTCCATGCAACAACGTGCCATCTTCGTCGCCGAGAACAGCGCCTGGGATGTTTCCGGTTACCCAGGATTTCAACCTTCGTCCTTCGTCCTCGCTCATGCCTGCGCCGTGTTCATGGACCAGACGAACATGGTAGATTCCGCCATAACGGCCTCGCAGTGAGTTTGTGGTCCCCAGGGCCAACATCCGCCTCGCGAGAATGCCGACACGGTCAGCAAGGGCAGAGGCCTCTTCCATGCTGTGCGTTGTCATAACCACGCCTCTGCCGGCCTTGATGCCGCGGACAACACGCCACATGCTTCGTTTGGCGACGGCATCCATTCCTGAGGAGGGCTCATCGAGGAGGAGGATTGAGGGGTTCCCAATGATCGCAATACCTAGGCTGAGTTTGCGTTGGTTACCTCCAGAGAGGTGGGCTGCTTGGCGATGGCGGAAGGGGTAGAGTCCGATAGCGTGTAGGACGGTGGACACATTGTAGGAGATGTTGGCTCGGCGTACGCCGCGGACGGAGGCATAAAACCGTAGATGCTCTGTCACAGTCATCTGATCCATAGCGTCGAACTGTGGACAGACACCTAGACGTTGTCGTGCGGTGGATAGGTGGGCACGTACAGAGAAACCCTCGATTTGGATGTCACTGATGCGGGTGGATGGGTGAAGGTCTCCTCGGATTAGACTGATGGTGGTAGATTTCCCGGCTCCATTGGGCCCAAGAAGGGCGAAGACCGAGTCGTGTTGGATTCCGAATGTGATGTTGTCGACCACGGGTGGGCTGTGGAGGCCGAAGCGCTTACTCAGGTGTAAAACACGTAGACCATCGGTTGAATTCTCGCAGCGGGTAACTTCGGCAGCAACATCAGGGTCTATTGTCTCTGAGTCTTTCTCCGTGTCGACGGGCCGAGGGAGGTGCTTTGTGAATGGCAAGAGAGATGGTCGCCACCCGCTATCATACCAAACTAGGAACGTGTAGAAAACGAAGATCTGGAGGACGAGATAGAGTATTGGGCCGCCATAGACCTCCATATTACCGGGGTAAGAGATGTAGCTTTGGTTGCGGCAAAGCAGCTGAGACTGATTCAGGGTCAGTAGCATCGCCCTCAATAAGTTTCCCGACGGCGTGATCAGGCCAAGTGTATACTGGACGGTGTTGAGATCTGTCAGCAGCCGTGTCGGCTGGCTGTATGTGATCATGACAAGATATAGGATGAAGTAGATGAGGCCGAAAACTGCTTGGCCTCCGGCGGAAAACGCATATGCAGCAAGTTGAGAAGTTGCGAACAATGACACGATATAAGACAGTAATGTCGACGAGATGCCGAAGAGGAAGAACACCACATACAGGTAGCCTGGTTCCCACCAGAGATCCGACAGACCAGTGAAGAGGACAATCGCAGCGGCGCTGATGATGACGACGAAAATGGAGTCGTAGAGAATATTGGCCAGCCAGAGCGGTGCTGATCGAACACCATTGCTGTAATGCAGGGCACGAACTTTGCTCAGCCGTTCAAACGTGGGGTATAGGGCGAAGAAACCGCAGCAGGCGCACATTGCGAAGGTGAAGTATACCACGAGCTGCAGGGAGTCTCCAGTGCTGGCGGCGAGGGGAAGTGCAAAGGTGGAGAAGGAAGCAACAATGTTGGTGTTGAGAAGGTAGGAGTCCAAGGCTACCTTGGCCAAAACGGAGTTGTACAGGCCGTCATTAGCCTTATAGGAAAGCCAAGGAGTCGAAGAGGTGGTGTTGCCAATCCAGAAACCTCCGGGCACGACGCTGCGGAAGTTCTGTCGAATGTAGACCTCAAATTCGACGTACGTGCCCAACCGTACTATGTTTGCGACATATTGTCCATACAGCGGGGAAAGTCTTGACTCATCAAACTCGTCAGCAGGCGCAATAGGGATGTCGAGGCCCCAGTAAGTATCTAGAACGGCCAAATTTTGCACGGCCGGGTTGTTTGCATTAGCTCCTAACGAGCAATTGAGTCCCTCAAAACCAGCGAGAAAGAATGTTGCCAGGCCAACAGTGATCAGTGGTACTAGGACGGCACAGCAATAGGGTAGATAGTTGCGGGTCAGGATCCTGAGGCGCTTACAGAATATAATCCAGACCTGTCCAAAAAAGGTACTTCCACCACCTTTCATGAGGTCGAAGGTATCCTTGTTCAGGGCGAATTCCGTCGACGACATCAATGCTGTACCTGGTGGAAGCTTGAGACCGGCAACAACGGAGCCGGAGGGCTTTGCAGCGCCCAGAATCGGCTCCTCTTTGAGCTCATCGGCAAGTTCCATAAAGACATCCTCGATGGTGGGGGGAATGACCTGGTATCTGGGGATCCGTCGCTTCTCGAGAGAAGCAACAAGCTGATTAGCTTCGGCGGCGTCTGACACTTGGAATAGTGGGCCTGATTCAGTCATGGAATACCTGTGGTTGCCCATGATCTGTTGAATCTCATGCCGCTGGATCATGTTATGAGGAACAAGAACGCGGTAGCCACGACCAAATCTGTTCTTGAGCTCGACAGCGGAGCCATGAGCTCTGAGGGTGCCTTTGGATAGCACGACAATGTCATCCGAGAGAGCATCAGCTTCGTCGAGAGCGTGAGTGGTTAGGAGGAAGGTCCGCTTTCCTTTCTCCGAAAGCAAAATTTCCCAAATCTTGCGGCGGGAGAGCGGGTCAAGTCCAGAGGAGACTTCATCGATGCAGCAAACTTGGGATCCCCCAGTAAAAGCCATGGCCAACTGTAACTTGCGCTTCTGACCTCCCGAGAGAGCCTTTGACTTCTTATTCGTCTTTGCTTCCAGATCACAGCCGCGGATGAGGTGGAGGATGTTTCGACGTGAGTCCGTTTGCTTCTGCGCGTTCTTCAACCGAGTGAAGATTCGCACATGTTCAGACACCGTTAAATCGTCCCACAACACGTTCTTCTGAGGGCAAAGGCCAAGGCCACCGGTACCATCCAAGTCGATATGGCCTGAAGATATCGAGTGAATCCCAGAAATCGCTGACAACGTGGTACTCTTCCCACTGCCGTTAGCACCAAGTAGCACCACAATCCGGCCTCTTAATGCCGTAAACGTCAAGTTCTCCACCGCCTTGACGACAGGCTTGTCCATTTGCCACCAGCTAGGGTAGTAGAATTTTGAGAAGTTGCGGACGTCAACAGTGCCATGCTCTCTCCCCGCTCTCGATTCGAGACTTCGGTGCTTCGAGGCAGTCCCGTAGAGGACTATCTCAGAGGCGGTAGCAAGCCAGGGGTAAATTACCAGTTGCACAGCCATCAGGATAAAAATGGCATAACCAGGGATCGAAGGTCTTCCAATGTCTGGAGGGTCTTGGAGGAGATTGGCTGGTTGCAGTTGACTTTCCCATTTAGCAAGGTAGATGATGAACATGGTGTAATTTACTGAGGGGAAAATAACCGAAAGGACCCATTGAGCCACAATGGAGTCGAGAACGAATTGGGCCACGATGGCCAGAGCGAGCGAGACAATCAGAACAGTGATGCCGGAGAGCTGTGACCGGCGGAAAAGACTGCCCCCGAAGAGGGAGTAACCCGTCAGTGCGAAGCCAGCCAAGAGATGGTAAAGCACTACAATGGCGGGATCAGTGTGCAGGAAGACCAAGGAGGAGACAATGGCCCCTATAGAGAGCCATGATATAATGTAGACAATGTCAAAGGAGATGTGGGTTGCGAGAACTCGGGCGACCTGGGAGTGCCACTGATGCCGGTTCGGAACCATTGTGTCGATGAGCTGGGACATGCCTGACTCTCGTTCCGAAGACATGTGACCGGGCAAGTGATAAGTAACACCGCAAATACCAATGAAGAATACAACTGCGAGATAGTTGATCAAAGCTCTCATGAAGAATTCTTGCACCTCGTCATTGCGGTCCTGGACCGTTTCGGAGGTAAACGGGGACTCGAGGATAGTCTGCGGGAGATCAAGCCCAGCCTGGTTTGCAATTTCGGCGTCGATGGCGTGAATGAAAGGGAGGGAGTAGAGCTGGGCATCATTGTCACTCCGATCGACAAAGATACGAGTACCCAGACTAAAATCGGCGATGGCGGTGTAGTTCCAAAATCCTTCGTTTTCAGTGGGGGAAGACGTGAAGCTAGCTGCGGCGTAACAGCGAGAAGTTCCACGCAAAGAGCTTTGGCAGGTGGTGAATAGGTCGTCGTTAGAGGACAAGATTTCAATATTGACACCTTCATCGAGCAGTAGGGCAGATAGGGTGTTAATCAAGGCTTCAATTTGACCTCCAGTATTTCCATTGTGAACAAAGGCGACGGTGTTACGCCCGCCAAGCAACTCAGAGTCGTTGAGGACATCGGAAAGAGAGCGAATTGATCTCTGGTGACCGAAGCCGTAATTCGAGGGAGGCATGAAGAAGTTTCGGACGTAAGAGATGAGCCAAATGTAGACGATGGGCAAGGCCAGAGCCCGTAGTGCAGTTGAGAACCATCGTCGCCATACGATAATCAGCAGGTCTTTGGTAACGAGAGTCCGAACTTGCTTGATGAGACGCATGGCCGATGGGAGGGAGAACATCGATGAAAAGCATTGATGGGCCAACCAGCAGGATGGTGGGAGATGTATCAAAAAGACTTTCCCCGCGTCGGTGGGTCAATGAGGCGAAGTTGACTGGCAAAAATTATTAATGTGCGACCTCAAGTTGAGGGGGTTTCCAAGAGCAGGCGCAATGTCGCCGGCAAGCGCATGGTGACGCGGCGGGTATGCGACATGGTAGAGTCCTCACATGGTGGACGTTATAAGATTGGCCAAGTTAGAATAGGATTGAACGACAGGGAGAGATGGAGGCAACACATGGAGGCTGTGCTTCAAACTGGAGCTGTCGCGATGGAGTTCCATGATTTGTTGATGGACTCCTATTCGACAGTGTGTCCGCTTCGCGTCGTCATGCTAAATCCTGGGCCTCCAGATGCGTCGGTGAGCCTTGCAGTGAGCCAGCATATGGCTGTGGGTCATCCCAAGTCTTTCTTAATAGAATGCGGTCTGTTCTTTAATCGTATAAAGAAAAATTCCTGTTTTTTAAGCTTCGCTGGATCCCTGTCATGATCTCGGTCATTCCAAATGCGGTCGTTGCAGAGGCGAGTAGAAGCCAAGGATGGCCACGTAGCGGTAGAGAGGGGCCCATCTAGGCAAAGGGTTGGCTGTCACGTGCCCTGGATACTGCATAGGCCGCAACCCCTTGGTTAGGCGGCCGTGACCCCAACGATAACCCTCGACATTGTGGTCATCTCACGTCTCTTCTACAAAAGGGAATAGACCTACTCGTTTGCGGCCATTCCGAGAATTCTGGCTGCGCACCCCAAAATTTGTTTCATCATTGCCGGCTCCAGTCCCAAAAGCCATCGATCTTTAAGCGGATGCTAGAAAGGCAATGGAACCGCACTACGTAGGGACAATCACTGGGGACTGCCAAGGACTGGAGAAGATCCATAACTTTTCTCGAGCGTCGGGGAGCTCGCCTTAAAAGGGATGACAACTCTATACGATGCTTCTCATTACAATCGAGTATAAGCAAGAAGCCACGTAGCCAGCTTTCTCAAAGTGCATTGTCCAGATCGTCGAAACTAGCACCTGCCACTGCCCTATCAGAAGGCGGTTGTGCAACGTCTAGGTAGACTACAGTGGCTCTAGAGGTAGTTTGAGACGTCGCGAACGCTGTTGACGTTACAGCTAGAATAAAGGGGCATTCGATAGATCAGGACCTATTTTTTTAACTCCTACCAATTGCACATTATATTTAAGAAAGGAAGCTTACTGTCAGGCGGACAACAGGACTAGACAGAAATGAAAATACTACCATTCCAATTGACCAATATCTGTGAGAGTCAGTCTTGGCAAGAACAGGAATGAGCCCCAGATTCTTTTACCGGTCTCTTGGGGTGTTTGACGAAAGAAATCCTGTCGTTGGAAGCCAAGTTGTAGAGTCACGAGGAGGATTGGTGGTGAAGAGCACCGAGACAAGTGGGAGTACCTAGAGCGGGATCAAATGGCTTCTTTGATTTTGCGTGTCATGGCCGCTTCAATTAGTTTCATCCCGATATGCATAAATTCAACCGGCTGTTGGCATTTTTTGTGCTGTGAGAAGCAGACCAGTCTCGTGGAAGGGCAGCTGCAGACATTCTATTATACGTCGTCCCGTAATCCTCCACCAATGATTTATGACCAAGTAGAGAGCCGAGGCAATCAAACCCGTTGGTTTAAAGTATTGTGGCTTGATCATGCACATCGAATTTCACTTGATTATTCCCATTTGCTGAAGAGCTCACGGTTTTCCGCCATCTCTCATCGGATGGTGTCAATATGTGCTTGGCTGCGCGGTCGGATGAACGGGAGCGGTGCGTGGAGTAAGCTATCTAGATAAGCATCAGAGTCTAACGGCATGGTCTTTCCGGTTTCATTGTCCACGGGTTCGCTGATCTCGAAAGCCCATAGCAGCTTGGACAGCATACGCCACTGATTGCGTTCGGCAAGATGGATCCCTGGACACATCCTCCGTCCTGCTCCATATCCATAATGGTGTGACCAAACAAGAATGTCAGTTTAAGCACTGAAGATATTATGGGGTAACTTATCACGATCTTGAAAGTTGGGACTGCCAGCATAATCATTCGCCAATCTATTGAAGCCAATATACTGATCTGGGTTGAAGGTATCGGGCTCTTGATACCCTAATTTCTCGGAGTGGTGGATCGCCCATATTGGGATAAAGATTGTCGAGCCCTTGGGGATGAGCATACTCTCGTAACTATCCTCGACTTTGTTCTGTCTCGGTAGCCCGCTTGAGATGCTTTTGTGATTCAGCGGACTCATCTGTGTTGTAGGCTTGACTTACACTAGGCGGTACCTCATGCCTTCCTTGACAATCGCATTGACGTATGGGAGTCTCCTAAAGTCAGACCAGGTAGGGGACCTTGCAAATGTCAGCGACAGCTTCGCTAAGGGTAACAAATCTATTCAACGGACCTCTCAGTTCCACACACAGCGTCAATCTCCCTTCTGGCTTTTTCCCGGATCTGCGGATTTCTTGCAAGTGCCAAGATATCCGTCAAGACAGATGAAGAGGTAGTTTCTGCTCCACCTTCAACAAGCTCACCGAAGAGCTCTCTGCTCCTCCACCATCCTCCGGGCTTCGCTCCAAATTGAATCCATCAAGGTTCTGGATCTATTTGCCCTCTGCTTCCATGGTGATAGAAAGGTGGGCCAGTACTGCAAGAATGGAAATTCGTCCACGGGAGGATTCGCTCCTGGTTCGAGTGCGGCTCCAAACTGAAATTTGTCGTTACTATAATAGTCGCCTGGCCTGCGGATGATGGCTTACAACTTCTAAAGCCTTGTAAACGCACTATAGTCAATTAGCATTTGATCGTAGTCGTATGATTGTTTTGATTTGGTAGTTCTTACACTTCCCCAGAAAGAATCGTAAGTTGGTCCTCGGTGCCCATAAACGAAGCTGCAAGCAATTGAAGAGGTCACTCGACGAACATGCTGGTAGAAGTGGTCAGGATCCTCCAAGAAGTCGAACATGAGTTGGGTGATCTTGTCAGAAGTCAGTGACACAACCGTTCCTTATGTGGGAAATCGGTACATACTCTGATTCCTGGATGGGCGCCAGCTTCTCGTCGATAATTCTTGGCTGCGTGCATGCAATGAATGACAAAGTCTTTCTCCAGAGTGTTTTTGGAATGGCAAATCTTACAGCGAGGTTGTGAGTGGCCACTTTCCTCTTCTGCGCAGTTAAAGGGTCAAGCGATGAGACAACCATGTGGTCACCAAGAGTTAGTAGCTTGCCAACGTAACCGGAAGGCCTGTCCGAATAAATAACTCCTTTTTTGTCGATCAAGTCATGGATCGCCTCCCTATCACAAAGAACAATGACATTCTTGTTGCCAAACCTCAAAGAGTACACGCGGCCATATTCTTGGCTCCATTCTAGGAATCTGGATGTACCGATCAGCCACACTGCTGTCTATTTGGCGATTGCACTCGCGACTGACTTCTTATAGAGACCTATAGTGGGTATTTGAAGCAGATTGCCTAGGATGGGCACGGTAGGAGGACCTGGAGGCATACGAGGGTCTCTTTTGCCCACCTGAACGAGGCGGTAGACACCGAAGAGGACTACTGCAACAGCAGCCAGCAACAAGATGGCCTTCATGTTGTTCGTGCGAGTCTGATCACGCTGCTGGTACAACAAGGACGATAGAGACGTGTAGTATTTCACGCTCCCAGCTCGCTAACAACTATCACATTGAAATAAGGAATGGGTTCCCTTGGGTAGGCCTCCAGGGACTGCATGGACTGATCTCTGTAATCCGAAGAATAGATGGTGCGAAACGCCGACGGCCTAACTGAGCACGATACGATCAGCGCATCCGAAATCACCTTTCCGCCATCTTTAGACGGAGCGGGACATCCTCTATTCCTCCGACATTTGCTACGCATGGATTTTCTGGGATAATGTGTAGTTCTCCCGGCTCCGAGCATACGGTGCAACTTCTGTTGACCGGCTTATCCAATGTATACGCAAACCACTAGCCGTGATGCATTTAAGTGAAGGAAGCCTCAAAACAAATTCATTGACAAAATTATCTTGACACTCTCAATTCACAACCCCACAGAGTTAACAATTTTCCCGATCTTTGTGAGCACATCCTTCACGAGAAACCATGACTTCGGACGGCTGGCACACCGAGGTTGGTCTGGAATCCCAGATGAGATAGCAAGCGGTGGAGATAGCTTACGCAGACGCTACGACCAGGAAACTCTCACCACAGTTGAGGACTTATGGAAGAACTTGAGTTACCCGAAAAGCAGTGTAAGTCCTGGCCACCACGGTCCCCTGCATGAAATTGAGAGTGAACCGTTTGCTTTGGTCACGCAGTTGCACGATCCCAACCTTCTCCAAGAGGAGCAGGAGATCCTTGACATGTACAAGAGATGGGCCCAATTGCATGAACAAGGAATTTAATGCTTCTATCGAACCGGGTCGGAAATTCTACAACTTCCCCGAGGTCGTGACATTCGACATCTTCGGCTTCACCGGGCGTGGAGCATTCAAGGAACATTTCGACGAGACATTCCACTACTTATCCAACTCGACCTTTCAAATCAAGGATATCGAGGTCTTTGCCACGTCTAAGACAACTAGGTACGCTCACATGTACCAGAGGCTGATCGGAGGGACTGCGGATGATGGCAAAATATTCGAAATGACCTACCGGATCACTGAAATCTTGATCAAGGCAAACGGGCAATGGCAGTGGGTGCACGAGCATGTGTCTTTCCCCACCGATATGAAGACGATGAAGTCGGACCCAATCTGCTCCGTTGATCCTAAGAAGGCTTTCCAATTCTAAGCAAGTAGTAACATAGTGCAAATGCAAAAAGGTCTCTGATCGAACATCCTTGGCCAGCTTCCTTTGGACGCGACATTGCGTCTTAGGTGTGCAAAGAAGCCGTGCTACAAAATAGCTCCGCAGAGGTGCCGCATCTGTGACGGTGCTTTGGTCGCAGTACTGGACAAATTGATTTATGCCGAAATCGACCCGGCGAGCCGCACTTCACGAGGATGGCCTTGAAGATGGCTTCTACTGAAGTTCTGGGCACGGATCGACGCAGGTCGACATCAGGTATGGTAAAAGGTTCCATTCGATCATGTCCGAGCACTTACCAAGTCCATCGCCTCTAATGGCTTGCGCCTCCCCCCGTCACATTCGCAGAAAGGACAAGATCCGGTATCTGTGGACAGATGCCTGTTGCATATATTCTGATCGATCTCGCATTAAACACCTCTAAAACTTGAGGTTTAGACCTCAGTTTTCCGAGGGTCTCGGACCGGGAACCCAATAAGCATCCACAGACCTACAAGGGAGGCCTAATCTGGCTCCCCAGCGATCGGCTATACTTGCCTCTCAGCATAGAACATCTGTACAGCCTTACAGTTGTTCCCGAAACCGGGAGAGCCCTCTCATTTACGACATAGAATCCATCCAACCAATTCCATAACACGACTTTCAGGACGCTCGCTCCATTGTAGGGTAGTCTCCTCAATTTCATCATATTCTTCCGCCGTCAGCATGCCTGACTTCAAGGCCAAGCTGCGCATCGACACCCCCCACCCTTGGCCCACTCCTTCAACGATTCGCCATACCATTGCTGCGAGCCCGTCCCCACCTAGATCTGGCTCCAGTCGAATCCAGCACCGTGCGCCCACTCGTGATTTTTCCTTCCACCCAGGCCATATGCCCCGCGACGCCTCCCCAGTTCTAGCCAGACGGCCTTCTGCTTTTCGTGAGCCGGTAGAAGAGGGTACGTAAAGACCTCTGCACAATCCGTTGCTGATATATAGCCACCAGGTCTCGCCACCCGCCGGATTTGCTGTAACATCTTAACTGGTTCGGAGACATGCAGCAAGACTTGATGTGCGTGGACAATGTCGAAGAAGTTCTCATCAAACGTCTCAAGTAACTTGTATGCGTCGACCTGCTTGAAGTCGATGTTCTTAATACCTTGTGCATCAGCCGCATCTTGCGCAATTACCAAATCGCTTTCTGAAATGTCGATACCGATCACTTGGCCCTGGGGCACGAGCCGAGCAAGGTCGAGCGTGATGGAGCCTACGCCACAGCCAACGTCGAGGATCCGATCTGTAGGTTTAATATGTTCGATCAAAAATGATGCACACTTTGCCGCAGTGCGCTGTGCGAATACTGCCATCATCTTATCGTACGGTCGTACCGCTTCGAGTTCATTCCGTCTCGCCCTCTGGCCACCTTCTGAGAGCGCGCTGGGACTCGAGCGGAAAATGCGCGCCAGTCATGCCCAGTAATCCTCCTCATACGGCCCATCATCAGGCCCAAGGAATGCAGACCACCCACCCGAGAACAGCCCTTGCAACTCCTCCTCCTTCTCAGCTTCCGCATCGTCCAGGTTCTTCTGGAGCTCGTATACCTCTTGTTCCAAGTACTGCTCTAGTTCTCGCTTGGCGACGAGCGTAACGCGGAGCATTAGGACCAGCAGCTCAAAATTCAAAAAATTATTTTGTCACCTCCTCCAAGCCATCTTAGTATTCGCATTAAGATTAAGTAAGTCTTCCAAAAGTCTTTTTACGTTGTTAGTATATTACTCGCATTGAGTAGGGTCTCTATTAAAGATATAGACTGGCACCGTAAGAGGAGTGCTCTCGTAAGGACGGTAAAAGAGAGCACACACCGTTTTTACGAGTAGCCGTAAAAGGCCTAAAGGGATTAAATAATCGTGCATATCTCAAGAGTCTCTATACGCCTAAAGTCGTGGAATGATTATATGGACTCTATAAGGCAAATAGTTCACATATACGCAAATAAAAATAATTAAGAAAATAAACAGCCCCCCTCCTATAGTCCATCTCTAACGAACTTATAGATGGGGCGCCGCAGCCAGTGAAAGCTTCAGCCAGACGAGTTCAACTGCAGAAGAGTTTGTATGAACAAGACGACATCATCAACAATCACTGGCTGGAGCATTACGTTTACCCATCTAGGGCACCTAGAAAGCTAGGCCGGACAACCCTCTTACCTTACCTATGATCGAACACTAGTAAGGCCCCTCAATTCTATCGGTTCGACGGCAAGCCGATTGTTTTACCACTCGGTGACGTCCTTGATAGGTCAACCACGATTTGGTGTCAATTTTGAAGCAATTTTTGGCATTATAAAATATAAACTTGATTTTTTTTTATTTTTTAATTTTTGGAATCGCATGGTTAGGGCTTGGCGTTGTGTGGCGACGCCAAGAGCGACCTGCTGGCCAATCACGTACGCCTACGGCTTAGCATTATCACGTGAGCATGTGGCTTGGCAGTGTCACGTGGGCACGTGGGCATTCCGCATTGTCGCCCCGTCATCGGATCCAATCCATGGATTATGTGGCCGGGGGGGCACCCTACTTGTCGATATTGAGATGATCCACGCATCGGATCCAGTCTGTGGACCACCCTTAACGGATCAAACACTTCCCTGTCCGACCTTAACGTATTAAACTATTTTCCGGCCCATACTCCGTACCACCGGATTAAATATTTTCCGAACAACCACAATCGGATTATCTATTTTCCGGTTCACCGCTATCGGATTAAATATTTTCCGGGATCACCGTCATCGGATCCAATCCGTGGACCATGTGCCTCCCGGGGGCGTCGCCCAGTCTGTAGACCACTCAATCCTCAACGGGTTAACCATTTTCCGGGACCACTTGCACCCCCCCGGGGGGCGCCCTCCCAACTCGACGTGATCCGTGGATTGGATCCGATGAAATCTCCCCTTTTCACGGATTAACCTTTTTCCGGAATCATGTGCTCCCCCGTGGGGCCCCCCTCGTCGCCCGTCGGATCCAGTCTATGGACCTCCCAACAATCAACGGATTAACCCTTTTCCGGGATCACGTGCTTCCGCCGGGGCCCGGCTCTCCTAGCTCGACGTGATCCATGAATTAGATCCGATGAGACTCATTCTTCATTCGCTCCCCTTCCACTCATACGAACGCTCGACAACGACGACCGTAGTTCAACGACGGCAGCAGCTTGATAACGACACAACTCGACGATGAAGCTTCGCAGTTCGCGGAACTCCATTACAAAACTACGTACTAGGAACAAACTGAAATATGGGATAGGAAAACCATCCGACACGTCAATACCTGACCCGTACTCAGGCCCGAAGCTGGTCCTATCAGCCAGTGGATGTGATATCGTTCTATCGACGTGACAGGACACCCCTAGCTTGCATGCGTTCTGAGATGTCTCGCAAACAGCGTGACATGAGGATAGCGGGAACCAGTGACTGGTATGAACAACAGGCCCTGTGAAGACTGATGTGGACAGTTTCGACGAGCTTCGACTGCGGGTGAAGAACCTTGTTAAACTTCGAGAACAGTCGCCCTCTTCACTGGCGGTTGAAAGGAGTCCTCGGAGACCTTGTTAAGCTCCGAGCACAGGCACCCCTTCGTGTGGTTCGAGAGAGGGATTGCCCACTGAAAGACACAAGTCACCTGAAGAGCATACCGGAAGCTGGGGACACAAGCTTGGTTAGTGGGAGGAGGCCGACCACGCTGCCGGTGCGGGTGTGGTCAAGAGCTCCTCCTGACAAGACATAGACGGCCTAGAAGAGGGAGACCTCGCTAGGTAATGCGAAACGAGTGAGACCCGCTTGTGGTATCACTAGCGGGAGAACTCGCGCGGCGTGGTGCGTATTGGCGGTGACTGCTGGTCCAGAGAGGGGACTAGGGAGACCGTCTACGTAGCCCGAGAGGACGGATGCGCATGTCGGTGTGTGAAGAGATAGGAACTGTGCTACCTCACTCGTACTGAGGCCGTGAGTTCTGCACCCGCAGAACGAAGTGGTATCGTCCTAGCATAGAGACGGCCTCGTGACACATGCTTAAGGAGCAAACAAGGGATTACCTGGGCGTGAGGGGTTTTGCCGGAGCCCCAAAAGTCGTGGAGGTAACTACAATGGCCGAAAATTAGGGAGTAGTCCAGATAGGTGGACAGGCTGCATACTCAATATAATCCCTTGCCCCCCCAGCTACTACGGTAAAGTCAGCCGCTCTACGAGACGGGAATACACTCCTAACGTCGAGAGAACCCGGTTCGAAACCAGCCACGAGGGTCAATATACGAAGCAGTTAGATCGCGCCTTACCACACACACACACACGACGAATTTATGACGGTCTGAAACGCGAAGAAGCTCAAATCGTGGCACAGCTACGCACGGGGAAATGTCGTCTCAACAGTGCCCTTTGCGGCGTCCAACCACCCTTACGTCTTCCTGCCACTCCAACGATAGCTGGGGATTCTATTCGATGGCTGGAACACCCTGTTCGACGTGGTATGTCGAGGTGTTACATAGGGTGTGGAACAATGTTGTGGCGACATTCTCAGCTATGCAAGGATCTCATCAATGGAGCTGAGAGCGGAGACACCGAAAGATGGCAACAATCTTTCTCTATATAAACACGTGAGGCAGGACCTCAATTTGATAGAAAATCAGAGTATTCATTCAACTCAAGTTGCACGTGGAGAAGCTCAAGACGGGGAAGCAATCAAAGTGCTTGATCTCGAATTTGACTACACCGTTGTCTACTTGACATTCCGAGACTCGCAATCCTGATAAAGTTGCCTTTTTAGTATATACAAAAAACGCCGATATGAATTTGCAGCGCGAGAAAAACGCAGATTTTTGTACTACTATACCGAAAAGGCCGAGAGCGGCGTCTGTACAAAGTGGATGTCAAGGTGGTGGGCATGATTAGCTTCAAGCTGGCCGAATTTCGCAATGCGGATTTCCGCCTGCCCTCTTCAGAGCCCACGGTGGCGTATGGTGTGTCATAGGACGTAGCTCGGTAGATAGATTGTAGGTATAAAGTAAAGCCGATTTCATCTCTATGATGAATCCCAAAAGTTTATCTAGCTCTTTTACCAGCTAGCTTGGGCAGACATCTTGACCAAACCTATACTACTCGGTGGAAGTTTTCCGATGGAAGTCTAATTTGGGGCTATCTCAACCTCAAGGCCTACTCAGGGGCTTCCGGTCGCAGTCGAGTGAAATAAACAAGCAGATATCGACTAATTGGCCGCCTACTCCCCCATCTAACCCGGAATCCGCCGAAATTCTACTCTATGTGTAGATGAAGGACACGATGGCTACTATCCAGCTAGATATCACGGCCGAGACGGACAAAACATCTCTCGGCTTCCATATTGCTCTACAAAGCATTGGAATAGTTGAAATTTCCTTTGACCCCGGAAAAAGCGTGAATGAATCTTTGTCAGTCGTTGCAATCAACACAAACGCCGGATTGATGCCTGGATGGCTCACATCGTTTGGAGATAAAATTTACAGCATCAGCCGCACCAGCTATCCTGACATCGCATCCAAGTCAGGTGGCGTTTTCGCGTTCCAAAAGGCACCCGTCGCAGCTTCAGCAAAAAGCGAAACAGGGTTGGCTCTTTTCGACCAGGCGAGTAGCAATGGAAAAGGGGGCGTACATTGTCAGGTGAGTCCAGACGGAAAGATACTGGTGGCTACGAATATCACTGCGTCGACGTTATCTATCTACCCATTGTCCGAAAATGGTGCCATGGGCAAGCCTGCTCATATTTTGGACTACAATAAGTCGGATCCTGGCCCGAAGGAAGCACACCCGCATCAAGCGGCCTTTGATCCTTCTGGACAGTTTCTGATCGTACCGCTTCGTACTATGGACCGTGTCGACATCTATTCCATCAAGAGCTCCCAGCAGGTCACGAAGGTTCACAGCATTCCCGTACCAGCATCAGCAGGGCCTCGGCATGTTGCATTCAACTCAGTCAGTCCTTCCAAGGCATATATGTACCTCCTTAGCGAGAAAGACAACTCAATTCGTGTTTTTACCTTAAACTACAAGGATACAGCGTCACAAAACCTTACTGTGGAGCTCAAGCAGACGATCTCGACGATGGGAAAAGATCTTGGCCCCAGCCCCGATGAGCATAAAAACCTTGCTGCGGAGATTGCTATCAGCAACGACGGAAAATTTGTCTATGCGTCTAATCGAGACTTGACACACGCAGATACTGATACCCTGGCGGTCTATTCTGTTGAGAGCGAGCCGGCACACGATATGCACCATCTGAGATATCTTGGATGTCAAGAGACACATGGCAAGCATCCCCGAATGTTTGCGCTCTCCAACGACAAGGAAAATAAGTGGGTGGCTGTTGCCCACCAATGGAGTCAAGACGTTGTCGTTTTCGCGAGAGACACGGCGACCGGTTTCCTGAAGGATATCAAAGGTAGACTCAATGTAAAGGCAGCCGCTCTCCATCAACCCACTTTGGACAATGTCACCTTCAGCAAGGATATGAGCATGGAGGGTAGAATGAGCTGGGAGGACCTGCTTAAGGGTCGGACGGAAGGACCCATGTGTGTCTTGTGGAAATAAAATAGACCCTCATGCTACACTAAAGTTATTGGGGTATCTAATGGTACTGCTTATTCCTATTTGGCATTTTCCTCTACGGACATGTTATTTCTTTGAAATATTATTATATAGATGTAGATGCGGCTTGAGGACTCGAAAACGGTGCCGCTTGTTGGGGTATAGTGGAATGGACGTAAGACTAGCATTCCTATTACTAGCCGTCTATCATTCTAGGAGCTCTTTATCCTGCCTTTTCCGACGGCGGCTGGGGGTTGGATGACTCTCCACCATCTGTTCCCCCAAGATGTTCTCGACAAGGCAGCTTATAGCACTCATAGCGACTTTCGGCGCCCTCTACCTCGCTGTCGCCAACATGCCGTCCTTCAGTAATCGGGTCTCTGAAAGCGTCAATGACCGATTGGCGTTTGCATCTGCTATCATGATGTTGTCACAGATCAATTTCGGAATGGATATGGTTGCTTTCGCAAACACTCAGGCAATGCACCCCTTCAACAAAAAGTTCGGTTCCTATGACGAGAGCCTTGAACGATATGCGTTAGATCCGTACTTCCTCTCGCTCCTCAACAGCCTCACTTACGTCGGTCAAGTCTTTGGGGTTATAACAGGCGGTTGGGTTGCTCGTCATTACGGACGACACCCTTCGTTTTGGGTCATGTCTTTTGTGTGATGGTCTGAAGATAATTCATAAGGGGCTCGAGATCTCTATATCAAGGTTCCTTCTATGGAATAGGGCCAGCTAGGTAATTAGGATACTATTCATCACGTTCATTCGTACTGCATTTTAGCCGACATCATAACTCCATGTCCGCCTGCACTTCAGGCAGATGCATCTGCATGGGCAACCGGCTCGACATAGTGGGCTCCAGTTGCGTATGACTTGCGACCCCACGAATATGTGCATTTCCCTCCTCGATAGGTTCTGTCAAAGTGTAGGGACTTCCTGAAACTGCGGGTTGAGAATCTGTCACTTTTTAAACGCGATGAGAATGGTCAAAATCCACCAAGATGCGCATCATGAGTCCGGATTACAGGCCTTGCATCCGGTACATGTTTAGAATTTAAAGAGAGTAGAGTCGGGCCACCGCCATGCTAGAGGTCCCGTCCCGGAAAACTACTATCGGAACTTCCAAATCCACCGGCACTTTCAATCGCACATCATCCACCAATTTCTGGGGCGGTATCTTCTCAACGGACTACGATGCACTAGGAAGAGCTGTGACCTGGAGGACTGATGATGCGTTATTGACTTCTTGATGAAGGGTGAGAAAATGGCTTGGGGTAACATACTCCAGAGCGTTGTAGAGTAAGGACGAAATTATAAGGTTGATTGAGATATGGTGCCGCGAAATGGAACTTCATCCTGATGTGTATACTATGACAAGCTTCTCCTCTTGCTTGTGGCCCGGTGGATTCTACGATCATTATTATCCTTTGAAAGGTTGGAGATCGTGGTCATCCGAGCATCTCCATTGATGGCCGAAATTCGGGCTTACTCAATTTCCTATAGAAATATCGGCCCGCGGCCAAAAAGCATTCCTCGTTCAGCTTGGAGGTGGCACCTAGCCAACTTTGGTAGCTGAGGAAAGACTCGGGCACCGAGAGCCAATGGGGCTTCCTGGGAAAAGAGCCTGCGCGTCCCCGGCCGAATCATCAAGATGGGTCGTAGGTTCCAGAAAGTAGGCATCGTTATTTCGCCCTCAGTCAGGTAAAAAAGAGGCATGCTGAGTTTGAGAGCTCGGATCGTGGCAGATTTCCAGGCAATAAAGGTCATGGAGGTATTACCAAATCCCCAAACATAGCAATCTTTAGAGAAGGTGGTGCCATCGAACTTCTAGATCTTATCGAGAACCGTGACTCCTGTTGAAGTGGCGCTTATATGGCGGCATCTAATCAAGCGGACAGCCCTTTGATCAATTCACATTAACACCGCTACAATTGTATCACTGAACTGGAAATGCAAGAGTGCTTGGCCAGAACTAGCATTGATCCTAGAGTAAATTGATCCAAGAAGATGTTTGTCGGATTGAACGAATAATTGTCAACCTTTTGTGCAACTTAAATTGAGCTCTCACAATGAGTGTAGGATAGATCCCATCCATATATCTATCTAACCAGTGTGGGTCCACGCTGTTGCCTTTCAATGATGCACTGCGCTTCCGGAATTCTCAGTTCCTAAGTATTCAGAGGAAGTCGACCCGACACCTAAGAGCGCCGCACTGACGAGTGGAGCTTCAGTGCCGGTAACCCAGTAATTGTCTCGTAACTGTGAAATCAGATTTGTCCCATGCATAGATTGGCAGCTAATTTTTTTTCAATAAGAAGGCCGCGGTTCTACGCTGATCCGCTACCCCTGTAGGGGAAACTTCAGCCGGACGCACATTTTAGGCGTAGGTACTTCCTCCGCCTTTACGCTTTGCCTTAGGCTTCTAGATGAGGTGTCAGTTGATGGGCAGGATGATAAAAGGAGGAACGAACGGTATGAGGCTAATTGAACCGTGCTGTTCGAAAATGAGAGACGCGTTCCTGATGTAATGTGCGGTGCTGGTGGATGGAAATCAGAAGGGGAGATGGAATGCCTAAACTTGTTTCAAAGGATTCGTCCCGCAATCGATCGGTGGTGAAGTTGTTGGTTTACTGTGATCCAATTTCAGGACAAGCATGTACTATACATACTGACGCTGGATTATGAGGATGAACCGTTGTTTGCAGAGAGGAAGCGGCGCAGGGATATTACGTTCATGGTGTGCCTTGGCAGACTGTAGGGGACACGGAGACCAGATACCTTCCATTCATTCCCTTCGAGATCAAACCATTCCGTCAAATTCCCTATCCATTTACTATATGGTACCATCTGGAGGGGCATGGTTTACCTGTGCCACAAATGAGCGCGCAAAACCATGTCTTAGTTGGTGCCAAAAAAAAAAGAAAACAGCACTTAAGAATTGACAAGTTTGACAAATCGATTTCAGCTCCAAGCACGCCTTACCTTCGAAAACTTGTTCAAGGAATCTTACTTGTTACTATCAGAAGGAGGCAGGGGGATCATTCTTCTCCGCACTGAGCGTGACTTATCCCAACTTCGTTTCGAATGATGGATTTCGATGCCGATTGCGAAGTCGCAATATCGTCTCTCTTTCCCCGCAAATCACTTTCCTTTCGCTTTGTCCACAATCCAAAGGACTCGTCAACCATCATGTCCGGTACGCCACGTAATTTGGCTTGGTCTGCAAATATTGTGGTTATGGTCGCCATGTACCCAAAACATTTTACTCCGATGAGGAGTTGCAGATGCATATCTGCGATTACGCCCTTCTCGATGCTCTCTGGCATAGCGATTTTTGGAACGAGAATCCCAGATCATAAGGAGTGCTATTCTTCACTTTGGACAGCAGTAGTCGAGCAGAAACCAACCAAACAAACACAAAAGTCCATCTCGTTGTAACTCACAACCGATCATCTCAAGAATATGTCACCCGGAAGAACAAAAGACGAACTCAAAATCTTGACTCCTGTTGGCCAGTTTGGCCAGGGGTGGAATGCCGGCGTCTTCTGGGACACGGTCGAATCTGGTGTAGATGCCATCATTGCCGATGCTGGCTCGACTGATAGTGGACCCGGACGTCTAGCACTCGGGAAGACTGCAGCCTCTATGGCAGGTTATAGGAGAGATTATGGGGAAGTGGTCAAGGCTTGCCATACCCATCGTGTTCGCTGCCTCATTGGCTCTGCTGGAGGCTCTGGTTCGAACGCTTTCGTCGATATGAGTACTCAGATTGTCAAAGAGATCATTAAAGAGAATGGCTACCGTCCCATGAAAGTCATCAGCATCTACGCCGAGATACCGAAAGACCTTGTTCGCCAGAAACTCAAGGATAACCTCGTTAGTCCATGTGGACACAGTGTCCCTGAGCTACTGGAGAACGACATCGATGCTGCAACCAACATTGTCGCACAGATGGGCTTGGAGCCTTATGTAAAAGCAATGAACGAGAACCCGGACTTTGACATTATCATCGGGGGTCGAGCCTATGATCCCGCGCCATACGCGGCGTTCTGCATTCATCACGGCTTTAACGATATGGGTAAGCATACTTTCTCTTTGTACTCGGTCCTAATGCCTCCCCCTCATGTAAGGTCAACTAACAAGATATTCATCGTAGCCATAAACTATGCCATGGGTAAGATCATGGAATGTGGAGCACAGTGCGCGATACCGAAATCAAGAGAATGTCTAGCAATTGTCCGTCACGATAGCTTCGATCTCGTCCCACTCCAGCCAGGAGCACGGTGCACTCCCGTGTCAGTCGCTGCCCATCTCTTATATGAGAAGAGTAGACCAGATATACTTCAAGGGCCAGGTGGTGAACTTCATACCCGTGATATGACGTACGAGCAGGTTGATGGACGCACGGTGAGAGTGCGAGGTCCCAAGTTCATTCCACAGCCAGAGGGCGAGTATACACTCAAGCTGGAGGCTGCGCGTGTCAACGGCTATCAGTCCAGTTTTGTGGGGGCTTTCAGAGACCCAATCTTAATTTCACAGCTCGACACTTGGATCCCTACCGTTAAAGAAACAGTAAGAGGCAGGATCTCTGGCGACTACGAATATGAGACAAAAATTATCACATACGGTATTAATGGCGTCATGGGACGTCTCGAACCGAACAAGAGCGTCCCGAAGGAGGTTTGCGTTGTTGTCCAATGTAGGGCACCTACACAGGAGCAGGCGAATGAGGTGGCCAACAGGACCAAGATGGGTCTTACTCATGCACCGTACCCCGGACAGCTCGCCACTGCTGGAAACCTTGCTTGGCCTATCACCCCTTGCGAAACCCCTATAGGTCCAGTACCCGAATTCTGCATGTACCATCTCATTCACAAAGCGGATCCTGTTGGGCTGTTCCCTATTAAGGTGGATGACGTCCATGGATCTAACGAGTTTGTTGATACTCCCCGTATGTTACCAACATTCTACAGGCGTGAGATTGCAAGTATTGATTTTTCGAATAGGTGAAAAATTTGCTCTGAAAGCCGACGCTGCGGTAGCAAATATCAAGACTCCAGCAAAGACGATCGACCAACCAAAAACGTATTATCTACAGCCCGAGCCGCCTGCGGGAACATGCTATCTTGGAGATCTTGCCTCAGTGGTCCGCAGTAAAATCGCAGGCCCATATGAAGTGACCTTTGACGTCATGTTCCTGGACGACGAGATATACAAGAAGGTGAAAAGGTCGAACCTGTTGTCGGCAGCGGCTGTGGCCAAGCTGTATCATATTCCTGAGAGCGACATAATTGTTGCTTTATGGTGGGATCCCGCAAGGGCATTCAAAGCCACCATTCCAAGGTACCGCGCCTCGGCTGGATTTGAGGAGACGGACACACATGGTTCGCAACAACATGCTCCTCTTCTGTACTTGAGCCTTCCTTGGGACAGGGAGTAGTGTGTGGCGAGCGTGTTAAGCACAATGAGTTCGCTGTCGATGAAGCCCAGTCTGGGATATGTTCGTCATTGTAGCAATGGTCACTTACCTGTACCTTTCATTAATACCTCGCGCCTCCTGACACGTCCACAAAACATTCTCGCCCTGGTAGTTCGGTAACAGATGAAGATCTGGTATGACTAGTAGATAATAGCCATAAATTGTGGCCCATTAAAATGGAGCCTGCTTCGAAGGTGAATGTAAGAGGCTGTGTGATACGATTCCGAACTACGTGGCTTTTGATTTGGGCAATCCCATGTTTGTAAACGATAGATGCACGGATGAAAAATGCCGTCATCGGATGCGAGTATCGCAATCCTGGACAGCCGCATCCTTTTCAACCTAAAGCGGACCCAAGAAGGGGAGTATAAAGAAGATGAGATGATTGTTTTGCGATCATACTTCCCCACTGAGTAAAATTCCTTCATACTAAACAGTGGACTTTTCGGCGATACTGTCTCCCTGGATAGAGATATAACTTTTCCAACTTCACGACTTCAGTAAGTCTAAGAGGCTGTCTCTTTCACTGCCTAATATCGAGGCGTTTCGGTCCATCATCCGGAAATATATTTCGACATGTCCGCTCCTCCTGTCCTTCTTCTGCTGGGTGCCGGACCCAACCTTGGCACAAAGATCCCCAGTGTCTTCTCTGAAGCAGGCTACAAGATTGCACTAGTAGCACGGTCTCTAGGGGAAGGAATTCAAGAAAACGGATACTATCACGTTCGAGCCGATTTCAGCCAGCCTGAATGCATACCAGAAGTGTTTGAAAAGGTCAAACAGAACGTCGGAATACCCACCGTGGTAGTATACAATGGTGCGTCTAATTCTTGAATGTCCCCAGTGTTTGTCTTCGGGCCAACCTTCCCTATGCCCTCCACAGCTGTCCAATACAAACTGGATGATGCTGCTGATCCCTTGGCTTCTCTTGCCCCGGAAAGGGTGTCTCAATTCCACACCGCGATGGCCGTGAACGGGACCACACCTCTCATCGTCATACATCACGCCATCGCCTCGTTCCGAGCTCTCCCTTCCGATACCAAAGGCAAGACATTTATCTTTACTGGGAACATCCTCAATCGATCTGCATTCGTAAATAGATTCTGCTTTGGGACTGCAAAGGCGACATGTGCGTACGGAATCAACTTTGCTTCGGTGATTTATGCGAAGGAAGGATTTAGGTAAGCGACTTTTATCGTACCCATCTATGACGATGGTGAAATGATTTAGGTTTCACCCCCCAGCGATGATGATTTCCTGGCTTATGTTGCCGAAGGTTCTATTACGCCGATGAGCGCACACCGGCGGGTGTGCCTGTAATGCGAGAAATCGACGGAATGGCTGCTGGAAGAGTTTATCTTGAAATTGCAGAATCTCCCGAACAGCGACCCTGGCAGTATACTTACACTAAGGATGGCGTTTATGAAAACTTTGGGGAGAAAGATTACCTAAAAGTAAGGCAGGACAAGGAGCCTGAGTTCCTGAAAGGAGGAAGAGACTGAGAATGATCGGTGGGCACACACGAGAGGAAACGTTGTAGTTGCGTCTAGATTCATGACCTGAGGGCAGTACATTCTCTACAGATATCGTATCTTCGTTCGTGTTCGTCTTTTGGCTCGTCTCATCTTCCGTAGCATGCAGATGAGACTCACGAGATGAGAGGGAGGAACCAGACCAATTCAGGGATATGATACGCTCGACAAGGAATCGTGATATTGGGTCGGGGCATGCGCACTAGCCGGGAGATGATAGGCCCTTGGGTGTCAACCACTGGTGTACCATCCGCATCAGAAACATCGACAGGCTTGTACGAGCCCTGACAGAGATCAGAGATGAATGAGGACCGAAGAAGAGTGACGGTAGAGCTTCTGTACGATCATTCTGATGAGTTCCGCCTGCGCTCCCGTGGCCATGGAGTCGCTTTCCGCGTTGATCAGTATGGTCACATGTTGCGCTCTGCCTTTCCAATGTCGGCAAAGGTATGCGCAAATACCTTCTCACATAAAAGAAGTTCGCCGGCCTTGGCCGCTTCTGTTGTGAATAAACCGCGCCCTCGGAAACCCGATGCTCGAACAGACACTGGGCCAGCATATGTGGAATGATCCGGGCCTGGGGGGCGAAGCCAAGTGGCCTCCATGTACAGTTGCTTAAACCGGTACTTACAGTTCTCTTGCTCCGCACGTCAGTAAACAGCTCGAGCAAGTTCGCCTTTGGCCGCAACATTGCTCGAATATTCTATACGAAGAACTTTGAGAAGGTGTTACGTAACACTCTTCCAACAAACATCTCCAAGATTGGACACCTGCCAACAAAGTTTCCCTGTACATGATGTCTAATCACCTCTACGGAAAAGGTGAATATTCACCCAGAGCTCTGGAGCCATCTTCAGCAAGGAAGGAAATTTCATAGGGGAATATCTGTTCTTTCGTATTGAGAGCAGCTGGTACTTCCACATTAACCTTGGTGAAGTGGATGGTGCTTTCAGGGGTGTTGATGCGAAGAAGGGACCGAATCTCGTTGGAAAAACCCATTCTTGGCTAGGACATCCAGGACTTAATCTTCCAGAAAATAGATCTACTTTATTAAAAGTCTTCCAGTCCGTTATTTTCAACAGTAAGATCTCCATCAAGTACAAAATAGTTGAGCGCCTCCAGACGCCTGCTCGTCACGACTCCTCTCTTTCATCTTTGGCCTTCGACCCCATCGCCAGAGACTTCCTCTTCCTCTTCGTCGTCTTCTCCCTCGCTTTCTCTACTTGAAGCATTTTGATTGAGGACCACCGGGTCCACCATTGACGATCACAGCTCTTTGACGCATCAACCCTGCGCTTTGCCTACATCCTTGACACCATTTAAAGTTGGCCGTGTTCAAACCACAACCAGCCACCTATTGGCCAGTTCAGGATTCCTAGGTAAGCTCAAACCAGTACTCCAGGCTAGGTCTCTGGACGTCTTAAGTGTGACTGGAGATCTACACATGGAATGTCCCGTTCTTCAACTTTCGCACCTCACCATATGATCAATAGGCATTGAACAAGAATCATTTTCAGAACAGATTCATTAGGTGCCATGCACGTCCGAGTTTACATCAGTGACTTTCACCACCTCGCCCAAAAATTGCAACGGTCGTCTTCGGAGATATCACTCAAGCGAGAACATCAAAACAATTCAGTCTGTTTCTGATGACAACACCTTGGCGACAATCATTGCAAGGGACTGTGGACGAATTTACTGTCTATTTTGCCTTCCACCCAAAATGCAGGATCATATTGCATAGTGATTAACGCAAACAGTTCAACTCCACATCAAGAACGGACAGAAAAACCCTTTCCAAATTGGTGACAATGCAGAAAGACAGGTTGATGTCTAGTGTTTTCGTGCTCGCTTGCTCATCTGTCGGAGCTTCTCGCCATACTAGAAGTTCAAACAATTTAGTTCGGGTCAATTTCGAAACAAATGTCGCAAAAGTATTAAACGTTGAGGTTAAAACACTTACAATGTAAAATGCAAAAGGAATCGGCACGAACAAAACTCCAAGGAAGGCTAACAGACTGCTGGCCCATTCAATCCCTAGATTATGGTACATTGCCGGAGCGAACAATGGACATGCCGCACCAGAGGAGAATCGAATAAAGGCATTGCCTGCCATCACTGAAGCCATTTCGCTTGGATAAGCGTCGGGAAGGTAGGTCAATACCGCGTTCTGCAGATGCACACAGTTTATCAGCAACATATATATGACTCAAGATGGGCTCTAACATCTCGACTTACGAGAACGAGGAGTGCGCCAATGCTGAAGAAACCAGTTCCGACCAGTGGCATTATCCAATGAATATCTGGCCGGGTGCTCCAACCAAACCAGAACAAACAAATGGGCAAACAGAAGGCTCCAACCATGGCGGGTGGAAGCCTCATTTCAGGCTTGATGATCTGTCCATGTTCATTGAATTGTTTCTGTTGGAAGGCTCGATCGTACCATACGAACGGTGGTACGGCGCAGAGAGCGCCAACAAGAAGTCCCATAAATGCAAGACCGGTCTGCCCGAGGTTGAAGCCATAGATACCCTCGAACACGAGTGGGAATGACTCAAACCAGATGAACAGAAGGCCAAAAATCAAAGCTACCCACATGTGGAGCAAGAACACAAGCGGCTCTTGAAATGTTAGGATCCAGGGTTGAATGACTGTTATCTGAGCGATCTTGCCAACAGTAACGTGTTGGAAAGCAATCTCAGCCTGAGTCTTGAGTTTGTCGTTGTTCGTCATTTTTCTCAAGCGCTGCGCACGGCGATAGAGGATGTTTTTCGAAGATGTCTCGGGAAGGAACAACACCAGCATGATCAAAGCAAAGCCAGCAATAATCATTAAGGCCCAGAGAGTCCATCGCCAACCATATGCCTGAGCAGCAAAACCACCGATAGGTGGGCCAAGCACGGGACCGCCGAGCTGTTAAGGGAAAAAAAAAGAAGATCTTGTTAGCGATACGAGTTCATTGAAGGATATCAACGAGGTATATGAAAGTCAAAGAGACATACAGCTGCAAGGCCCCAGATCCCAATTGCTAGAGCCCTTTTCTGCGGTGGGTACATCTCTGCAATGGAAGCACCACCGGTAGCAAGAACCGGAGATCCCAGGACCCCGGTAATGAACCGAAAGATGATAAGCATGCCGATATGTGTTGACAAAGCGGTCGGGATTTGAAGGATGACGAACAGCGCCAGCGAGAAGATGTAAACCGAGTTTCGGCCAATCGAAGGGACCTCACTTAACGGAGCTAAAGTCATAGGCCCTAAGACACTGCTTCAGCATCGCAAGAAAGAAAACTTTTGGAGTCTGTGGTCTGCGTCGAGTTTGTTCTCTTACCTAATCCACATCCCAGTACGAACACAGTGAGACCAGTGAGCGCGACAACCATTCCTATTTTAAACTCCTTCATGACGCCAACAATGCCTGCGGTATAAATTGAAGAACCAACGTAAACGGCAAAGGTCAAGAAACACAATTGGAAAGTAACTGCGATTTTGGTGGAGTTGGCCCAATTGAGGGGGTTCTGGATATTGATCAATGGCGCCGTCCTTATTCGAAGGATCGCTTTTTAGGACTAACCTCAGAGTCATCAGGACAATACCATCCGACGAGCTGGATATCGTCTCCTTCTTCAGCCTTAGTCTCGTTGTTGGCAAGTTGAGATGACTTTTCGGGCAGAGTCTTAATGGAGAACTGTTTCAACAGCAAGGGATTCTTTTCCTCCTCAAAGGGTAACCACTTTCCACGTGATGCATATCGCAGGAATCGACCGAAAAACGAGTCACGAATGAGTTGTGCCATGGCCAATGGTGTTCTGTAGCCCTTTGTTTTGGGAAGTGTAAATAAATCAACTCACTCTGGCCTTGTGGTGGGAGAATGGCACAAAGAGAGAGTCTAGCATGGTCATCGTGTTCGATTACTTCCATGCGAATGGCTAAATACTCTTACGACTTTAGTCACTCCCTACGTTGTCAATGATGCGTCGATGGGCTCTTTGAATACTTCATGCCGCCATTGGACTACCACTACTTGTACAATCCCAGAGAGGATTTTTTTTGGGGGGTGGATCTTCAGATCGAACACGACCTATACAGTGACATTGCTGCTCTCCACCAGATGATGCGGACCCGAGTTTGAAGCTAGAAGTTGTTGAAAGCTAGAAATAGATTTGTTTCAACAAAAATTCACGTGGTTTGCTTTGCGGCACTTCGTGCTTTTTCGGCGACCGAGTTAGTCAGCACCTCGGCGGATTTTCGTGCCGTATCGTGGCGATTCCGTTAACCACCTTACCTAACCATCGCACGTTCGGGCCGAAGGAAATCTCCTATTGGTAAATCAACACATGCTTGAAAAGATGATGTGCCCTGTCAGGCTATCGGGCCACGAACCTAGCGCGTGTTCCTGACCACACCGGCGCATGTTTTAGAACGAAAAGGAAAGTTCTTTCATCTGCCATCATTGATCGATGTGTCTCACAAGATGCAATCACCTGTTCCCTGTCCGATTCAGATCTTGCCCACACAACCTACATTTCCTTTGCATCACTACCGAGATGCCTAGCGCTGAATGAACATTGACTATACAACGCCGAATAATGACATCAGAGCAAAAATGTTCTGGTTGTGTGTGTCGACATCGCCGAAAAGGGGGGAGGTCGGGGAAAGGGTGGGCTGCAATGAAGGCCGTAGAATTGGCAGTTTAGAAATAGGATTCCAGGAGATGCATACGATAAAAGCGTAGCCTGGTGCCGTAGTGGGCGACTAACCTCTCCAAACAGAACACATCATACTAAATCGAGATTTGGGTTTACAGAGACGCATCTAAGTCGATCACAGGGATACCAGTTTCGATTTCTCCAATCTACAATGGGTAGCCTTGGGAAGCCACACGCAGGGCCCCCTGCTCACATGGGTATGTTTCCTTTTTTTTGCGGTCTTCATGTGAAGCGACGCAGTTCTCGTTGACAATGGATAGGAATGAGCTTTACACCTACAATCCATCATGACACATACTCAGCAATTAACACCTCAGCAAGTGTTGGGATGGTGGGCAAACATGTCTTTCTTACTGGGGCCTCCCGTGGCCTGGGGAAGGGAATGGCCATCGCTTATGCTAAGGCGGGAGCCTCTATCATAGGCATTTCCGCACGGTCTGAATTGGACTCAGTCAAGAAGGAAATCGAAGATGCGGCAGTGTCGGTTGGCAGACAGGTTCCGAAGGTGGTGACTGTGGAGATGGATGTGATGGAGCCTGACAGTGTGCAACTTGCTGTGGAGAAGATCACGCCAATGTTTGAGGGTAGACTCGACATCCTCATCAACAATGCTGGCTATATGGAGACATGGACTCCAATTCAAGATGCCAACGTCGACGACTGGTGGACGTCGTGGAATGTCAATATCAAAGGTCAATTCCTGGTCTGGAAGGCCATGTTGCCGTTGATTTTGGAAGATGATTCCAGCCTCAAGACCATGGTCAACCTGTCAAGCATCGGGGCCCAAATGAGCACTCCTGGAGCCAGCGCGTATCAAACGGCCAAATTTGCCCTTCTCCGACTGACCGAATTCCTCAACGTCGAGTATGGGGAAAGAGGCCTGATTGCTTACTGCATGCACCCCGGGGCAGTGCCAACAGAGCTTGCATGGAAAATGCCCGACTTTGTCAAGGTCAACCTCATTGACACGCCCGAGTTGATGTCTGACACAGTGGTGTTCTTGACCCAGAAAAGGCGAGAGTGGTTGCGAGGACGGTACTTGTCTAGCAACTGGGATATGCAAGAGCTGCTGGCCATGCAGGATGAAATCGTGGAGAAAGACATGCTGAAAATGAGGATGGTGGTTTGAATATTCCACCGCCCTCAATTCTATCACGATCTGATCTGCCCCATTACAGTGTGCGCTTTGGCTTTCGGCATTGGATGGATGGTGGCATGCACGTAGCAGGGCGATTTGGTATCCTACTAGTTGCCTCTTAGCTTGTAACCCCTGTTGAAGGCGGGGGGAATTAGATCGGGGGTTCATTAGACGACGTCATTCTACTTAAGCACTTCGATGATTGACTTCGCCCCCACCCCCCCACCCTCTTGATGTGCTGGTGGGTCAACATCGAATTTTCAACACCGCATCTTCGGCTAACTCTTGTCCCCATATGCAGTCCACTCCCATACCACCGGTGTCTTTACTCGGGTCCGGTTCCACCAGGTTCGGGGCTTGTTATTATTAATCAAGCTTGAAATATGGGCAACACTGTACTTCACACGTGCAACGTGCTTCTCCCGTGATGGCGATTGACCTATACAAGTGGTCCAAAATCTATCATATTAAAATTGTCCACGCGCCCCCCGAGCAAGAGTCAATGGTAAGGTGCTTCAAGTGCAGTTAGAACAAAATTACTTCGCTAGAAAATTTCTTTCCAAGGCAGAACATCTAGCTGTCGATTGTCCTCCCTTTTATCTCGTTTGCCTCAAGACGCCATGTCGTCCGATACACTCGACAAGGCTGTCTCCATAGACTCTTCTTCTTCAGTCCCCGATTCTAAGAAACTGCGATTATCGTGTGATAACTGTCATGCCGCCAAAGTTAAATGCACCAAGGAGCGTCCCTTCTGCTCAAGATGTGCCATCTCGGGGGCTCCTTGTGTTTATTCCAAGTCACGAAGAGCCGGGAAACCTAAAGGCTGCGGAAAGCATCGCCCACGTTTCAGCAAATCATCCACCCCATCAGAGTTCAACAGTCGGCCAGATTCTCCAGTTGAAGATGGTCGGTTGAGTATGGACTATGACGAAGGCGCCTGGAGTGTGGATATACCAGGCACTGGTCGCTCCTCCCTTCTCGACCAAAGCTTCAGCAACCTCCACTCTGCAGCTGAGTCCACACGCTGGCTAGATCCAACTTCGACTCAAAACACTATTACTCACGGTAGAAACATGGATTTGGAAGAATCCTTTGCTTCTGCGATCAATACCACCACTTTCACCTCCGATTTCAGGATGTCGCCGGACTGGATGTCGGGCATGGACGCGACAAGAGCTACGGTCCCCTTCTCTACAGATAATAATATGGCGACCAACAACGCCATGTTATATAACGAATTCACATTTGAAGGCAGTATCCTAGATGACTCCAGCTCCGGTCTCGGTGGCAGCCCACCATCTTGCAATTGCCCCAACGCATTGCAAGAAATCCTTACTGCCCTCAATGGTGCCATCTCGAGCTTCGACCGGTTTCTTGCCATCAACAAGTCCGCAGTTGCACGCATGACTCACTGTCTCTCCTGTCATTGTCTGCCTGATATATCCTCTGTCATGCTCCTCTCCGTCATCATCACCCGGATCGTGCAGTGCTACAAGAAGATCCGTAACGGAGAGTGTCAGGGCTCTGAGGAAGTCGGTGTAACCATGGGCATGCTCAAGATGGATAGTGAAGATGAATATCAGATCAAAATGGTTCTCATTCGTTCCGAACTGCGCAAGATTAAATTGCTCATTACCCGATTTCGCGATAGATTCGAGAATTTCCTGCAGGGCGCTGACAGACAACTGTATGAGGCGAACATGTCATTCCTGGAGTATGGATTAGACGACACAATCAAAGGACTTTAAACTTGCAATAACTTTTCCCATCGGTTTCTTTTGCCTTGTTCTTTGTCAGAGCCAGGTGTTGGGGGGGAAAGGTTTGTCGGTGTTGCAAGCGTTTTAACGACTTGGTGTATGGTATGTGAAAGTTTATCGCATATGATAATGACCGATACGAAGGAAAAAGGGTGAGAGAAAAGGATTTGAGAAATATATTGTAACCCTAGATTAGATGGGATCCCGCTTCTCCTCCCATATATCTACCAGCAACCGATAGAGAAAATCCACATCCCTCTCCAGGTGTCCTCTCTGGCTGTGGAGGAGGAAGTTGCAGCAAACGAAGTCATTTATTAAGATCTTGTCAACTTTCCCCTTAAATCTATTCTTACCCCCAACCACATTTGGTAGTAGGTTTGTGCCTCAGGATAGGAATACTATAATTAGGTTAAGTCAGCCTCGCGAGGTCAGACAGTTATGTGAATCTATGGGTGTTCCCGGAAGCTTATTTGTAATTTTCGAAAATTGAGGCCTCCTCTAGGCATCTGCCGCACTAAGATAGGTGTGGGAAAGGGACCGGGGTATATTATAACCTAACAACATAAGGCGAGGACAGGGGAAGGGAGGAAGCAAAATAACCCCATTGGGCACAAGGGGCAAACGAATGGTTAAAGTTCTACCCAATGCATATCCAGGGTCGAACCGGATATCAAATATTCTTATCTATGGTAACAATGTTCCCCGCAATGTAACAGGCTTCTCAACGAGCCGAGACGAGCCGGGACCGAGCGAGACTAGTCTCGCTCGGGCAAAACCCTAGCTCGTCTCGTCTCGTCCCCCTTGGGTTCATGGACCGGATTAACCATTTTCCGGGGCCTTCGCCATCGGATCCAGTCTATGGACCACCTAAAATAACTCTACTAATCACGCTCGACATCCCTCGTAACCGAGCGTAAACGACAAGCCTCGACGTCGACATGGTCCATGGATTGGATCCGATGAAATCCCCCCTTCGACCATCGGATCCAGTGTGTGGACCACCCTGACAAACTCAATTGATCATACTTGACATGATCCACGCATTGGATCCGATGAAATCCCCCGTCGCCCATCGGATCCAGTCTATGGACCACCCAAACAAGCTCGATTGATCACCCTTTGTAGGACCGAGAGAGGATTGATTGATTGAATCTATCTGAACAAGGCGCAAACTGCGGTGCACGTAACTAGACTAGTCCTGTCAAACTGGGGAACAACTTGAGATGTATTGAATGCTCTGTCTACCACCCAACCGGTCCTGCCAGGTTACTGGTATATATACACGTTGAGTTGACCCCTTTTCTTCTCCTATTTCTACCCATAAAACCTGCATAGGGGTGATAGCCTCCTTTTCAACAAAAGGGGCGCTTGCTACCATTCGGCCGATCAATGAGACCTTGTTCGACAAGTCCCAATATGGTCTGCTAATAAAATCAACTAGATTAACTACTGCTAACAAATAGTATTTATATCCACCTAATGGAATTCTAGACAACAGGCAACGATAGGCAGTAGCAGGGTGTAACAACTGTTGTAACACCCGCCGTGATATGAAACCTTGACTTACAAATTAACTATGGAAGCATTCCGGTGCTTTAATAATCAGATATCTCGAGGAAGTCTACAAGAAAGAAGAGAATAAAAAGGCTCCAAGGAGCGATCTAGCTACGCAGCTTGCAGTGAGTTAAAGAATAAATCAGAGAGTACAAAACTCAATGGGAACAATGAGTTGCAGCAATATATGTAAACAAGCTAGACCGTGGCTCGCCAAGGTCTTGCCCGCTCGTCTTGATCTCGTCTCAACCAAGACGAGACGAGACGAGCGCCACCAAAACCGAGCGAGCACTTAGTCCTGCCAAAATCGTTAAGCGAGTTTGTTCATCAAATTGTAATCTGGCCGATATTATATTATTCTCAATGGCGATCTCGTCAGGTAGTCTTGCATTCTGCATTCTAGCGCACCTCGGCCCACACAGAAGCCTTGGCCACGAACTCTTTCCAAGTCGTCAGAGGTTCATCCACGATCTGCAAAAAATGTCGTTAGCATGAGAAGAAAGACTCTCATGACTTGAAATGAGGGGGAAATTTGGTTCTTACCGATTGACTCTGCTTTAGATCTGCACCTCCAAAGTAGCCAAATTGAGGCATCAACAGCATATTTTGAAGCATCTCTTCCTGTAGAGGCGGTGGGAGGCCTTTGGACGCCAGCACTTTCTTGAACATCTCCTCAGGCACCTGCAGAGCCCTGCCGCCCTGGCCGTCCTTGGGTTTGACAGCTTGGAAGTCCGCAATGATCCGTTCAGGAGTGTAGTAACCGCTCGCCCCGTAGATACGAGCGCCCAGCACCTTTTCCCGGTTCAGCAAGATACCTTTCACGAATTTGCCGGTGTCCGCCTCAGTGTCGAAGAGCGGGATGGGGGAATTTGTGGGAATTGGCAGAGCGAAGTTGTATGGCCCCTGCTTATTGTTGAGGCTCTGACCAGGAATGTTGGACATGTAGAACCCAGGTAGGAAAAATGTAGCTGGGATACCGATGTCGCGAATGTATTGTTCAACATCTGCCTTGGAATCGAAATGTGCCACTTGAGAGAGCTTTCCACCAGAGACTGAGAGAAATCCAAGTGTCAGTATACATGATTGGTTTTTTTTTTTTTTTTGGATCAACGTTTTCCATCGGCTTACGTTCGGTGATGTTTAGCAGACTGCTCCAGATGAAATGCTGCACGCCAACTTCCTTGGCCACATCGGCCATGTTCTTTCCTTGTTGGACTTCAGCTTCAGCACTTTTCTTCTCCCAGAAGTTGGTGACAGCAAAGACCGCGTATGCACCATCCATGGCGATACGGAGAGATGGCTTGTCATCGCAGTCGGCCTGCAAACGGGAACATAAGTCAGCACTGACCGAACTGCACCACTTGTCCGGAAAAAGAGAAAAAGAGATTAGACTGACCGAGACACATTCAGCACCCATCTTGGTAAGTTCTTGAGCACTCGGTTTGGAAGGGTCTCTGGTGATAGCACGGACAGAGAACATGGATGCTGTTTTTGGATCTGACAGGATGCACCTCACAACGGAGCCGCCTTGCTTCCCTGTAGCCCCAAAGACTACAAGGATTTTCTGAACCGATCCATTGGTAGTGCCGTTCATCTTGGAGCGAATGCTGTTCAGGAGTGTGGTCAAACTTAGGCCCATGTAGGTAGAAGTATTTTTATCTCCAATACAAATATGTAGGGGTTTATACTGGTAATGTAGATTCAGAAGTGTAGTCCAATGTTTGATGGTAGTTGTCCGAGAGTTTAAATAATGATAGGGCAAGGAAGATCAAGAAATTTCCAGATTTTCAATGACCCATTCCCTCTGATCGAATCCGAATCTCCAGATGCTCCAATCAGCATCTGACTAGGGCCCGAAAGATGACGTTATCATCCGATCAAACATCGGTGCTCGGTCACAAAATAACGCGAATGATCTGCGATTTCTCTCAGCCACCAATGACCCATAATTATTAATTCTCGGTCCGTATCTTCGGTGAACGACAATGAGTGCTACAGTATCTTGCATTGTTGGGATTCTCGACATGCAAAAAAATGTTGAACATTATCAATAAGAAAGATGCAACACCGAACTGCGATGGGGCCTGGAGATATTTTGAAATCAATCTTTTCAAAGTTTCGGATTTTTCAGTCATACTCAGGTGGCTGGAAAAGTGAAGACCCCCCCCCGGAAAGGCACAGAACACAGGTTAACATATCATCTGTTTGAAACTCGAACAGAATGACTTTCAGTCTACAAGAACCAGTTCCAACGTCTCGCTTGGACGGAAAGGTTGCACTTGTCACCGGTTCGGGACGGGGCATCGGACGTGCAATTGCAATCGAGCTGGGAAGAAGAGGTGCGAAGGTGGTGGTGAACTACTCAAAGAGTTCTAAACCTGCCAAAGAAGTTGTTCAAAAGATCATCGACTCTGGTTCAGACTCGATCGCCATCCAAGCCGACATCTCGAAGCCGGAAGATATCGCCAAGCTTTTCGAGGCAGCGCATTCTCAGTTTGGCAAGATTAATATTGTCGTCTCAAACTCCGGCATCGAACACTTTGGAAGCATCGACCAGATCACACCTGAAGAGTATGACCAAGTGTTCAATTTGAACACTCGAGGTCAGTTTTTTGTCGCACAGAATGCCTACAAATTCCTTAGCGAAGGTGGCCGTCTTATCTTGATGTCTTCGATCTCGGCCAATGTGAGCTTGAAACATCATGCTGTCTACGCTGGAAGCAAGTGTGCTATTGAGGCATTCGGGCGATGTCTGACTAAAGAATTCGGAGCTAAGAAAGTCACGGTTAATGTCATTGCACCGGGAGGTGTTGATACGGATATGGCAGCTGAGGCTGGCTGGAGGTACATCCCCGGCGCTGATCCTTCGTGGACTGCTAAGGACATCAACAAGTTTGTTTCATCTCGAACGCCTCTTCAGAGAATGGGTGTTCCTCAGGATATTGCTCGAGTTGTCGCATTCCTTGCTAGTGAAGATGGAGGTTGGATAAATGGTAGGCCTCTATGACTAAGACGATCTCATTATCTGCATGTACTTACACTTGAACAGGACAAACAGTCACTATCTCAGGCGGTGCAACGGCATAGGGCCCATCTCAGAAACGTGGGATGAAGACAAATGCAGGAACGACTACCCCCATGCAGTGACCGGACTTAGAATATATGATACTCCACACCTGTACAGCTATCAGATTTCCATAGAACAAAATCAAATCAATAGCTTCCACTGGCACAGGGGACTTTCAAGACGTAACGATTCATGGTGAACATTGAAAATCCATTCCAACCCCGAATACCTCTGTCGATTCGTTCGTTCTCTGAAATGGGATGCCGAAAAATGTTCCCGATTCTTCCAGTGGCCGCGTAGGACTTTACTATCTTGTCGACCTTTACCCTACATACGCCAGGCTCAGAGTCCTGTGGACATAGGCCACTCAACAACCCCATTAGCATCGGAGGATCCTTGAGACTCACCATGTGTGGTTGACGTAGTTGCTTCCACTATTTATCATATGAAAGATATCACATCATGTCGTGGGCACAAAATACCGACATCGGTCACCGAATTTGAAGTTACATGGAGAGAGGCCAAAGTCAGCATAGGGATAATGGCAATGACAATAACATTATCATCCTCTACAATGAATAAAAACGGTCTCAAATTCTCTGCCATCACAATAATCCAAAATCTCCAAGGATTAATATTGTGTCTTTAAAGATTTTGTGTCTGATTTGATATTCATCTAAGCAGTCATGGGTTCTATTGGGTCCATGAGTCCTTTGGGGAAGGAGAAGATTTCTTTTGACGGCATGAATTTTTGTTGTATTCTTTCATTCTCTCTATGCTAATGTGGGATCTAGAATGGCTTGATTGCAGCAGAGTTCTCTACGACTGGGCAGACTGTTACGACAATAAGGTTAAGCTGAAGCAAATCTTGATGTCCATCTAAAAGCTAATATTGGCAGAACTGGTACGGCTTGATGGATATCATTGCCCCACATCTCACAGTAAGACTCTCCCTCCCTGGGCAGTTCAACAGTTGTACCTCTATACTAATGGTAGAAAACAGATTGACTACGACAAAGTCAACAATGCCAAATTCAGCGATTTCCCTGCGGAAAAGTATATTGAAATGATGAGCGACCCCATGTTCTTAGGCGACCCGCTTATCGCCTCTCAACATCTTATCGGTGCTACGAAATGGGAAAAAGTCTCAGACGAGGAGATTATCTCGCATCACCAATCGAGAGCCGCACATCAACGGTGGGAAGACGTTAGGCGGAAGGATGTGGCGGTCAAGGGCCATGGACATGGCGTGGTCACCACATTTTACAAGAAGATTGATGGCCAATGGAAATGGGCTGGGATCAAGACCAAAGTCATTTGGAATGAGTTTGACTTTGAACACGTCTTTCGAGGTACGGCGGGAAAGGATGTTTAGAAACAGAGACCGCAAGTCCATTTGTTTGGGTGTGTTGGGTGCAGCTGTAATTTGTGCACGCTTCTCGTCAATTTCCATAGCCCGATACCTAGGCGTTCTACAACCTTCCCAGAACAATCAATCAATCACGATGCCATTGTGACACCCTCCACAGAATTCATGCTAGCTATCTTCCTTTGTGTTATGTCATTGTTATCGATACAGGAGGATGCGGGTGCTATTTAGCATGGACCGGCCCATTCCGGTTTTGGTAATTGCTGCCAAAAGCTAACGCACCAAGCTTTCGGTCACCGACTGCCCACATTTTGCTGCAACGATGCAGTGGAGAGGAGCTTTTTATTCGGTGTCCAGCTGCTGGCCAACGTCCTTTCATGCTCGTAATGCACACCGAGAGCTATGCTATGATGGCCTCCAGAAAACAATTAAAAAGGCTCACGTTCGGCTTGACATGGACCCTAGAAGCCGACTGTGTTTCAATTTTGCGCGAGCAACATCTCTTCGATCTTTTTCCCCCCTCAAGCTTCTTCCAGCTCAGTAGCACTTCTCAAAATGTTGGCCGAGATCCGTTCAAAGATGATTTGGAGATATATCTTCACCTGCACTTTGGTCGTGAATGCTGTCGTGGCGGCTCCTGCGTCCAATTTCAACAACCTGCAAGATTGCGTTACCGGTGCTCTTTCTGCTCTTGGAGATGTTCAAAAACGTGTGCAGACTGCTAAATCTGCAACCTACGAAGACGCACGTGTGGGTGCCATCATGTTAGTACAGCAAACTGCATTGCATTTACTTTGATCTAACCAGCTGTTCGTTAGTAAGCCTGAATTTCCGGCCATGATTGCTTTTGCCAAATCCGCAACCGAGGTCGGCGCTTTGATAGGATGTGCTGCAAATACCGGCTATCAAGCCGTCCCTCGTTCGGGTCGTCATCAGTTTAAGTCATTCCACTGTGTTATTAAGTGTCTCTGCTGACCAAATGATATAGCTTCGAAGGCTGGTCTGCACTGAACGGTTCCTTGGTCATCGATGTATCCTCGATCAACTATGTCAACATTGATGATGACCTCAAAACGGCCACCATTGGAGGTGGAACGAACCTCGGTCAAATTTACACCGAATTGAGTGTCGTAAACAAAACATTTTTGGGAGGGATCTGTCCCACGGTAGCTCTAGGAGGTTATCTTGGAGCTGGAGGATACAACCTACAGCAGAGGCAACATGGCCTGGCTGTGGACCAGGTCTTGTCTTTCAAGATCGTCATGGCTAATGGAGATCTTCTCAATGTCTCTCCAACGTCCCACCCAGATCTATGGTTCGCTGCACGAGGTGGTGGGACATACGGTATTGTTGTTGAAGCCACGGTGAAGATTATCACCCTACCAAGGTCGGCCATGGTGGTTGGTTTCTTCAACAACAAGACAACACGATATGAAGTAGTGAGGAAATTCCTCGACTGGGCACCTAAACAGCCAAGCGAATTCACCAGTCAGCTCAATGTCTATAGCAATCGGTCTCATTTCATCGGCTGGTATCTGGGTGGTACCAAGCAAGAACTACAGGCCATCATGGACAAATCTGGGCTCTTCGACGTCCCTGGAGCAAATATCTCCATTGCCGGAAACTGCAGCACTGAGAATTCTCGCATGTACTGGATGGATCCCACAACTACTTGCATTGATGACGATGATGCCTATAAGGCATTCCTCATGGTCTACAACACAGAACCAATTCATTTAGTACCGATCAAGCCACAGCTGCGAATCGAGGAGGAACTAGCACTTCCATCTGCGCCTCCAGCGGCGTTATGGCCTAGATTTGGTGTCATCAGCAAGACTTACTTCACTCTAAAGAATAAGCCTCTGTCCAATGACACACTCAAGGAATTCATCCAGAGAACTGAAGACCTTCCCGAGGAGGCCGGTTTTTGGGGGGAATGGACGAGTTTTGGCATTCCAAAACCGAATGCAAACACCACCGGCTCTTTCCCTTGGCTAGAGGATGCCTCGATATTGATGCGAATGGAGGTCTCATCTGGAAAGGATAAGAAGACATATGAGGCGAATCGCGAATGGCTTCTCGACTTTGAGAAGTTCTTCCGTCCTAAAGTTGGGTAAGGTTTTTTTTTTTTTTTTGATCTAGTACCGTGCGACCAGCGGCTAGTCGACTAATGTAGCGACTCTTCATTCTAGACACGCCAGCTATTCCGGATACATTGATGCGGACATCTCTGTCAACCCACTGACTGCATATTACGGCGATAATATCTGCAGGCTGATCAAAGCAAAGAAGTTGTACGACCCCGGAAACTTTTTCAGAAACCCATTCTCGGTCCCAACTACACCTCCGAAGGGCCTTTGCTAGGTCGACAGATTTCGTATTGGCTTTCATGTTGCAGGGTATCCGTAAACCATGGGGTATTGGTGTTGGGCAGCGCGGAAGAAAAAGGGGAGAAAAGGCCCGGAAGGAATTTATTGTATTATGTAATCCACCGTCATAATCGTCGAGACAAGGCTGCGGTGTGCGGGTTCCCACAAAATATACTAGAAAAGTGATAAACGTTTTAGCACTTGAGTACCTATCACGCAGGGAAGATGTTGGTATCAAGGGTCGTGAAGCAACCACACACGAAAGTCGACTCAGCTGATTCCCCTTTATACAGACTGTATGAGCCTCAGAGGGGAATGAAGCGCCTTGAAAGAACCCAATGGACTTAAAAGACTCTCACGCTGATTTTTTTCGTTTCTGTGACGATTTCCTCTCATGTTGTCTCTCTTTCTATTTCTTTCTTGCTCATCTATGCACTCTCTTATGTTTGTTTCGGACCCAGCGGAATAGCTTGCCTCCTTGCAAAATCCATGCTCGTTAGCACTCCCGTACACTAGGAACGATTGATATTTCATCTTTGAAGCATCAATAGAGAAGTATCAGCGCAGTATTGGTACCTTATGATGATGTCGCAGTCAACCTGGCTGCTATGTGGCGAAGACCGGTGATTCAGGCCTCAATGCAAGTCTGGACAACGTACTTCTCACAAAACGGCTGATTTAGCCATTTCTCTGGGTCAGGCCAAAAAATAATATCAGGTGAGATTATTTATCATCAAACGGCCAGATGGGCTAATTAGATTCGACGTCATCTTGATTAGCTTGTGTGCCTTTGGCCCAGAGTGACCGTCGTGGTGGCAATAAGGGCTTCGGTCACCGGTCGGTTCACCGATTGAGGCATATTCATCATGAAACCCTCGCTGATAGAACACCAAGTGGCCCTATTGATATCATCTCCGGTTCGGTTATAGTTTTCGGTTATAGTTTTTAGGTATATGACGCCGAATCGATCGCTCTGAGATAGAAAGGAAAACAGCCAATTTCTTGAGCTATTCGCCTTCAACAACAACAACAACAACGATACCTTGGCTCCTTTTCGCTATGGACTTCTGGCCTCGAAAATCATTCTCTCTGGCCATTGTAGGTGGTGGCCTCGCTGGTCTCAGCCTGGCTCGTGGTCTTCTCAGACGCGGTGTCAACTGTCGAGTCTTTGAAGCCGCACCGGCCTTTGCGGATATTGGAGCCGGTCTGAGCTTTGCTTTGAACTCCCTGGAGGCTTTGAAAGCAGTCGACCCGGATTCCTATGGAATGTTCCTGAAGAGGTGTGATGCCGTGTCTGAGAAAAAGGATGTGTATATGACCTATCGAGATGGAATGTCGGAGGACGGCCATGAAGTCACGACTCTTTACTGTAAAGGTTCCGGTCAGCGGGCCGTACATCGTACATTGTTGGTCAAGGTATGTCCTTCAAGTCTCATATGTTGAATGTCGATTCTGACACAAGTGTAGGATATGGTTTCTCTGATGCCAGAAGGAACGTTCCACATGGACAAGAGATTGGAGAGTCTGGAAGAGAATCCGTCTGGTGGAATCACGTTGACCTTCGCGGATGGCACTATGTTTGACGCTGACGCGGTCGTTGGTGCGGACGGTATCAAATCCAAGACTCGACAGATTCTTCTCGGTGAAGAAAATCCAGACTCTCGTCCGAAATACTCGGGAGAATATGCATATCGCAGCCTTGTGCCTATGGACGAGGCTGTGGATGTGCTTGGTGAAGATTTCGCAAAGAATGGCAATGTCAACATTGCTGATGGCGCTCTAACCACAACTTACCCTGTTGAGAGAGGGACCATGTTGAACGTTGTTGCAGCTCGTGATCAGCCAACATGGGAGAATCCGAGCTGGGTGATTCCAGCCAACAAGGCATCTATTGAAGAGGAATTCAAAGATACAGGTCCCAAGATGCGGCAAGTGGTCTCTCTTCTGAAAGAACCCCAAAAGTGGTCTCTATGGCATCATCCTTCTGCTTCGACATTCTACCGAGGTCGTCTCGTCATCGTTGGCGATGCAGCGCATGCCGCAACTCCACATCAAGGAGCAGGAGCTGGACAAGCATTTGAAGACGCCCTTGTGCTCGCCAATCTGCTCGCTAATGATAACGTCAACCGAGCCGAAGACCTTGAGAGCGCTTTTGCCGCATTCGATTCCATCAGACGGCCACGAACTTTGAAAGTGGTCGAAACAAGCCGAGAAAACGGCAAAGTGTGCATGAAAAAGGGCAAGGACACAGGAGCTGATCTGGGACAAATCAAGGAAAATCTGGACAAGCGATTCGAGTGGATTTGGTACGACAACCTCGACAGCCAGGTCGACGAGGCTGTGGGGAAATTGAAGGATATCCTGGGATCCAACTTGAACGAGGACTCCCAGTCTCCTTCGCCGCATCAACTTCTCGACGAATCTACCGTTGAAGCAAAATACAAAGCCCCACTCCTCAGAAGCAAGAGTTTAGGTCATGCGGCGTCGCAATTGGTAAAGGTGTTAAAGGAGTTTTTGCGGCGAATTTAGACCAGTTTGTCACTCATACTCCAGAAACCTGTTTGTGCAAATTGGGAGAACCGGGAGTAGCGCGGCCAAGGAGACTTAGTTCTAGCATACATGAAATTCCTTCCCCATAGACAACTCATGAAATGGATAATGGATTTTCATCAAAAATTCCACGCTCCTGCCTCCTCCAAATTCCAGATGACAGGGCCTGAAACATCACATCAAATGGGCAGGAAACGAGATGAACAGATTCAACGTAACTGCGAATCCCCAGCCATTTTCCGATTCTATCACAGCTTCTCCTATCTGACTAGATCAACTCTCGATGTCATTCCAGAAGAAAAGTTGCTGATCTGGAAGCAAGATCGAATTTGCCACAATTTTAGCACCGATTTTTTGAAGGCCCGCCAAAATACCTGGCACGTACTCTAGGTTCATTGAATACCACGTGTTAATGGGATGTTGCGGAAGTGGAGTCGAGATATGTCAGTGGCGAAGGAAGTCTCATGAACACCGGCGAACAATGCTCGGTGGATATCGTCTCTCTGGTAATGAGAACCACATTCTGCTGAATGTCTCGGTGCAAGAAACCAAGTTGGACAGTCATTTTGCCTCCCTTTGCAATGCATCCTTATGGCGTCATCTCGTCAATTCGGTGCAGCACCGCAGAGTCGCCGGATCCACCACATGCTGTAGTCGGCGTTCTTAGGTCAAGGGTCCTCTAGGAAACACTCCCCTAACAGCTTGAGTGTGGAACCAACTCCGAGGTTTCTGCTATACCTTCATCGAAATTTATCAATTGAGTTCAACGTTGAGCCATGAGCACGAATTGAGTCCTCCGATGTCATCGATCCTAAACCCACCTGACGTATGCTTCTCTTTGGCTTGCTTCTTTTCTTTTTCTTCTTATTTTCCCCTTCTGTATGGCATCGGTCGCCGATATCACAAGGTTTCGAGTGTTTTAGGGTGATTGTGTGAAATTGAACAGCACGAAATGGCCAATAATGAGTTCCGTTAACGTTTGCAAACACTTGATATATATATTGAATGACTTGCGCTGGAAATTCCAGTCAAGACCCGAATCCCTAAATGTTTTCATCCTCTCGTTCCCAACTCTTACCATGGGCCGAGACATCAAGGTCCTCCAGTTTGGAGACCAGTCGGAACATGTTATCGATGATTTGCGCGATCTCCTGGCAGTCAAAGATAACCCTCTCTTGAACAATTTCTTTGATAAAGCTTACATCACCTTGCGGGATGAGGTCGCCCATCTTCCCAATGTCACGCGAGGTCTCCCGGGTTTCACAAGTGTGGAAACGCTCCTGTGGAGGTATACCGAGTCTGGGGTTCAGCATCCAGCTATTGAGAGTGCCTTAGTCTATATTCACCAAGTAGCAAGCTTGCTGAGGTGAGTTTGTCCGGTCCCTGTCATTTGAAAGTGGACGAACACGGGAGTTGAGCGCCAAGAATGAGGGGTTCTAAAGCCTAAGCTTCAGCCTCCTCTCATGCCATTTCCTGCATCTTCAATGGCGCTAACATTGCTCTATGCACTAGGCATTATGGTGACGGTGCTGATTTGTACCCCAAGGCAGACACCACGAGAATCGTGGGATCATGCACTGGCCTACTCTCTGCAGCCGCCGTGAGTAGTGCGCGAACATATCGCGAACTTGTCTCGGTTGCGATTGAGGTTCTGAAATTGGCATTCCGTGTCGGTGCTCAGGTAGCTCAGGTTTGCGACGAACTCAAGCAAACTTCGCCTGATCCGGGCAGCTGGGCTGCCATTTTCCCCGGAGTTGGAAAAGAATCTGCATATCTGGTTCTTGAGAAATTTGCCAAAGACACTGTAGGTCGCCCATGTCACAAGCCCTCCTCCCGTGCGATATAGGCTCAACATGGTGTCTCGCAGAAAATTCCACCAACAAGTCGCCCATACGTTTCTGCTACCAGCCTAAACTCGGTCACAGTCAGCGCTCCTCCCTCCGAGTTGGACAGGCTGGTCAAATCTGGAGTCCTCAAATCAAGCCGACCGATTCGAATTCCCATCTACGGGCCATATCACGCTCCTCATTATTATAGTGAAGGAATTGTGACTTCACTGGTTAATTTTGTTCCAGAATCCGTCGCAAACCAATGGACACCACGTATCCCCATCATTGCCAATGCCAAAGATCATGTCTACCACACGTCGAATCTGCATCAGTTGTTGAAAGAAGTGCTTGATGACATTTTGCTGAAACCTTTACATTGGGATAGACTCTGCACGAATTGTGTAGCAAGTGTCTCCTCTGCAGATCCAGAAAATTGTCAAGTGGTGCCCATCGCCGCGAAGAATGCTTCCACTAGCTTGATCAACGCATTGACACAGAAAGCCAATTTTAAGGTGACTCTTGATGACCGAGCAATACGAACCACCGAAGATTCACATCGGTCGAAACCAAGAGGAAGACTTGGAAAGTCCAAAATCGCAATTGTTGGCATGTCTGGAAGGTTTCCTGATGCGAGCAGTCCTAGTGACTTCTGGGATTTGCTGAAGAAAGGTCTTGATGTTCATCGAGAGATCCCCAGTGATCGATTTGACGCACAAGCACATTACGATCCAACTGGCAAACGCAAAAATACCAGTCACACACCGTACGGTTGCTTTGTCGAACATCCAGGTCTTTTTGACGCCAAGTTTTTCAACATGAGTCCAAAAGAAGCCACGCAGACAGACCCTATGCATCGATTAGCTCTTATCACGGCTTATGAAGCTTTGGAAATGTCCGGCTTTGTTCCAAATCGGACACCATCGACAAGGGCGGATAGGGTCGGTACATTCTACGGCCAGACCTCTGACGACTGGCGAGAGATTCAGGACGGTCAAAACATCCAGACATATTTCATTCCTGGTCAGTTGTATTCCCCCAAACCCCCAAACCCCAAACCGTTCTCTAGACCTGATTCTAAATCTGGCCCTTTTCTTTACTAGGTGGTGTAAGAGCATTTGCACCAGGCCGTATCAACTATCATTTCGGATTCTCAGGACCCAGTTTTAGCGTCGACACCGCATGCTCTTCGAGTCTTGCCGCGATTAACATCGCCTGCAATTCTTTGTGGTTAGGCGAATGTGACACCGCCCTTGCAGGTGGTCTCAACATCTTAACCAATCCCGATATCTTTGCAGGTCTTTCTAGGGGCCAATTCTTGTCCAAGACTGGCAATTGCAAGACCTTCGATGATGGAGCAGACGGCTACTGTCGTGGAGATGGTGCAGGCTCTGTCGTTCTGAAAAGACTCGAAGATGCAGAGGCAGATAATGATCCAATCCTCGCTGTCATTCTGGGAACTGGAACAAATCACTCGGCTGATGCTGTTTCCATCACTCACCCTCACGCCGGTGCTCAGGAATACTTGTTCAAGAAGACGCTTACGGAGTCCGGGGTCGATCCACATGATATCAGCTATGTGGAAATGCATGGCACTGGAACTCAAGCTGGTGATGCAATTGAAATGGAATCGGTCTTGAATTCATTTGCACCGGAAGGCCGAAAACGAGATCACCCCCTTTACCTTGGATCCGTTAAAGCGAATGTTGGACATGGCGAGGTAAGTGCACTCAGTCGGTATCTCCATGGTGCGAGACACTGACTTTTTGTATCAGGCTGCTTCAGGAATTACAGCACTCGTGAAGATTCTTCTCATGCTTGAACACGATCTGATACCGCCTCACTGTGGTATCAAGAATAATATCAACCGTAAATTTCCTGATCTGGCTGCTCGGAATGTTCATATCTCCCGCTGTCGAGAGAGTGAATGGAAACGACCAGCAGGTGGCAAACGCCGCATGTTCCTCAACAACTTTAGCGCCGCCGGAGGAAATACCTCTCTCCTTATGGAAGACGGGCCATTGATGATCACCAATGGAGAAGATCCTCGCTCAACAACTCTGGTGGCGGTATCTGGAAAAACAAAGAATGCTTTTATCAAGAACACCGAGAACTTAATCAAGTTTCTCGCGCAAAACCGCTCCACGGATCTTCCTAGCCTCTCATATACGACGACAGCCCGCCGTGTTCATTACCCGTATAGAACAATGGTAGCAGGCTCTGATTTATCAACAATTGAAGCGGGTCTCAAGAAATCCTTGAGCTCAGACGTCTCGGCAGTCCCTGGTGGAGGTCCTCCCGTAGTATTTGCTTTCACTGGACAAGGATCTCACTACACTGCCATGGGCAAACAGCTCTATAACACCAACTCTCAATTCAGATCCGACATTGACCGCTTCGACTTGTTGGCTCAAAATCAGGGATTCCCTGCCATCTTGCCCCTGGTTAACGGAAGCGCAGAAATCGAATCTCTTGGCCCGGTCGTGGTTCAAACTGGGGCCATCTGCATTCAAATCGCACTCGTTCGATTGTGGGCAGCTTGGGGCATCAAGCCAGCCGCTGTCATTGGTCACAGCCTTGGCGAATACGCGGCGCTTCATGCTGCAGGAGTCCTATCAATCAATGATGCTATATTCCTAGCGGGAACCCGGGCAAAACTTCTGGACACACATTGTACCAGGAATACGCACGCTATGTTGGCCGTTTCCGCTCCCACACGGGATTTGGAAGATTACATCGACGGGAAGGACTACGAACTTGCATGTGTCAACGGCCCCAAGGCGACCGTGATCGGTGGAGAGTCCAGTAACATTGATCGACTGCGTGAAAAGCTTACATCGGAAGGAACGAAATGCACGAAACTGCACGTACCCTTTGCTTTCCACTCATCTCAAGTGGATCCAGCCTTGGAGGAATTCGAGGCCGCCGCTTCCCACGTTACGTTCAAAGCTCCCATGGTGCCTCTCATCTCACCACTACTCAGTGGCGTGATCACCGACGACAAAGCCGTCAACGCCACATATCTCAGACGTCATTGTAGGCTTCCTGTGAATTTCTTGGGCGCGCTGCAAGCCGCCAAAGATCAAGGCGTCATCAAGAACAACTCCATCTTCCTCGAAATCGGCAGTCATCCAATTTGCACGGGAATGGTCAAGGCTAGCCTCGGTTCGACAACGGTTGCACTCGCCTCTTTGCGACGAGATGAGGATGTATGGAAAGTGGTCACGGGAAGCCTCTGTGCTCTATACAATGCCGGTCTTAAGATCGATTGGAACTACTATCACCAAGACTTCCCCAGATGCCATAATACTTTGCGTCTACCCGCATACAGCTGGGACGCGACCAACTATTGGATTGATTATCAAAACAACTGGACACTCACCAAGGGCGAGGCTCCTGCTGTTAAGGTTGAAAAGACGGCCAGTCTCGAGACAAGCACTGTTCAACGTGTCGTAGAAGAGAAGTTCCAAGGCCAAAAGGGTACCATTACTACGGAAACTGATATTTCTCGCCCGGACCTCGAGGAAACTATCAAAGGTCACATCGTCAACGGTTCAGCATTGTGTTCCAGCGCAGTCTATGCTGATATGGCACTGACCATTGGTCATTACGTTCATCGCAAACTTGAACCTTCCAAGGAAAATCTTGCCCTGAACTGCTCTGACATGGTTGTTGAAAAGCCTCTTGTCGCCAGAGGTGGTTCCGAAGCACAGTTACTTCGAGCGACTTGCTCGGCCGATTTGTCTCAAGGAGTATGCAACATTCACTTCTACAGCGTTGACGCCAAAGGCAAGACGACCGTGGAACATGCTCGCTGTCAAATTAAGTATGGTGACACTGAGAAATGGTCGGTGGATTTGTCCCGACAAAACTACCTCATCTCATCCCAGGTTGATCGACTTCTGCAAAGCGGCCAAAAAGGTGAGCTAAGTCGGCTTCAGCGCAAAATGGCGTACAAGCTGTTCTCTGCCCTAGTCGATTACCAAGACGCCTACAAGGGGATGGCGGACGTCATTCTAGACAGTCCAAACCGTGAGGGCACAGCCCGCGTTGAGCTACCTGGAGGCAAGAATGGGCAGTTCTTCATGGCACCCTATCACATCGACAGTTTGTGCCATCTTGCAGGCTTCATCATGAATGCTAATGATGAGCTCGATTCGACTAAGACCGTCTTTGTCAACCATGGCTGGCAATCTCTTAGATTCACCCGGAAACCATCTCCCAATCGGACTTATCGTTCTTATGTCAGGATGCAACCTACAGGCCCCAACTCCAAAGACTATTCTGGAGATGTCTACGTGTTTGACGAAGATGGCGAGATCATTGGCCTGATTGGCGGCTTGGAGTTCCAGTTTCTACCCAAGCAAGTTCTTGACCGAGTCTTACCACAAGCCAGCGGTGTAAAGACAGCCGCCAGTACTCCAGCCAAGAAGGCTTCTCCCGCTCCAAAGAAAGCAGCGCCAAAACCGGCGGCGCCAAAACCGCGTGCTGCTCCAGGTGGCCCAACGACGCTAACTCGGGCTCTCGACATCATGGCCGAAGAAATTGGTGTTCCGATTTCCGAATTCACTGATGATTGCGACTTGAGTTCTCTCGGTGTCGATTCCTTGATGAGTCTCACAATCTCTGGAAAATTCCGTGAGGAACTGGACATTGAAGTGCCTTCAACGCTGTTGACCGATGCTCAAACATTCAAAGAGGTCAAGGACTTTTTGTCTCAATTCGACTTCAAGAGCACTCCAGCCCAGATGGAATGTCTGGATGATTCTTCTGCCGAGTCCACCGACATGTCCGGTGTCTCAACACCTTATCCTGGTGACTCGGATTCGATGACTTCGCTTTCTGAGATTGATGCAAAATCGACAGGCGAAGACATCGACAAAGATGACGACAAAGTCTCAGCAATCCGTGCTGCCATCGCAGAAGAGACTGGCCTTGACCCCTCTGAAGTGACTTCCTCCACAGAACTTGCCAGCGTCGGTATCGACTCTCTTATGTCGCTCCAGATTCTTGGTATCCTACGCGAGGAACAAGGACTGGACCTTCCACCAACCTTCTTCAGTGACCATGACACCTTTGGAGACATTGAAAGAGCTCTAGGCGGCGGAGCAAAGCCAAAACTTCCCACCGACTCCGAAAAGATGTCGACGACTCAAGTTGTGGAGAAACTCACCGCGGACAAATGCGCTGAAAAGCCGGCAGCCACTCCTGCCCGAAAGAGCAAGCCGAGTCGTCAGGCAACCTCGGTCCTTTTGCAAGGGAACCCAAAGACAGCCCCCCAGACACTATTTATATTCCCCGACGGTTCGGGCTCCGCCGTTAGCTATGCCACCATCCCACCCATTGCGCCCAAAGATGTTGCTTTGATTGGCTTGAACTGTCCATTCATGAAGACCGCCGATGAATTTGATTGCGGCATCGAGGGCGTCGTATCCCTGTACCTCGAAGAAATCCGACGACGACAACCCAAGGGTCCATACATCCTCGGCGGCTGGTCAGCCGGTGGTATATGCGCGTATGAGGCATGCCTACAACTCCAAGCCGCGGGCGAAGTTGTGGAAAAGCTGATCTACCTGGATGTCCCCTGCCCACTGCCTCCACAGGCCCTTCCGACGCGACTGCACCAATTCTTCGACTCGATTGGCCTGTTGGGGGCTGAGGGTGAAGCGCCTGCTTGGCTCCTGCCTCACTTCAGCGCCACAATTCGGGCCCTGAGTAACTACCGGCCACGATTGATGGATCCGGCCAGAGACCACATCCCCAAAACTTACACAATCATGGCCCGTGACGGTGTGTGCAAGCACGAGAACGATCCTCGACCTGAACTCTCCCCCGACGACCCACCGCACATGAGCTGGCTACTCTTCAACCGCACGGACTTTGGTTCCATTGGCTGGGAAAAACTGTTGGGAAGTACCGACAACATCATCTCCCTCGAGCCAATCTCGGATGTGAATCACTTCACTATGATGCGCGAGCCTCATGTCAGAGAAATTCCGAGCCGATTGCGGCAGGCGTTAGGGGTATCTGGCTAGGAGAATGAAAGACAACAAAGGGGAAAAGAAAGGAAAGAAAGAAAGACAAATACGAAATTGAAAAACAAGACTTGAGTTCGGGCCTTTGGAGAAGAATAGCATTGAGGATGCCCAGCAATGTACCTTAGGAGTAGGCGGTCCAATATCCGGGAATATGAATATGGAGTATTGGGCTATCAAGGCTGCAGTATGTTCGGTTTGTTATTGTACGGAATAGACATCGAATAGACATTGCTTTCCATAGCGAATCCTAAGGTGGAGGATGTTCCATGACCTTAGTAAGGCGGATTCCGGCTGACAGCCGTCTCGACTGTTTTCAACTTGCATTCTCAGGATTGAACAACGGATGAGTGTGTCTTTGTCTCCACTCGGGCTCATCGACTCTGAGCTGTCTTCTTCTAACGGCAGAGTGTCTGCAAGAACGAGGCAAATTATGTTTCTCAAATGAACCCCCTACAGTACTATATCTCATTGTGGTACTTGATAACCACGCCCCAGACTCTTAGAATCCCGATTCCCCTTTCCGTTCTAGGGGGTGAGCGTTATCGCTCTAACTCGCCCTGACTGTTTGCGTAAGAAGAGGAATTCGCGGCCGACGTATAAGAAGGAGATGACCTCCGATGATGAATCCTGACCTTTCGAGCTTTCAAGCCCGAGCAAATCACATGAACGCAATCGTATCATCCAAAGGTAATTTCGGAAACACGATGCCGACGTTCCTCGTCAAAGAGCATCTTTTCCAAGTTCTTCTTTCGACTCCAGGTTAGAATCGTTGATTGGGCCCTGTTCACCGAGGTTGAATGCGTTCTAGTCTGCATCAATATGGGAAAGAAAGTATAATCTCTTAACGGCCCATCCGACTTCCGGTGGGCCTATCCAAAAGATACATTCGGCGTCGACTGTGAATGCAGCAGCGTCTGCTCCTTACTACCTCCTGACCTCCAAGCAAGCGAGGCTTGCCGAATCCAGACCCAAATCCTGGACAATGCCATTGGTGATTCAGAGCACGTGGTAAGCACACCGCATGACTGTCTGCTAGATCGTTGTCATTTGCTCCAAGTTCTCGAGAAGTACAAAGGCGCTGCTGATGCCTTCATTGCTACACCCTATCACAACGCTTTCCAATCAGTATTATTCGCGGTGACCAAGCTCGAACGAGCTAGGGTATTTGTCGAGATGGGTTACTTTGGAACCAAGTATGGCCTCTGAAATAAATGTGACTCTGAGCGCAGACCCGACCGAGCCGAGATCAAATATTGCATGTTACGTTTGTCGTCGGCGCAAGGTTAAATGTGGGAAGGAGCTTCCATTTTGCCTCACATGCCAGCAATCCGCACAGAAGTGTGCGTACCCTGAAAAGGCTCAGAAGCCAGGTTAGACGATGCAGGCCATGGTTCACCTCAAATTGACAAAGTAGACCATACCTTGGCTTAGAATACCAATTATATGACCGGTGTATGGAATCGACTGCGGGGCGATGGGTGGTTCTCGCTTGTCGTGGCGTGGTTTGAGTAGATGACGGAGGAAGATGACTACCACCGCAAGAAACAGTGTGATTCGAAGAGTAAATATCATTGTCGATTGTAAATCCTATCTGTTCTGCTTCGGGTTTGGCGGTTCTTTGACTGAAGCAGAAGATGTACCAAGCTGTACTCATCAACGTCGAGACTTTGAGAGATATAAGATGTGCTTTGCACTGACAGGGAAGAGCAAAGCATTGCATTCATTTGTGCTATTCTCGGATTTCTAACACCATCTTAGTACCTGAGGTCTCCACACGAATCGACCCGCAACTCGCAACTCGCAACTCGCGAATCAACTATTAGCGAGCCGACAGCGCCAGATATCATATTCGGGGGATGTATGCGGGCACCAAATTCGGCACCAAATTAAAGGGGTGCCAGCCTCGGCTCAATCTTGCCACTCACCAATTCATCCTGACCTCGTCGTCGCTCGTTTTGTATAGGAATACTTGGTGTTGATAATTTCTGCCTTACGTGATTAGCCAACACCCCCACAACGTAGCGGATCCAGTCCATGGCCCATGAGTAGACGATGTCGTTATATTCCATCAATTGGATGGCAACCCTCCGACAGTTTTCAACAGTTGATACTCATTTTTGCAGCACACACCAAGATTCTATTGAATGCAATTTGCTCGCTTAACATCCAAGTCTCTAGCGTCGATATCGACTGGCGAGTCCCGCGAGTCAACGACGACGGCGACTCGCGGACTCGTACTCGCGAGTCGAAGATATTATCACCGTAGTTCCTTTTTTTGTTGATTTTACTTCGACCCGCAGTGTTCCTAGGGAGTCGTCACCCAAACGACTCCTTAATCTCGCCTAACGTCTCGGCAAATCCCTCGGGCGCTCTTATTGGCTGTGACAATCACAGGCCTGGCGTTGTGATTGGTTGGAACATGAAGAGGAGGTTGCTACTTGTCGTCCTACCTGAGGTCGTACACAAAGTTCCATAGCAGCATCATGCAGCTTTGGACCCATCTGATCGCGGGATTATTACCGTAGGACGGAGCCACATCCAATACACCAATGAGGAGTAAAGCCAGAGGTAAAGTCATGAGGCCGAACAGGTAGATGCGCCTCCGACCCACGTGAGCAACGAGGAGCCAGCTAAGGCGATTTCCGACGAATCCGAGACCTAGGACGCCAAACCAAGTCCAAAGGCGTTGGACGCAATAGCCAATGACAAAAGCCGTGCCACTGAAAACTTGGGCGTGGAGATGATAGTGCGGCGGCGGTCTGACCCCTTGAACAAGTCGACACAGCGGACTTCGTCATGTTGTGCTTCTTCGAGCTGAATTGTGAGGATAATGTTCGCTAACAAGGTATCTGTGTCGATGCCCTTTGTCGTCAAGCGGTCGAGGGCCTTGCGAGCCTGCTCGTTGTCCTTGCATTTCCGCACTACCCACTAAGGTGACTCGGGAGCGAAAAACACCTCGATGAAAATCAACCACTGGCATGCGAATGGGATACCGTAGCTCCACCGGTCTTTACGACTGCGTGTGGCATGGAGGACCGCACTGCAAATAAGTTGGCCGCTCACCTGGAAAATGTTGATCAAGGCTGTGGCGATGCCACGAAGGACCGCAGGGGCGATTTCCGAAATATGAGTCGGGACGACGACGGTGTAGCCGCCGATGAGCAGTCCATCCATCAGCTCTGCAAGGAGCAACTGTATCTTCGTCTATCTTGAGACTTGAATAGCTACAGCAATGATCGAACCCACGCTACAGATGCCCAGAGTCCATCGACGACCCCATCGATCAAGCGGTCACCCAATGAATTATACGCCGGGGACGGCTCCCAGAGGAGCGCCCAGATTGAAAGCAGATTGCCATTCCGCTTTTACAACGTACGAACCATTGAAAAACTGGCCGTACTGTCTCTGGAATTGCGGGATGGCGATCAGGATGCCCGTAAGTTGAGGATCGAAGCCGACCATGACATTGCCTGTGCTGAACAGAAAAGTCCAGAGAATGGCTGGAGCGTAGAACCGGAGAGCATGCCTGATGGACAAGGTATGTCCCAAAGCAGTGGCATCACGGGCTTGTTGTAGGTTGACGATCTCGCCTTCGGTCGTTGAACGACCTTCGCAACGACGTTTTGCGCTTGTCTTCTCCCGCCACCACAGGCAGCTTTCGTGGATCATTCTCCACAGTGCCCGTACCGGTGGCGGTGAGCTTTTCCTGGACACTGGAACTCATACTTTGGAACTAGTTCTAGCGGTGTTAGCAAGGATCCTACAACCACATAGCCGCGCACAAAAAACAGGAGTCTTGTCCACTTTGGAATACTGGTATCCTTTCCTTTTTCTTTTCCTTTTTCCTTTTTCCGTCGGGTTCAGACCCCTGTTGGGATTTCCATGGACAGAGGGTGGGACGAGAAGCAATAATAAAAGAAAATTATTTTCGGCGCTGATGGGGTGGTCACCGAGATAGCTCCACAATCTCCGAGTGAGTGGACGCGGGGCGCAGCCACAACTGCTTGCCCTTATTAAGTTGTCGTGCCAGTGAAATTGCTCGATAGTAATGACACGACAGTCGTGATAAGGTGCTGTAGTAGGGACAAACTGCTACGATTTAGGATACAATATCTTGATCGTTGGAGTGCCATGAGCTGATGGCGCACGCAGGCGGCAATGTCATTCATTGTTACATCTCCTCTTGAGGCAACTGCCACATCGGGAATATATTGACAAAGTCCTCACGCTAGTTCGTTTCTGATGGGACACTGAAAAGAATCAAAGTCAGGTTCCAAAATCGATCACATCCTTTCTCATATATTGCTTTCCTCTTCACGTCCAAGTAGCGCAAGAAAAGGTGACGAGTCCCTCTACATACCCTCTCATCTCGTTCCGCATCTCAAGCAAAAATCAGTCAAGATGGCCACAATGGACAAGGTGTTTGCTGGCTACACTAGCCGTGAAAATATCCTGGACAAGAGCAGCAACCCGTTTGCAAGAGGGATCGCCTGGATCGAAGGAGAACTTGTTCCTCTGGCCGAAGCTCGCATCCCGTTGCTCGACCAAGGGTTTATGCATAGCGACCTCACGTACGACGTCCCGTCGGTCTGGGATGGCCGATTCTTTCGGCTTGACGACCATATGGATCGACTCGAAGCTAGCTGCGCCAAAATGCGGCTTATGTTGCCTATGCCACGTGAGCAGGTGAAAGATATTCTAGTTGACATGGTGGCCAAATCCGAAATCAGGGACGCTTTCGTCGAACTGATCGTTACGCGTGGTCTGAAGGGCGTCCGCGGCCACACACCGGGCGAAGTCTTCAAAAATAATCTCTATATGTTTGTTCAACCTTATGTCTGGGTAATGGGCCCCGACGTCCAACGAGTTGGAGGCGCTGCAGTGGTTACCCGAACGGTGCGACGTATTCCTCCTGGAGCTATCGACCCTACGGTGAAGAACTTACAATGGGGAGATCTCACTCGCGCTCTCTTTGAGGCGGCGGACCGGGGCGCTACTTATCCATTCCTCACGGATGGAGATACCAGCTCGACCGAGGGTTCCGGGTTCAACATCGTCTTGGTCAAGGATGGGGTCCTCTATACTCCAGAGCGTGGCGTTCTGCATGGCGTGACGCGGAGATGTGTGATCGAGGTGGCACGGTCTCTGGGGTTCGAGGTCAGGATCGAGGTTGTCCCTGTTCAACTCGCCTATCAGGCTGATGAGGTGTTTATGTGCACGACCGCTGGAGGTATCATGCCCATCACACAACTTGACGGACAGCCCATACAGGATGGCAAGCTCGGCCCGATCACAAAGAAGATCTGGGACGGGTATTGGACCATTCACTACGACCCAGCGCACAGTTTCGAGATTCAATATGACGGTGCCCGGCAAAATGGAGCGCCGAAACATGGCCAAGTGAACGGAGTCAATGGACATTCCTAAGCAGAAGTTGTAGTAGTGATATGTGAGACGCGCAAATGTTCAAGATCGACCTACCTGCTGGCGAAAATCGACAATCTAGAAAGAGCTTCATTATCAGCGGAGCCGAGCACGCAGTGGAGGAGAAAAGATGTGCGCCTCGCCCAATCAAGCGATCGCTACAGCTACGCTATAGAAGCAATTGCAAGAAGGTTGTCTGTGTCAGGGGCAGGCTCGCCAGCGGGCTATAACGACGTTAAAAGGATACCTATCTATCTATATAGGTGCAGGGGCGACATTGACTTCCACGCTTGGAAGTCGAATAGGGGCGTCCTGCTTAACACCTACTATATACATGACCTTGGCAGGGGGTCTTGGCACCCCATGACGGTATGGAAGTTTAATGGATGCTTACATCCATGTGGCACATGATCCTTCCAATACGATGAATGAATAGATGCTTTAGACTAGCCAAAGAGAAATTGCATAGCAGCGACGTCACCCACTTTTTCCGAGTTCGACTTTGCATCCAAGAAAGATCCCCACCAAACCGGATCCCCATCCTTGGATGATACTCCCGTCCAGAACTCCTCGAGCAGGCTGGACACGCTGTAGAACATGCCGTAGCGACTCCGTGCACCCCACCAGACACAGTAAGCGCGCACAGTATCCCGCATGTCTTTATCTCGTGCTTCCGCGCCGGCCAGGAAAATCGGCAGAAGAAGCTGTTTCTGCACCTGGGACGTTTTCCGGCAGTTGCGAGAGTGCTCGAAGACCTTGCAGGTGAGTGGTAGGATCGCCGGCGGTCGTCGATGGGATCGACGATCCCACCGAAACACCCGCTGGATGTAGAGAAGCAACGCATACCTCCAAGCTTCGGCGCAATGATGGTCATCTCGTCGACGGCGATAATCTTCCTCATTGTCATCGGCCTCCGAAGTGCCCGCACTTTGTGTGTCGACACTCTCATTCTCGTCTTCGAGGCTGACGATCTCCCGGTGAATCAGCATCCGCTCGTCCTCGAGGCCGTGGTTCCAGTCCAAGAGTTGCTTTTCGATATCTAGCACCGGCTTTATATCAAAAGTCAAGAATTCCATCGATTCGGCTATTTCCCTTTGTCGGGCCATCTCGGCAAGACGTACAAGATGGACCAGAAGCTCGGTGGGGCAGCCGGTTATTTCGTAGAAGGACCACCCATCCTCTTTCTCGGTTCGTACTAGGTGTTGAAAATAGGAGGAGCCAAGTCTCATGCCCTGCCGCGAGATCATCGCTAATGTTGCGTCCCACCTGATGAATTGTCAGTAGAGGACCGTGCTGGTTTGAGGACACTCACCAGACGAGCATGCTGGCCTGCGAACGAAGTCGAGGGGTGTTTAGCGAGGAAGGCCCGCCCCAAGCTTCAAAAACGGTCCCTGCTCTGCGGATATGGTCCGACCAGTTGCCCAGCGCTGATATGGTACACTAAGAAAATGTGACTGAGTGCGTCAAGATACAGATTGGTCGCAACTTACATCCAGAGTCATTAGGATCAGGATTGCCGCAAGAACGCAGGAACTGCTGTTGCTCAATTCCTGGTTTTGCAGGGTTCGGCTTAGCATGTTGTACGCTTGAGCGCGATTCTCCGACGCCTCTGAGGACTGGACGTTGCCCACGTTGACTTGATGTTGTGAGGAAAGTGCGGAGACGGAGCGAAGGAGAAGCTGAGAGTCTTCCGGCGCAAATCCCTTTATCCGGAATGGATTCAAGGCCATGTCTGAAGTCAAAGGAAGAACACATAAAACTGTGTCGTCTGTGGCAGCGTGTCTGTCAGTCGCGTGCTAACGATTAAGGAGTGGTACAATGGACAATTACGCACAGTATTTGAGGAGAACCTCCTCCTGCTTGGGCCAGCCCACGTGGTTTGAGAGCGAAAACGTGCTGGGTAAAATATCGAGCATTGCCTGACCGTCGTCGGGTCCCAGATCTGGCCACTCGAAAGCGAGAGAATTGTCCGGGTCAAATGTTAAGTTGCTAGGTGACAATGCTGCTACTGTTCCAGGGTCGGCGACCTCAGCAAAGGCACTGTCACGGTCTGGTACTGGGCAGGTCTCAATCTCAAATGATGTCCACGGTCGTGATGTACCTTTCATTGGGACGGTTCGAACTGCAATATCGCCAGGGTCATTTTCTTCGTAGTTCTCAGAAGGGAAGCTGCCCAGGAACGAATCGACATTGACTGTGGTGGTGAATCCGCACGCCGTGTCCGGAGGCACGCTTTGTTGTGCAATGGGTGAGCGGGTCTGCTGTGAGTTGGATGTCTTGCGCGTTTTCTTCGCTCGGCGACTGCGTGGACCAACAAAGCGAAAAGTACGTGCATTCTCAGTGGCGGAGATGATCGGACTCACATTAGCGCGATCTTGCTGACTCTGCGAAGCCAGCCTCTGCTCGAGCATCTGCTCACGCCTTTGCTGATGGTGCAATCGTGGTTCGTTGCTAGAGTATGTCCTGCATTCATGCCATGAAAGGGCGGTGGCATAGCCGCCGCACTTGAGGCCTTTGTCTAGACATGTCGAGCAGTAGGGCCGCTGCCTCTCACATCTCCGATTCCTCGATAGGCAGGTATGACAGTCGGTTGGAGCAAAAGCAGCGAGACGGGGCCGAGTTGTGCTTTCTCCATTCATCGCGGTGGTGAGTAGCAATAACACAGATGTAGTAAAAACAATGATGTCGCTCTATCCAGTTTCGCCGGGGTAAGGAAATGAGGTCGTGGTGCAAGAACGGATTAGGCTTGTCGAGTCTCTTGAGCCCAGCAGCGTAGGCCGTCCGATACTGGCGTGACATGGACCCATCGCATGCGGGGTGGATGGAAGATGGCCGAGGCACATCATGAACGAGTTCGTCTCCGTTGCCCCTTCGCCACGCACCCAAAGGAGATATCTTCCCTAATTGCCCTTTTCAGTAACTGCCTATCAAGGATTGATAAACTATCCCTCCCCTCCAGTATCGACGATCATACCACCTTGGGCAAGAGTGATATCTCCCTTACCAGACCATGAGCTCCGTGAAAGACCTCCCTATCTACCGACCAAGATAAAGTCTATGGCACTTACATCTTGGCGAATGGTAGGTGCCTATTTAATATGTCGCCTCTAACCCGCTACGGGTACGTACCTTGGTGAGACCTATTTCGAGTGTCCTGCCACCGAACTTTTGTCATCATGGACCTCGAGAACAAGAGGTTGTCGCTCGATGTGGCGGCGCAAGAAGTACCACTGACGGCGAAAGCTGAGGAAGCTGCCAAGAAGTTGCACAAGCACGAAGCTGAAGTCACACAGTATGTCAGGCACAGCGTCGTGGTAATGTACTCTTTTCAGAGGGACACATCACCAGGTGACTAACAGCTCGCCAGATGCCAAAGTCGTACAAGGTATTCGGTCTTTCGATCTACCCGTACAGCCATCCGCGAGTTCAAGCCTGCATGTTGGGCTTTGTGCTGTTCATGACCGTGGGCATGTACAATGTGATTATATTCTTGGGTGGTGCGGGACAGCAGACAGCTTACCTGGCCGATATCTCCAATATCGCTTTGTACACCGTCTTCACTGTGTTCTGCATGATCGCGCCGGCCTGTCTCAATTACTTCGGACTCCGCCCGACTCTATTTTTTGGAGGCCTCGGTTATGCCGCGTATGCCGCGAGTTTGTGGTGCTACAACTACACCGGCAATGTGCCTTTCGTTGTCTTCGGTGGATGCTGGTGTGGCTTGTCCGCAGCATTCCTCTGGACTGCCGAGGGCGCGGGCATCACTTCGTTTGCATCTGAGGAGAAGAAAGGCCTCTACGTTTCCATCTTTTGGTCCATCTACCAGGTCGGCGTCGTGATAGGAGCCGCTATCCCCGTCGGTCAAAACTGGAACACTGGTGTCGACAATGGCAGCCGAGTCAATAGTGGGACTTATATTGGTTTGATGATTCTGATGCTTTGCGGTGCATGCTTAGGCCTGGCGCTGTATCCATGGCACAAGCTTGTACGAGAGGACGGCAGTCGCGTGACCCTCGAGCGCCAGAAAACATTTATCGAGGAGCTGCAAGCCTCTGCCCAGGTCATTCGTCGAAATTGGTGGATCGTCTTTTTCGCCCCAATGTGCTGGGCTGTCAACTTCTTTGTGGTGTATCAGAACAACCAATTCAACGGCGTGGTGTTTACTGTTCGAGGTCGAGCTCTTAACACATTCCTCTCCGGCATTGTTCAGGTCATGGCACCCTGGATACTCCATCTGTTCACAGACAGATTGCCCATGACACGCCGGAAACGCGCGTTCTGGGCTCTCGTATTTGTCTTTTTGTTCATCAATGCAAACTGGATCGGCGGTTACTTCGCCATGGTCAAGACGAGATCAGGCTTGGACGAGGCGCAACGGATGGATGTCTACGACTCTGGGTATGGATGGTGGTGTTTTTTGTTTGTCATGTACGGCTTTACAGACACAATATACAATTGTTACGCCTACTGGTTCATTGGAGCGCTGAGTAACGATCCCGCTGAGGTATGTTGACGAACCTTTCCAGGCCCGCAGACCAGTTAACGATGGGAATAGCTCTCCGTGTACGCTGCACTGTATCGTCTCCTCAATGCGTTATGTATGGTCCTCGCATACACCTTGGACTACCGTGGGTATTCCAAAGAATTCATGTTCGGATCTTCGTGGGCGGTAAGTCACCCGTGTTGAGTTGATTGATGTCTGTCCTCGTATTTTGAATGCCTTCACGCGACAAATCTTACGATAGACCTTTTGGTTACGCGATGGTCTTTTCTTTAAGCTACCTGTTATGTCGACCATATTCGTCCACTAATCGAATGGATATAGTTCCTCACCTTCGGCTGTGTTGCCGTCATTCCTATTCTGAAGTATTGGTTGAAAGACACGAACATGATTGAGACGATTGAGACGATTGAGAATGTCACCAGCATCGAATCAAAAGAGGAATCTACACCAGCCAAATCCCCTGAGGTCTTGGAAACAAAGGACAAGGAGTGATACCAGCAGCATTAGGATGCTCCGGCAAGAAACTAGCCGTCAAGGTGGCATTCTTTGTGGCGACAAGGTGGACGGGCTACCGGTTCTGCGGTATTTACCTGGTCAACTGCTTCTACTACCGAGTATTGTGTCTTGATAGCAGAATAATCTATATACATAAACGGGGTTTTATTCTGATCCAGTTGGAATTGGAACCTTTACTCATTCACAGCAGGATGTTCAAAATATATACGAAATGGGACGTACATCGAATCTGGGGAAAGTGATTCGCAAGTCAAGTCTTGTAAACTGTGGTGTTCATTGGGCCACGAAATTGTTCCGGAGCTCGAGGGGAAAAGGTCAAGCGGCAGCCGTAACGTTCATAGGATTTGAACGGTGGGCAAACCCATATATCCCAATGGGCAGGGAACCCAGATACTTTTACCCGGATAGAAAAGCAGATTAATGGACCGGGGCCTCTTCCAGGGGTTCTACGACTACGTACACTACAGACTCCGATGACAGAAGAAGTTTGGTAACTGCCTAAATAGGTTGAACTTTTATTTCCTGTTCGGGGAGCGGGACAATTGGGGAGCTTCATTCCTCGGTGGATATCCAGATGGATTGGCTTGTAGTGTTGCCCCCACAGCTCCTTATCAGGAGCCACCGATTTCGTTGCGCTGGCGCTTCAACCAGTTGCGATAATTATAGATATCCCTGCTCTTATGAAGTGCTGAAATATAACACATGGATTTTTGGGCTTCCAAAACCTCCTATGTCGATGAATCGTCAGAGATGACGGCCTCTAACATGTATCCCCAAGACCACTTAGCAGAGATTATTGGCTACGTAGAACCCTGGATAGTTGCTCCGGGGGACTCGGTTGCGATCAAAGTACGAAGATTCAACATGGACACCATGTCTGAGTTGACAATCGATCCAGATATCCTGCACAGAACAAGAATACACATATCGCACCGTTCGCTTAATCCAGGGCGTCGATCTTGACCACTCACCCAAGAAGGCCGAGGAGGAAGTGTCGGAAATCCCTCGAGGTCGTCGGAAGGGAAGGTTTCAGGCAGCTCAACCAGGGTCCTACGGCCATGTTCCAGACTGGGGTTCACCGGAAACGGCGAGAGGCCTTCAAGTGTCTTTTTATATGCAACCATGGCACGTGAGTTGCTCCCATCCGCAGACATTTGTATCTACCTTGCAAGCGGCGACACATACTGGATTTGCCATTGTCCTGAACAGCCAGGGTACTGTCGACATATGGCTGGGAATCAAGCACAACAGAATCCATGTTATCGAGACTTGGCTTCGACCCCAGAAAAAGACTTGGGCGGAATTCAATCTCACGCTTCGCGGTCGATCAGTCAACGCTTCGCTCACACCAAAAGCATTCAGAGTTGAGCCGATACCTTCTCAGGCCGCATTCGAGACCCTGCTAGACGGTGAACCATCGGTGTACGAGCCAGGGCCGCTTTTCATTGCAGCGAGCCAGGGTGATGACTCTTCGGGTTTCGCAGGACGGCGGGCCATCAATTTCTTCAATGGTCGCATTGACAATTTGACGCTGAGAACATGCGACGAAACCCCCGCTGTGCTTGCTAAATATGATTTTGCGCTCGAGATCTCGAGCGACACTATTCTCGACGTCTCTGGCCATGGCCATCATGGTACCTTGATCAATGGACCAACTCGGGCCGTCAAGGGTCATGACTGGGACGGGTCTGAATGTGACTGGACAAAAGCGAAGTTTGGCTATGGCGCTATTCATTTTCACGACGACGACCTGGACGATGCTGGATGGGCCACCGATTTCACCATCACGGTCCCTCCGAATGCCCGCTCTGGGGTCTATGCGGTTGAAGTGAAGGCTACAAATTGCCAGGAGGCGGACTGGGTGACCTTCTTCGTGCGACCTACATCGTGGGCCACAGATAACTCCGACAAAGTCTGCTTCGTTTTCTGCACGTTCACGTATCTTGCCTATGCCAATGAGCGTCTCTACGACACAACACGTGAGAACACTGCCGATCTGGGGCCAGGTTTCGACATCAACAAGGTCCTGAAAAGTGACGAGTTCTACAAGATGCAGCGTCGTCTCGACCTCGGATTGTCATGCTACGATCGTCATAACGACGGCTCCGGCGTTGTTTTCTCCTCCTCAAAACGCCCCATCCTCAACGTCCGCCCGGGCTATGTCATGTGGGCCTTCTCGCGCCCACGCGAACTCTCGGCCGATCTCATGATGATTGGCTATCTGGAGCGCGAGGGCATTCCTTATGAGATCGTGACCGATCATGATTTACACTCGCGTGGGGCTAGCACGCTCCGCGGCTTCAACACCGTCATCACGGGTTCTCACCCTGAATATCACACAAGAGAGTCCTTCGGCGCCTATGAAAGCTATGCAAAAGCAGGTGGGAACCTCATGTACATGGGCGGCAACGGTTTCTACTGGGTAAGTGCTTTGGACGTTGCTCGTCCGCATCGACTGGAAATGCGTCGAGGGGACCGTGGAGTTTCTCCCTTTGCCCTTCCAGGTGGAGAGCACATCCAGAGTCTCGACGGGCAACAGGGCGGTTTATGGAGATCCCGGGGTATGAGTTGCAACACATTATTCGGCGTCGGCTTCTGCGCCCAAGGGACAGGTCCCGGAGTGCCTTACAAGCGGACCGATGCGTCCAGGAACCCGCAATTCTCCTGGATGTTCACTGGCGTCACGGGCGATTTGATCGGGGAGCATGGCTTTGGCGGGGGGGCTTCAGGCGACGAGATAGATCGCTACGATGTGAGAAACGGAAGTCCCGAGGATGCTGTAATCTTGGCCACAAGCACCGGTCACAGCGACGACTTTGGCATTGCTACCGAGGACCTGAGCTTTCCCGCGCTGAACACCCTCGGGACACAAACGAACCTGATCCGCAGTGATGTGGTCTATTATGTCGGCGCGGGTGGTGGCGCAATCTTCAGTGTGGGAAGTATCAACTGGTATTGCTCATTAGGTTGGGATGACTACGACAATGATGTTGCAAGGTTCACTGGAAACGTCATCAAGGGCTTCCTGTTAGGGAAACGATGACTGGGAATGTCCCTAATTCCATCCGACAATGCTTTGAGCTCTTCAACATCGCGTATCGCGGACCTTCGGGTAAAAGAGGAATTTTTGGCGGCAAGCCCCGTGACGGTTGATTTCACCTACCTAATCGCGAAATTCCGAGAGCGGCCAGGTGGTATGAGGCTCCCGATTCTCCATAGTTCTATGATATGTGAAAATTGTTTCAATAGTGCATTTTCTACGTGTCACATGAATACGTTCAAAAGGCGTGGCTTGGCATTTTCAAGACGGCTGAGGACAACCAAAACGTGCTCTGATCTTCTCGAGCGATTGAATACCCATAAAGTGGTTGGGAATTCTGGAGTTATTCAGCTCGTTTGGGCTGTGAAACTTGCGTGGGAACGTAAAGCTATCTTCTATGGCGCAAAAGCGTATTGTTATAGTTGGGTACGTTCGGTCACACCAAGACTTCTTTTTACCATGCAGCATCTTTGGCGAGAGATCGGCCCTGACACTATGGTATTACAAATCTTAGGGCGGGAGTTGCCGGATTGACAACGGCGTTGCTGTTGTCAAGGAATCATCGATACAAGATCGTCGTGGCAGCGAAGCATATGCCTGGAGACTATGATATCGAGTACGCGTCTCCTTAGGCCAGCGCTAACTACATGCCGTACGTCTCCCTCCGACGGATGGTTAGTTTTGACGCATTTCACGTGGGACATGTCCCTGACACAAAGCCTCCTCTAGTGTCTCTGTCCGAGGTTCAAAGGCAACGAAGTACGAGAAGGACACATGGACTCCCTTAGAGGATCTTGCGTGGAATCACCCAGAAGCTGGAGTCCACTTCCAAGGTATAGCTGAGACGTGCTCATTTCAGTGCAGTAATTGTTGATTGTAAGAAGAATGCCAGATCTACAGTCGCACGAAGGATGCCGGTTCCGCAACTGCGGACTGGCTTAACGAATTGCTTTCATCCAATGCGTGGTTCAAGGATGTGGTCCCGAATTTAAGTTTGCTCGCTTGCTTGCCCAGTGACTTCCACCATGGCCTGGCACTTATGAACTGCAAACTACAATTCCATCAGCTTCCCAAAGCCGCTCTTGGCCCCGGCATTAATGCTGCGACATCATTCACATCGGTCTGCATCAACACGGCCATTTATCTCCCGTGGCTGGTCTCGAGGTGCCTGGAAAACGGAGTGACTTTCAAACGAGCGGTGTTTCAGCACATTACCGATGCCGCCTCACCAAGTTTTCACCAGGACCAGAAAACTGACCTTGTAGTCAACTGTACCGGTCTCAATGCATCCAAGCTCGGTGGTGTTCAGGACAAATCTGTAGTGCCTGCTCGAGCCCAGATTGTGATTGTCCGCAACGACGCCGGCAAAATGATCGCTACGTCTGGAACGGACGATGGCGATGATGACCAGAGCTGCAGGAGGGGGCACCATCCTGGGTGGTTTTTATCAAAAGGGTAACTGGGGATCTCAAGTTGACCCTAATCTAGCCGTCAGGATCATGAAGAGAGCGGTTGAAATGTGCCCTTCCTTGACCGGAGGAAAAGGCATCGAGCATCTCGACATAATCAGGCATGGTGTTGGACTGCGGCCGATACGGGAAGGTGGCACTAGGATCGAAAAGGAGCGAATCCAGGGCATTTGGGTAGTGCACAAGCATGGTGCTGGAGGAGCAGGCGAGTAGGACGCCCCCGAAAACTGCCACCACATGAGATGAACACTGACGCTTTTCCAAAGGCTATCAAAACTCATATGGGTGTGCACAGGCAGCGCTCAAACTAGTTGATCAAGCACTAGATCCTTCCGCGAGACTGTGAGCTGTGCAACAAGACCTGCTTTTGAAAGTCGATTCCATCACAGATCGACTTCGTAGATCCAAACCCAATGAATATATATTTGGCCTGAAAATATTGACCGTTTGTCTTCAATTCTGGCTTCTGGACAAGTCGGTCGAGTGAGTCCATGTCAAACTGGGTGCAACTTGAGATGTCTTGAACGCTCTGTTCTCTATCTACTTGTTGCGTTCCTGACGTCTCCTTTATAGACGTAAGAATATCTCGTCGTCACGCAGAGCAACCATTAGTAATACCGTTGTCTATGGAAACCTTTTACGAGTGTTTCAGTGGTGGAACCTATACATGATAACTCCCCTTGTTCGACAGATTATCGATCTGAATCGACTTCTTCCGTAACGATTCGAGTAGTCCAAGACGCTGCATTATCCTCGGTGCATTTGGTGGGATCTGGATACCCGCCCCAACCGGGCAAAAGAGACGGTCAGCATGGTGGACAGAACGGACCGCCCGCTTGGAAACAACTGCATCTTGAGACTTAAGTACATACTGCGGATATTGCCTTTGCTTGCTTAAATATGATGACTTCCAGCCCATACTTCCTGGCAGTGACGGCAGCAGTCAGTCCAGCAAATCCAAACCAACAATGACAACCTTGAGCAGTTTTAAGATGAGCGTGAGGTATGACGTACTCTTATGTATTGCGCAGCAAGCCTTGACGATCCGGTTAGTAAAATCAAATAAAATTTCGACATATTCATATAAGGAAGAAGACTAGCAAGGATGGACGCCTCCAAGACAGCTTCGTAAACATCTTGTAAATGATAGCGTTCTCTTCCTTATCGACTTCGACCAGTCGCACGATTTGTGACGGTCCGAAGAGTCATTACGCAGCTTTCCGATAGTCGCCCAGGCTTCTTCGCGCTTTTCATGCCACACGAGATAACGAGGTGATTCTGCGGACCATCTCGTCAATAGCAAAGTCACGAATTTTGAAAATCCTGCTTACCCGGTACGAAAAGAAGTCCCAGCAACAAGGCTACGGGCCCAACACATGCGAGGACGAGCGGAATGCGCCAGATCACAGTTATATTGGTGGCAAAATAATAGTCTCACCGATATCCAATTCCAACTGCTCGAAGTCAATTAGCTTAGCCGTAGACCCTTGAACTTCGCAACTTCCAAACATGGCCCATACCAAACGACAATGTAGTAAGTCCGGTCAAAATCCTCGTCGTTGAGGTAGAGCAACTTCCACAAGGTACAACGGGACAAGAGCAAGAAGTATGCACAAGCCACAGTGCGAGTACTGCTGCAATAACCAGAAATTTCTCCCATCCCAGCCGGTCTGCAAGCGAGCTTTAACCAAAGGGTCCGACCGCAGCTCCGAAAGAGAAAGGCTGTTATGACGCCGAGAATATCTAGCTGACGATAAGTTAACTCCCAAGAGAACCGGTTCTTACAAGGACAGGCTATAGTGCATCATTCTGTGGGCGATTGACTGATTGGTTGATTGTTTGCCGCCCAGCCTGCTGGTGTGATAAGTGGCGACGCCAAGGCTTGTAAGGACCCTCCGAGGCTTCCTTCACGCTTCGAAGCCATATAGTCTGACGATCCCTTGGACCCCTTCGAAGTATTCGCCAAGCGTTTGCGATTTTTACCCCCACTCTCCAGGCATCAACGGGATGATGAAATCTTGCTAGTCTGGGCCAGTTCAGTATCTGCAACAATGATGAAGCGATAATAGGCATCTCCAGCGCTTCATGCACCATTTTACCACTACGATGTCTTCCACTTAATAGGCTTCTTGGAATCAGTGACAGAAAGCTCTCCCATCTCTCATTGCCATTGATCCAGCTCTTTCCATCGCCCGTGCTGACCGGCCAATTTATGTCCATCAGTTTTTCTGTAGAATAATCTAGACATGGCCGCTTCTAAAGTCCTGGTTATCGGAGGTACTGGGCCTGCGGGAATCTGCTTGCTTCGAGAGCTTCTATATCGCACGCATGCAACCGTTGTCTACGCCCGAAACCCTTCCAAGATTCCTGAGGACCTGCTGTCGAACACACTACTCGAGGTCAGTTGCATAGCACCGAGACAATGGGTAGGATTGAGGCAGGTACGGTCAGCTAACATGCTGTCTCCCAACAAGGTTGTCAAGGGTGAGTTGACCGACACCGACGCCCTCTCTACTGCCGTATCGAAATGTCGTATCATCGTTTCCCTCCTCGGTCCAAACGACCTCTTCAATATCCAGCCGACCATATATGTCGACTTTTATTCATCCCTCTTTACGTTGATGCGGCAGCACGGAGTGCGGCGCATCTTCGCCATGGGCACACTATCGATCCCAAACTCGAACGATACTTTCTCGCTAACGCGAGCACTGACCGTGCTTCTTGTGCGCATCATTGTTAACCGCGGCTACCAAACAGCGTTGGCTATTGGACGGGTGTTCAAGGAGCGAGCCGATGGCCTCGATTGGACTGTCTTCCGCATTGCCGGCATTCCTGGTGGCTCCGATGAGGCGTCTTGGAGAAGTGATAGGGAAGACGGCGATACATTTGAGGGTTGGATTGGACAACAGGGATGGTCCAGCTTTCAGAAGAGGGGGGCACTAGCAAGGTGGTTGGTGGATGCGGTGGAGGATGGAAAGGCACAGTGGATTGGCAAGATGCCGGCGGTAAGTCGTCTAGCTGGGAGTCAACGTAAAGACGCTTAAGCAATCCACGTGTCACGGACCTAGCCATAAAATCGGGGCAAGGCTTGACTCCTTTCTGGATGAGCTTCTGGATTCTGGTCAACCTCTCCAGGCCAATTCCATCTGAGGATAGCTCAGGTTTATGTTAGCAGGACAGAACAGCAGATTTCCTGCCAAAGGCATCTCTTGCAGTATCCAATCCCTGTTCCAGTAAGATAAACAAACCAATGCAGAGATGCCTTCCCATCGAGCGTTCGTCGGACGGGTATTCCGTCCAGCAACACAGGGATCATCGACTCGATCTGCATAGACCAGTTCAGCGAAGTTAGGGAAAAAACACATAGGGGTCGTTCGGGTGCTCTAGTTGGCCCCTACGTTAAGTGGGCCGCCCCTGAGCGGCCCCATTTAGGGTTAAAGTCACAGGTGAACCAAGGGCGGCCAAGGGTGCGCGAGAGTGTCTAACAACCCTTCCTAATTAATGATTGCCGTGTCCGAAACTAAACCTCATTTGATGAATGTTTAGCGGAAAAGCATAGCAGTGTAGACGTGACGCTATTTACCGTGAATGAAAAATATATATACGCCCCATGTTTCCACATTTCAATCAAAATCACAAGCATCTGACAACCTTTCTCCCGCCTCTCAACAATGATGTCTCAAGAGGTTCGAATTATGCCCCCCAAAGCACTGGGCACATGTTGTGCTCCTGACGAACAAGTGTATGACGAAATAACAAACTTCTCGGCGACGTTTCCTAGAGGCAGCATTGCTCCCAATGGTCCCTTCTGAGGTTCATCACCTACGATGACGAACATCTCCGAATCGCTATCGCCAAAGTGCTAAGAATTACTGACAAAACCCCTCGCACTTGTAGGCTTGCCCCACGTCGCATTCACTTATGGCGGTTATGCGGATCTGGCAACACCATATTACAAAGGTGATGAACGCTTTAGCACTTGGGTTCCCATCAAGCAGGGAGGATGTCAGTGTCAGGACTGCGGAGCAACCACACACGAAAAGTCGACTCAGCTGATTCCTTTGTATGAGCCTCACAGGGAAGATAAAACGACTAGAAGAACTCAATGGACTCAAAGTTTCCCTGTTGACTTATCTCTGTGTTGAATGCTGTGCTTCCTTCTTCTTTGCCTTCTTGTGCAATCTCTCATGCTTGTCTCGAAGCCTGTGGCTATGGTATACCCCACTGCATAATCCATGTATATAGCACCCGCTACACTAGAAGACAGGACTTAGGATGATATAACTGTTTGGTCGACCTTTGCCCGGTGCACCCATCTATCCTTTTATTATTATTGTTGTTCGTCATTGCCTTCCCGAAAACGGAACGACGACCACTATGCGTGGTTCACAAGTCTGCGATGGATGGGTCGTTCTAAGTAAGGCAGAAGAGGGGTGAGAGAGGTAAGGAAGGTTGAGGGATCGAGGTAAAAATATGTAGCTATGCCACCTCCAGCAGAGACAGTGCTGCTGGCTTTCGCTCAGGGCAAGTACAGAAGGGAATGGGAAGGTGGTATTCCAAGGACAAAACGTTGTGGAGACTGGGGTAGAACACAGGCCGAGCAGAACATCGTGAAGAATAAAGCTATATCCACATGAATCCATCCAGTAAGGCCATTAGCCATGACTAAGGCGCTTCTCACAGGGCTTATAGCCTATTAATTTCCATGTCGTTGGGCAGCCCTAATAAAATAGATGACATTGGGGGTCCTGTTATTGAGCAGCGAAGGTAGCCATGGATGCTCATATAATGAACTCAAAGTCTACAATGCTGAAGTGATTCAGGTAGCCACCAGTCCAAGTAGTAGCATGGCTCTATGTAATACCTACCATCAGAAGTAAGGCATATAATAAATTGTTTTGTTCTGGTCGATCACAATCCCTCTTGCCTAGTTTTAGGTCTTGGATATTTCGTTGTTCCGAACCTGCAGTCTGTGAAGGAACTCTAGTAGAGCCGCTTCATCCTATAAATCACTCCTTCCAGGTGTAACAACGATACCAACGAAGGGTAAGAGTCTGTCACGTGAGGTGTAAGGAGAAGGACCATAAATCGTTGCGAGTGTTCAAGGTAAGGCGTGGAATGACAATGTACTGAAAACCTGTCTATCTATCTAAGGGTTCGAAGGCTCTTCTTATACCTTTCGATCCTTTTGCTCCTTTGCCTATTTCCGGCGTCCAGCCCCCTTCCTGCCACTCTACGATAGCTAGGAATACAGTTCGAGAAGCTGGAGACTCGTGAGTGTTACATTAGAAAACCGCAAAGCGTGGATAGCGCCATCGCCGTTAATCAAGACACCTTTCCCGTTTCGATTCGCATAGATAGGATCACAAGTTATTCGATAAAATGATCCCATCTAGCTGAGCGGGGACATCGCCACGGACAACACAGGATGGTACCTCCGCATCGAACCGTGTAGGAGCATTAATTCCAGAATGAAAAGGGTTCGCTTGCTCATATTGAAACTCCTTGCTTACTTGCAAGGACTTTTGCTTAGCCTGGGTCATTGCACTAGCAGATGACTGGAAAAGTGATAGCTTCGTATGACATTTCAACTCATCTATCTTGGAACTGATGTCGGTAGTAGCCACAAGCTTCTCTAGCTTGGAGGTACTTGATGGTTCACCCATGATGGCGTTTGCTGTGATAATGCTCACAGCGGCGAGTCTTTTGATGGATTCGAAGATGTGAACTTGCCTTGATAAGTGATTTCCTAGGCCATGCCAATGGATTGAATAGGTGCTGTCGAAGGTTTCTAAACTAATCACCTAGCAGGCATTTGAATTCGGAAGGGCTTTTTATGGGGTTTCGGAGGTGGGTGTGACTAGGCTGACTGGTGGCCCTCTACAACCCGAACAACGGTGGGGTCGAGTCGTCCTACCTATACTTCTTTCTCAGGTGGCGAATGATCTAGGTCGATTGGCATCCCCGCGGCTGCACCCTTTCAGTAGAAGTACATAGGAGCCCAGGTAATGCAACGCAGACGTTCAGTGTAGTCCATCGAGCCCATACACCATTCCCATACACCCATAGCGAAGATATAATGTCCAACTTCTTGTGTGACTTGAAGGAGTGTGTTGGCTCTCCCAATGAGTGCAGGATAGAGCCCATCTGTATATCTATCTACGCAGTGTACGTCAAGGCTGTTACCTATCAATGGTGATACAGCCTAGCGAGCGAGTGTCCCGGAATGAGTCGATTTGTTGCGAACTGTTGAGATATTGGTACAAGAATAATGTCATATCACAGCCATGAGGGAGACGACAGCGGCAGGAATCAAGAGCAGGCAGCAGCGAGGTCATAGGGGCATCAACAACATGGTCAGAATGTTCAACACCACGGCAGGACGACGGCATACCCAATTAGGCAATACCGGCGTTATTCGAGAGTTATTCGGATATTATTTAGTAAATACGAGTCATTGGCCTTTGATTATTCGAATAAAAATTGACTTGCTAAATACGAGCGCTAATATAGGGAGCGGGCGAGAACTTGGCGAGCCACGGTCTCGCTTGTTTACATACTCCCGCCTATATTGCTGCAACTTATTGTTTCCATTGAGTTTTGTACTCTCTGATTTATTCTTTATAACTCACTGCAAGTTGCGTAGCTAGATCGCTTCTTAGAGCCTTTTTATTCTCTTCTTTCTTGTAGACTTCCTCGAGATATCTGATTATCAAGCACCGGAATGCTTCCGTGGCTGATTTGGAATGCTTCCATAATTAATTTGTAAGTCAAGGTTTCATATCACAGCGGGTGTTACAATAGTTGTTACACTCTGCTACTGCCTATCGCTGCTTGTTGCCTAGAATTACTCCTCGATCAGATAGATTCAATCAATCAATCCTCTCTCGGTCCTGCAATGGGTGATCAATCGAGCTTGTTTGGGTGGTCCATAGACTGGATCCGATGGGCGACGGGGGATTTCATCGGATCCAATGCGTGGATCATGTCAGGGTGGTCCTGTCAAACTGGGTGCAACTTGAGACGTATTGAATGCTCTGTTCTCTATCTACTTGTCGAGGTATTGAGGCTTCTTTTATAGACGTGCGAATACTACGTCGTTACTCAGAGCAACCATCAGTAACGTCGTCGTCTATGGAAACCTCTCACCAGTGTTTCAGCTGTGGAGCCTGCACACAATAGCCCTTTGTTCAACATGTCCACAGACTGGATCCGATGGTCGAAGGGAGGATTTCATCGGATCTAATCCATGGACCAATGTCGATATCGAATGGAAGGCCCCCCCCCCGCCCCCTCCGGGAGGGGGGAGGGGAGCACATGGTTCCGGAAAATGGTTGATCCGTTAAGGGTTGGATCCGATGGGCGAAGAGGGGGTGCCCCGGGGGAGCACGTGATTCACGAAAAATGCTAATCCGTGAAACCATGTCGATGTCGAGGCTCGTCGTTCACGCCCGGTTGCGAGGGACGTCGAGTGTGATTAGTAGAGTTATTTTAGGTGGTCCATAGAGCCCCGGCGAAGGCCCCGGAAGATAGTTAATCCGGTCCATAAACGAGACGAGACGAGCGCTTGGCAAGACGCTCACTACTAATGAGACCGAGACGAGACGAGCTAGGGTTTTGCTCGAGCTCGGCTAGTCTCGCTCAGTCTCGGCTCGTTGAGAAGCCTGGCTTAAACTGACCACACCAAAGGCTGATTCTGTTTCCGAAACTGAGCAGGTGCCGCCCTGTGTCTGGTGAAATCCCATGTTGGCAGTCCACATTGGGACTAGCCTAGTCACGTGCACCGCAGCCTTCGTGACCTTTTTTCTAGCTTGCGCCTCGCTCAGATAGATTCAATCAATCAATCTTCTCTCGGCCCAACATCCCAGTTTCCGTCGCCCTGATTAACTGAGAAGGTCCCTTTCAGGGTTCCCTGTTGTAATTCCAAGGACCAGTTTTCATCTCGCTGGTGCCTGGTTTTGGGACCCGTGGACTCGTCTAGTCATATTTCGAGATGTCTAAGGCAACTGTGTAGGACTTTCGAGTAAACGCATCTATCGAATCGGGTTTGTGTTATTTAACCGTGGCTCCGACCGGTAATCACACCGCCCCACACTTGTAGACCCTCGCTCTACCATGCCCTCGCAGCAGCCTCCCTTTCCACTCCATCTCTCTCGCGCCATAGATGCACTCAGGAGCGGACCGTCATTTACTCGCAAGCCCGAGCTAAATCTATTCTAGGGGACTTTGTCCAATGTGAAGATTCAGCCTGCCTGGCCTCTTGAAATCGACAAACTGTTTGTAACACTCGGCCACCGACAAGGACTATACATCGGACATTGGGGCCAACAACTATGCTATGTATAGGAGCTGAATGTGGGGGCCAACGGCCACATTGTGTATATAAACTTGAGTAGTCACCAGTTGCAAGAAGGCAAGGCTTCAGTCCTTTGCCATTCCTCACCCTATTCTTGTGTACACGTGATTTCCTCTCCGCTATACCTTCTGCACGTTACACTGTTGCGCTGAATATTCTTCTGACTTTTCCATCCGTCTTACCTTCCCAAAGAGAAATCTTCTTGCAAAGAGAGGCAGCGCGCTTCCTTTGCGGCCCACCCACACCCAGTCCGTTCTGTACATGACATGGACAAGTTTCAATATCGCCCAATTATAGAGACCGATGCTAATGACGCTATACGAATAATCCATCTACATCCCGGCCAAAACACCGATGACATACGATGCGGATTGGCCCATGTATCTCTTTCCGACTCCCCAATCTACGATGCAGTATCTTATGTCTGGGGTGATACCTCCTACAGTGTGCCAATCATCTGCGACGGTGCCCGCTTGGCCATCACAAGAAATCTATATGACTTTTTGCGGCAGGTCCGCGATGTCCAAAAAACACTAACCCTGTGGGCAGACGCAATCTGCATCGACCAAAGCAACATCACGGAACGGAATTCTCAAGTCCAGCGCATGCGCTGTATTTACTCAAAGGCTCAGCGGGTTCTGGTCTGGCTGGGACCTGCAGACGATGGCAGCGACGAGGCCATGCAAGTAGTACGGCGGCTAAATGGCAGAGACGCCCGCACGGAAAACCCTCTCTTGTCGTACACGGGGGCTAGGATTGCGCCCATGAACCACCCTGTTTGGGGTTATCTGGCTGATCTGTTCAATCGGCCCTATTTCCAGCGTGTCTGGGTAGTGCAGGAGGTGGCGCTCTCGCAGTCAGCAACGGTGTTGTGTGGGTCGTCATCAGCCAGCTGGGAGGAACTCATCCAAGCCGGGTCTTACATATACACTACTGGACTTTCAAGGTTCCTGGGCAGGGTTGGATTAAATGTGGTCAGTAATATCGAGCTAGCAAGGCAAGATCATGTCCGGTCAATTACGCGCCCTCCACTGAACCTCTTGCTTCGGCAGCGAGATTGCGTGGCCACTGATGCTCGAGACCAGGTATTCGCTTTGTACGGCATGTCGGAAGATGTGTTCCACGAACTTGGTCTGGATCCCGACTACGGAATCAAGACTGCTCAATTATATCGCGACATCGCCGTCAGGATTCTTAAGAAGTCCTTGAATTTGGACATCCTTGGTGCCCCTAGGAGCCTCGTGCCTCAGGGCTCTGTGGGGGAGACTCTACCATCCTGGATTCCAGACTGGAGCGACACCAACGTGACACACTCGTTATTGCGACTGGAGACCCAACTAGACGGCCTCCCTTTCAAAGTCTCATGCGGATCCAGCAGTTCTCCAATCTTCTCCTCCGACTACAGCCGCCTCGGCATAGAAGGCTACATCGTCGATTCCATTTCCGCGATCAGCCTCACCCTCTCCAACACCGAACCCGTCAACATCCGCGCACACTACCTCAATATATGGAAGCAACAAGTCCTGTCATTCCGCGCCCAACAGATGCAATTCCACTCTATAGACCGCGTCACGCAGCTCCGTTCCAAAAAAACCTACTACGGCCAAGACCCCATGGACGTCTACTGGATCACGCTGCGCGGCGGCCACACGCCCGAAGGTGTCGCGAAAGCGCGCGAGGCGTTTCGCGCATGGGACAAGAGCTTCCACGCGCTGAGTCCGCCGTGGTTTAACAAGCATTTCTTGCTGCTTTTCTTCCTCGCTAGCTTCGGCATCATGGCCGCACTGACCCTCGTCAGGCACAAGCTTAGTATCGACACGCCGCTGGTGAAACCCGAATTCGACTTCATCAACGGCTGCGCCATCCGGCAGCGACGCGTGTTCCGGACCAAAGGCGGCTTCGTCGGCCTCGGGCCCGGATCCGTCGAAACGGGCGACCATGTTGCGTTGTGCAAGGGCGGGAAGCTGCCGCTTGTGCTCCGCAAGCAAGGCGGCGACTACGAGCTGCTCGGCGACAGTTTTATTTACGGCATGATGAATGGCCAGCGATGGGACGACCGAAAGTGTCATCGAATATGGCTCGTGTAATCTCTTGTTCGCCGTCACTGGAGGTGTTCTGTGCCTGTAATGCAAGGCGCCATATCATAAACTAGACTGCATAAATCCTGTTACCACCGTCCCATTCGCCCACTTGCTTGATCCCAAAATTCTCAGTCCGCACAAAATTCGCCCCACTCTCCCTCCATGTCCATCCTCAACCTTCCCTCCAAGAAAACAAAAGTTATAAAAGACTTGAGATCCTTGAGATTATACAGATAAGGTTTTCTTCCCTCTGTTTAAATTTTATACATAATAAAACTATGGTAAGGATTCGCAGCACCGAGCGAAAGATCGTAGACAGAGAAGAATTATGTATCCGTCCGTAGATAAAGAAAGATGGGGAAAAGTGTCATGACACAACCTGGAAGCCCCTCGAACGGTCTTGGCAGGCCCACTGTGGCTGTCGATAGCCTTGTGTGCCTGCGTGGTAGCCTTGCGGCATGACTGTACCGCTGGCTATAAGTATCTGGGATAGCGTCGCACTGCTTTTATGTTCTTTGTCTCTCGTCTTGTACTTTATAGTGCATTGAATAGTAATCCCGTTCCCTCGTACGTCCCCACCCTGACAAAGAGAGGGGTATCGCAAACGAAACCCATCCAACTTGCGACGAGACAAGGCGTATCCAACGCTATCTGAAAAGTTCCCAGTTCCGGGCTCCTTTAGCATTCCCAAAACCAGTCCCTCTGTCAGACAGCTAGTGCCTAGTGCAAAGAGCTCCTATTCTGGCCTATATAGGGGGCTCTCCCCCCCCCCCCCCCAATCCGTAGTTGCAATCTACACACGAGTTTTTACCCCTTCTATCCGCATCTCGCTCTGTTCGACAAATACTATCGCCATCAGATCCAATCCGTGGGCCATGTGGTCGGGGTGGGACCATCCTGTCACGTATCGCATCGGGTTGTCACGAGGAGTTCGAGTCAATGGGGATGATGAGTACAAGACTAGGAGCGATAAGATATAGAGCGTGTCAATGTATCTCCTGGTAGGAATATGACGAGGTTGACTACGAAGGACCATAAGGGCCGAAGAGGAATTCATATATGTAGACATTCCCAAAGGGGAAATCTTGGCGGTATGTTGGTATGTTTGTAAAAAGCTGTGTTAAGAACAATCGTGACCTTTTTTTAGGCGCCGTCCTTGGCGTCTTGGCCAGAATCACATGTTGATAGGGAGCTATATCAACATATCAACATATCCTTGACTTCCTATTCCGTGGTCCACGTGCCCCGGAGGACTTTTCAGTCCTGGCCAGGTCAAGGGCCTGGTGACGACAAGTCGAGACACGTCCGTAATGGAGAGTCGCGACAGGACATTGTGAGACGATATCGACCGTGACGCTCTATCTGGTGGTTGACAGTCACACGCTGCCACATGTGGCCTGGTGGCTAGGTGCTACGTGGCGACAAAGAATATACACAGGGTTGGCCGCTACGTGGTATTACGTGAGGCCATCACGTGCTCTGGCTATCACAGTTCTACGATCAGTAGCGATGCCAAGGCCTGTAAAGATCATCAGAGGCGTTGTAAGCTTCCTACTTTGCTATCTAGCTACCCTTCACAAGCCATAGCTTCTAATCACTTATTTGGCATAAGCGATATATGCAATGGCTTTAAGTCCGCCTTATAGATTCTACCTTCTCACATCCCCTCGCACAGCTTCTAATCTCTTAATACGTATGCTCAATCTTCAAAACCAGCCTAGTTTGCTACAAGGTTCAAAGAACGAGTACTTTTTTGAACCTACTTTGGCGTGGAAATTTGAAAACAAGACTATCGGAATTCACATTGATGAATTGGGGAAATTGCAAAAGGCGGAATTGAAGCATTCCTACCAGATCTGTTTTGAAGCACTTTCAGAACAAGTCAACGTCGCTGCTGCACAGGGAAAGAACATTTTCGTGAAAGAACATGTCGGCTGGTTAACAGAACCCGTGGCTGAGACTGAATTTGTGTTCGGAGAGCACAGCGCTCGTGAGCTGCCATGGACCATCCATACGTCCTACAACTCGACACACTCTGCACTGAACAAGACCATTCTACCTGATGAATATCTGAAGACCTGGTTGCCTACATTTCTAATTCGGCATCCTACGTTGACTTTCCCGTCTATCTATCGTACGACCGTCGACAACGAAGGTCGACAAGCAGCAAGAGACGATCCCGTACACACGTTGGAGATGACCATGCACTGGTCGCGGGTGCTATACGATTGGTACATGCAGCAGGAACATCTATCTCGTTTCAGTGCTGAGAATGGGACAAATTGGCCTATCATTCTCGATGCTGATGATGTTATGCTAAACCCTCAAGTTATGATCAGGTATAGCAAGATCGTTGGTTTTGATCCATCAGTTTTGAGATTTTCGTGGGAGGCTACCAGCAGAGAGGAACTAGAGCAGATGTCTAAGCTGGAAAGACGTATGCGTTCGACGATATCGGCCTCTACCGGAATCTTGAAAGAGAAGGCATCGGCGGACCTGAATATTGATACAGAAGTGATCAAATGGAGGACTGAGTTCGGTCAAAAAGAAGCGGAGAAAATCGCAAGCTGGGTAAGGGCCGCAATGCCAGACTATGAATATATGAAGGCAAGACGACTGGGCCCGGTGTAATACTGTCAGACTTCTTGTGCAACATAAATTGAAGGAGCGCTCGGGCTCTCCCAATGAGTGTAGGATAAACACTACCTACATATCCATTTACGTAGTGTACGTCAACGCCTTTGCCTGTCAATGGTGATAGAGCCTCGCAGGCAGAATGAGTCTGCTTGTTGCGAACGATAGCTCACCAATTGTTCAACAAATGCTAAATACCCGGCTAGATCGACGAGGTGGCGTGGTAGCAACTCACCCCTACTAGTGGGAATACCCGCCTGGCGTTCACCAAGCTTCTGCGAAACACACTCTATCATGTTGTTGTGTTGAACGGGTGGTGGCTTATCGTTCACGGCTGACTAGGTTATTTCGTGTTGACCTATGAGATGGTTGCCTGCTAGGCTGTAGCATAACCGCTCAGATTGGTATATAGATGGGCTCTATCCTGCACTCATTGTAAGAGCCAGAGCATTCATTCAAACTCAAGTTGCACATCATTTTGCAACACTCACTCACTAGACTGTATCAGCATTGACAGGCAACAATGACGACGTACACTCCTTTAGATAGATACATAGACAGGCTTAGTGCTACCCTCTGGCCGAATTCAGTCAGAGCACTCAATGGGAGAAGTTTGCATGTAGGTATCGGGGAGGGCTAAGGGATTGGTCGGGTGCCACGTAGCGGGTAGATGTCGAACAAGAGAGTTATCATATACAGGCTCCACCACTGAAGCACTGGTAAATTTTCTAGAGACAACAGTATTCCTGATGGTTGCTCTGCGCGACGAGGAGATATTCACACGTCTATGAAAGAGACGTCGGGATCGCAACAAGTAGATAAAGAACGGAGCATTCAATACATCTCAAGTTGCACCCCGCACGATAGTAGAAGAACGCTGTCAAACTGTGAGCAGATAGAAGGGTAAAAACTCGTGTGTAGATTGTAGCTATGGAAATGGGGAAGCCACTGTACGGACCAGAAAATAGGAGCTGTTGGCACTAGGCACCAGCCGTTTGACATTTACGGAGGACTTGTCCTATTTCGAAGGGGTCCAAGGGATCGTCAGACTATATACTTTCGAAGCGTGTACGAAGCGTACGACGCTTCCGAAGGTCTTTACAAGCCTTGGCGTCGCCACATATCACAGCGCACAGAGTTGGTCCTCACGTGCCCTGACTACTACAGGCGCCGTCCTTGGCGTCTTGGCTAGAATCACAGTTCAAATTCCCCGCAATTCCGAAAATCTCGCAATGCCACCTTCAAGCTAAACTTCTCAGCCGCTAGTAAGATCTAGCAGAAGATTCAAGCATCCTCATGGGCTCGAAAACCTACGAAGGGGACCATTATCAGCATGAGCGTAGGACTCCGTTTTCCATTAGGTTGATTTCGCTGCTAAAATGACAATCTAGCGATCACCAGCGGAGCGAAGCCCAAGTCCGCTGGAGGGAAGCCTCGCGGTGCTCATCTTGCCGAAGACGGTGATGGGGACTACGGTAACGGTGATGATGACGACGACAACTTGTGGGAAGGTACAACTAGGAACTTGATTGAGGCAACAGACGAGAATGTTTGTAAGTTCACACTGATTCCTGGATTGAAGTTTCCCTCGAAACTCGTCTAACGACGCCGTCCAGCCAAGAAAAAGAAACGTAAGAGGTCCAAAAAGAAGAGCAAGAAGCCTGAAGCAACAGCAGCGGGTGAATTGCCTCTGAAACAATCATCTCCGCCGCGTGTCTTGCTGTCAAACCTCTTTCCATCTGGTGTCTATCCGGAGGGTGAAGTTACCGAGTATCACGGTAAAGACGAGAACAACTCACGTACTACCAATGAAGAGATCCGTTATCTCTCACGCCTTCACATCCAGGATGATGAGTTCCTGAACAATTACCGTCAGGCTGCTGAAGTCCATCGTCAGGTCCGTCAGTGGGTCCAACACACAGCTAAGCCAGGGAAGTCTTTGAACGAGATTGCAGAAGGAATCGAGGATGGCGTCAGGGCTCTCCTCGGACATCAAGGTCTAGAACCTGGTGACAACTTGAAAGCTGGGATGGGCTTTCCGACAGGGCTTCCGCTTAACAACTGCGCGGCGCATTACACTCCTAACCCAGGCCAGAAAGAGATCGTCTTACAGGCCGATGACGTGATGAAAGTCGATTTTGGAGTCCATATCAATGGTTGGATCGTTGACAGCGCTTTCACCGTTGCATTTGATCCAGTCTATGACAATTTACTTGCAGCTGTAAAGGATGCAACCAATACTGGCATCAAGGTAGGCATGGAGCCGCCCTTTCACGATGAGTTGTGTCTAAGTATGAGTACAGAATGCAGGGATCGATGCACGTATGAGCGACATTGGCTCTGCCATTCAGGAAGCCATGGAAAGCTATGAAGTCGAAATGAATGGAAAAACTCTTCCTGTGAAAGCAGTCAGAAATATTACAGGACATGACATCAAGCAATACCGTATCCATGGCGGTAAACAGATTCCGTTTATTAAGAATGACGACCACACGAAGATGGAAGAAGGCGAGGTCTTTGCCATCGAGACATTCGGCAGTACGGGCAAAGGCTACCTTAGAGACGACGTGAGCAACTATTTGGATTTCTTTGGCCTCCCATGAATTACATTTCTACAACATACTGACTCAGAGTTACCAGACTGGGGTCTATGGCTATGGAAAAGATCCGAGCGCTCCTCGTGTTCCTCTTAATCTTGCTTCGGCCAGATCGGTTCTCAAGACCATCAACGAGCATTTTGGGACTCTGGTCTTCTGTCGTCGTTACCTAGAGCGCCTTGGTCTTAATAAATACTTGGTAGGGGTGAGTTGAGAATGCCCGGCATCTCGTATGCGCTCTTTCGTTTAGGAGCGCTATGCTCATATGTGGAATCCTATGCAGCTGAACAGCCTTGTCTCGAATGGGATTCTTGATAGCTATGCCCCGCTGTCCGACGTGAAAGGTTCATACACGGCGCAATTTGAACACGTAAGTGTGACTTTCTAGCATTCCAAAAGGCCATTGATCTAATTGAAGATCAGACAATCTTGCTCCGTCCTAACGCTAAAGAAGTCGTCAGCCGCGGCGATGACTACTGATGAAGACTCTCTGCTTTCCAGAATGTTCGCCAAGTTGACCTTTGGCTGGTCAGTCCTTTTTACCTCGAAGCGAAAGGGTATATCAGAAACCCCTAGCTCTACACGCTCGTTTGCTCTATTCAGATATATCATTGAACTCTCTTTTGTCACCAATATTCTCTGTTGACTACTCTCTTTCAGATAAGCTATCATGTAGCCTACACTAAAAGGATCTTGAGCACAATCTTTTGCCTAAAGTAAATTTCAGCTTTTTGTTCTATTGCTGCAAGCACGGATGTTCTAGATTGCGAAAACTCCTCTAGAGACTCTGACACTAAAGGAATATGACTCGACAGCTTATGTATACCGTTCAGAAGATCCCGTTACTATACATGGGTAATCTCCAGGCCCTCCCAACCTGATATGTACGATAACGGATTGTGGTAATATTCCGGACGTCCTTCAATTCAGGTGGAAGAATAAGAAAAAGCTAGAGAAGCTCGGAGAAACCCCCAGATCCAACTCGCCCCAATACCTAATCTCGAAGTCTTGTTCGGTGTCAAGACGGTCCATCACCGGTGAGGCATCACGCTGATTGCCATCTCCTAGAACTTTAGAAACGACACCTATAAGATCTACTTTTACCATTGGCCGCTCTCCGTCTGAGGAATTCATTGCCACCTTCTCGTCTTGAATGTTATATCGAGTTTCTTTAGGGCATTCTCAAGCTCCAAAAGAAAGCTACTAGTTACGGAGGTCTGCCCGCCGATAGGAGTCCATCCTCCCATCGACTCGTTAAATCTGCAGATAGGCGTTCCTTAGTGGATACTGGCTCTCACACGAAAGCCGCGGAATTGAATGGTCCTCTATAAATCCATAATCTTCTTCCCTTGCAATGTCTTCATGGTCTCGGAGGCCAATCCGCGAGCAATAACCGTTTTTGGATCGGTAAGCATCAAGCAAGCGTTGACTGGGTGGTGAGAAACTCGGCCACGAATCCATCGAACAAGGGAGTTATCATACACAGGCTCCACCACTGAAACACTTGTAAAAGGTTTCTAGAGACAACGGTATTCCTGATGGTTGCTCTGCGCGACGACGAGATATTCTCACGTCCATAAGGGGGGCGTTAGGAACGCAACAAGTAGATAGAGAGCGTTCAATACATCTCAGGTTACACCCAGTTTGACAGAATCCATCTCCTATGCTTTTGACAATAGCGCCAGCGTACACCTCGTAGATAGAGATATAGATGGGCTCTATCCCACACTCATTTGAAGAGCTCAGAGCATTGAATACATCTCGAGTGGCAGCCCGTTTGACAGAAATTCCTTTGTCCTGACCATGCAAGCCGATGCAGACAAAGGTCAGCTGGTCCCTATACTTGCCAATACGGCTTCGAGCTCGGCGAGCGAGATATTAGGAACGCAGCCACTGCCATTTTCGGTAGGACTTCGCGTTACGAACACAGATCTGCACTTTAATTGCAATCTCTTCAGCCACGGCCATTTCACATATCTGCTCAGCAGCATTTGTTTGCAGAAGAAGCTAGACCTAGCGAAGAAGGCGTGCACTCATCACGAAGGTGAAGTAATTGATCCGCTCTAACCGGGCTTTTCCCACCATCTGCGGTAGTAGACACATTTTGACCTATGAGATAGTTGCCCGCTAGGCTGCAGTACAGGCAACAACACTGACGGGCACTGTTCAAATAGATATATAGATAGGCTCTATCCTTCACTCATTGGGAGAGCCAGAGCGCTCCTTCAATTCAAGTCGCGACAACCCAGTATGGACAGAGACCATCTGCAGGAAGTTGATATCAGAACGAGATTTCTTCTTCCTATCTTTACAGGTTGCTGCAATGTAAGCTACATCCTCACCGTCCATACTCGCATTCTCATGATTTTTCATTCGTATCAGCTCCACTCCACCTTCCTTCCTCGAGCCGCTTGCACAACCCCATACACCCATCTCAGCATACTACACCGTCTCCCCCGCGATCCTCCTCACAATCCTCCCCAACTCCTCCGGCCGGCTCACAAACGGACTATGGCTTGCATTCACCGTAACCTCCTGCATCCTCCCCTTCCCACCCTTCTCCCTCAATCAGCTTATTCACATTTGCCACCATCCCCTGCTGCGCCTGCACCAGAATCGCCTCATCCCTTTCACACATCACATACGTGCTCTCCACAGCCCTCCACGCTGCATACGTACTCTTGCTCCAAAGCGCGCCGTAGCCCTGCGACTTGAGGCTGCCCACCAACTCGTCCAACACCTTCTTGTCGTCGATATCGTTGTAAAACGTCTCTACGGGTGTCTTGGGCGTCAACGCCTTCTCGTGACTAGCGATATCGAACCATACTAGTGGTTGCCCCCCGAGATCGTCCATGAGGCACACCCCTTCATCGACAGCGAATGCGCAGCAGTAGATCAGGTGCACGACACCGCCCTTTTACCCGCGGATTCGCGATCAGACTTCAAGAGCCCCTTGCACGCGGAGGTGCCGGGGATGCCGCCGTATGAGTGGAAGAGGATGACGACATCGGAGCCCTGGTCGGTATGTTTGCTGATGGTGGAAGCGATCACTTGGACATCGGCGTCGAAGTTAGGCTGGGGCGGAGATGAGTCGACGGAGGCTAGGGGAATGCCTTCGACGGTGTAGCCATGCTGGGTTAGGTAGTTGGTGAGCGGAGAGAAGTTGGAAGGGCCGTGCCAGGCGCCGGGGACGAGGTGGATGGCGGGCTTGGACATGGTAGCCGGTAGCCGCGTGGCTTGCGATAGTGAGCTGGTGAATTCGTTGACCACCCGTGTTGACCTTCAAGGAGGTTGAGCCTGGCTGGAAGGGTTGTAGTAAGTCAGATTTCAGGTTATCTATGGTAGGCCATGGGGTCCCTCTCAAGGCTAGACAATTAGTCTTAGATATGGGTATTTTCAAGTCTCCTGGCAAACCACAAGAGCTTTCATCATAGAAGGACCGTCGCCCTTTTAAACATTCCTGGCCCTAGCTGAGCATACTGCAACTGGTCAGCACCCACATCCGGGATTCGCAACCCCTCCTGTGAGCTTGTTTCTGAAGAGCAGGAAGCAAACAGTCATGACAACAGAATTCGTGGGCAGAGCTTCGCCCATATCTGAAAGCTGGGGATGTCAACATGACTGATTTAGCTCGTTTAGGGGACCTATCCGAGGGCCATGGAAATGGTGAAACACCAGAACGAAGTATCTGTGATTACCGAGTGCGGTCATATCAGCATGTATCAGAGAGTAGTCTGTATGCTGAATGAGCCGGGAGCTTCGGTGTTCCGTACAGACTTGGTGGAAATGTGCAACTCCGATGGAAAGGCGGAGAGTTGTGGTGGATTTTCTCGGGGTTGCCTCGGATTGAAGGTCCCAAAGCGGCATAGCGTCTTAAACTGGCGATGGAAAGAGGAGAAACGGGGTAGCGGATCATCCTGGCAAGCCCGTATCTGTGACCATTCAGATCAATGCGATACGTCTCGCGACGCGAACGAACCTCAATTCGCCGCACGTCGCAACTACGTCGGGTAATGTAGTTGACGTGGGGCAATATTGTCGGAAAGATGGAAGACGACCCTAAGTTTGCCAATGAAAACAGCAGCTCGCCCATTTGACCTTGTTCATCACGTAGCAACGACGCAACCAGACTCCATGCATGGGACTCAGCATTGGTTTGTTGTTGATGTGCTGATCGTGTGATTTGGGCTCGGTGCGACCAAGACTGAGGGCGGTTCGGACAAGCACTACTCCGATTTTGGCACCTTCGATACAACTCATGCAAAAAGGCTGAGTGAAACCTGCAGTGTCTTCGCAGTCGCTGGACTGAATATCTGGGTTTCCAATTGTATGAGACTGTGCCAGCAGACTTCGATAGGAACACTGTTCGACGTTTTATCGATTGGCATCAATATCGGCGGTCATGCTCTATGGCGCAATTGCAACTATTTCTCTTGGTCGCTCTTCAGCGGGGCACGGGCTAATCACAGAGATTCAGCGAGAAGCTTCTACAGGGGTTCTTAGGGGTGGAAATCTTCCTCGAATGCTTGGAATTATATGCTCGCAAGATCGATGGTCGGAAAACTGCAGCCTAGCAGGAAGCCATCTCATTGGTCAACATATCCGAATACCCACAAACTTCAGGCCGGATGGCAATACACGTAATTTAGAACGCGTCGTAACGGATGTAAGGACTGCTACTGAGCTGGGTCTGCGCTACTTTCTTTTGAAGATGATTCCATGTCCTGTTGTGGAAAGTTTGGTGTTGAATATGGAAGGGTCGCATCGTGTAAAAAAGTGATCCACTCGCTTATGATCCACGTTGGGTAATTTGAGCATGCTTACAAATTACGCGTACAAGTTAGTACGCACTGTAGCATTTCCGAAACCACTTTTTGTTTTTCTACGCCTCAAAGTGAACACTTTAGACGTACAGCAGTAACCGATTAGCAAGCCCATTGGAGATCATGCAGAGAATCTGCATATATAATGCTAGACTACGCACGCTTGTGTGCCGTGATTTTTTAAACACCAACTAGGAGCCGATCACCATTGTTTGTTCGTAATCCATCTGATTCTGACAGCTGCCAGCCGCTTTGGCATTCCAAGGTCCAGCATCCCACAATCATGGCGCGGTCGAATTTGTTTGGCGAATTGCCATCGAATGCCGCGTCAAACATCGAAGTATATAACTTACATATTCCTGCTTCGGAAATCAAGAATATGCAGGATCTTCTAAGGCTCAGTCCTGTAGCAAGCCCTGTCTACGAGAATTCCCTTCCAGATGGCGACCGTCACTTGGGTCTCCGCCGAGACTGGCTAGCCGAAGCTAAGCGAGTCTGGGAAACGGATTTCGAATGGCAAGTCACTTGTATTGATTCCTTTAGACTTCTAACATTTGCTTCAGGAGGGAGACAGAAAACCACGTCAATTCTTTTCCCAATTTCCGAGTACCCATCGATGACGAGCTCGGGAGGTTCAACATTCATTTCGTAGCAATTTTCTCAAGTCGACCCGACGCAGTTCCCGTCATTCTGCTTCACGGATGGCCCGGCTCTTTCCTCGAGTTTCTACCTATGCTCGAACTATTCAGGCAGAAATATACGCCTGAAACTCTTCCATACCACCTCGTGGTTCCAAGTCTACCAGGGTTTACGCTCTCGAGCATTCCACCTGTCAGCCATGACATCAGCCAGGTGGATGTGGCGAGAATCATGGACAATTTGATGAAACGAATAGGCTTTGGAGAGGCATACATCGCGCAAGGTGGCGATGTAGGTTCTAGGGTGGCTAGAGCCTTGGCCGTTAACCACGATGCGTGCAAAGGTAAAAATTTTCGAGCTCTGAAAACCCACAAAAATTATAGATTGCTGACAAGTTCTGCAGCTGTGCATCGTAAGACCTTTTTCCCTTGAGCCTTTGGTCATGACTTGGTCATGCGAAGAGAAAACTGACTCTGATCAGTTAATTTCTGCGCGATCGGTCGACCCGCGTCAGCAGTGAACGACTCGGCGCTATCCGAGATCGAACAAGACGGACTCAAGCGTTGGGAAGCCTGGAAAGCAACTGGATCTGCATATGCCCTTGAGCACGCTACAAAGCCCAGCACTGTTGGCTTCGTCTTGAGTAGTAACCCTTTGGCACTGCTGTCATGGTACACCAGCTGCAGCTCTAAATCACTGACGCAGCTAAAACGTCTTAGGGTTGGTGAAAAGTTTTTGGATTGGACAGATGCTCCTCTCCCCTTACACACTATCCTCGAAGCAAGCAGTCTTTACTGGCTAAGCAAATGTGCGCACAGTAGCTTGTGGTCATACCGTCACGTAGGGCTCATCCGTTCCTTCATTGAGAATACAATTTCGGAGACACTGCTGACATATCGCTTGCGACAGTCATACGGGCCCCAACCTATGCCACACGACGATCCAGAATATCACATCAGGGTCGCATTTGGCTATTCTTACTATCCGAAGGAGCTCATTCCCATTCCGATAGAGTGGGTAGCGACAACAGGGAATTTGGTGTGGAGCAAAATTCACGATCGAGGCGGACATTTCGCAGCCTTGGAACAGCCAAATGAATTCATGGACGACCTGGAAGCGTTTGTTAGCGACGTTTGGGGTCTTTATACATAATGACATGGTCCAATTTGTTGAACTGGGCCCCGGACTTGAATAACCTAGATGAGGCACAGAGTACCAACGGCCGGCCCGCTTCTCCCAGGCATACTGGCTCGCTACCCTGCCTTTAGGCTCCAAATTTTAACTACCCTCCATCATCTTTACCGCAATCAGCCTGACTGCCCATTCATCAATGACAGTGTCGTCATATTACTTTTTAACATCACGAAATCACCTTCCCTCGGCTGAAATCAGTTATGGCTACTAGGCAGTCAGGTTGTCTAGGCCTACATTATACGGACGCAAGGATGGCGTGCTGCAACGGACTTCGAATACAAAATCCACGATTGCACTTGGATGATCTTGACTCAATTCTTTGCCTATCGCTGAGTTTTTGTTGATGCTTTGGAAAAGTCGGACCTCGAATGTATGACGAGATGCACGAACGAGAATGTAGATGTACCAAAGGAGATCCTCAATCGACGAGTCTACTTTGCTGTCACTGTCGCGGCCTTTGGCGGTTCGTTGTCTGGGAACGCCTCCCTAGTTGTCGTCGAAACAAAATTTCATATGTCGAGTTTTGACGCTGACCACCTTGGATCAGATATGACAACGCCTTCCTGGAGGGAACATTGGCTTTACTATCATTTCGCTAAAAGTTCGGTCTCAATACGGCAAGCAGGACATAAGTCAGCAATCTTTTGTCAAACTGGGAAACAAGTTGAAATGTATTGAATGCTCTCTCTACCTCGCAACTAGTCCTGCCAGTTTGCTGGTATTTATACACGTTTGGTTGACCCCTTTTCTTCTCTTATTCCTACCCCTATATCCTACATAGGAGTGATAACCCTTTTTCCCAGTAAAGGGCTCATGCTACTGTCCAATCGTTCAACAGATTTCGATGTCTAACGCTAGACTAATTTAAATGTCCCACGTAAGTCTAGACATCTGAAAAGACTGACTTCGTACTGACAGAGGAAATGTAACACCCATCACGCCACGAATTCCCAGCCACTGCAAAGGTGGCAGGAAGGGGGCTGGGCATTAGAAAGGAGGCAGGAAGATGAACGGATCGAAGGTATAAGAAGAGCCTTCGAACCCTTAGGTAGTGTCAGGGTGGGGACGTACGAGGGAGCGAGAGTGGAGATTCGACAATGATATTACTGCCCAATGCACTATAAAGTACAAGACGAGAGACAAAGAACACGAAAGCAGTGCGATACTATCCCAGATACTTATGGCCAGCGGTGCAGTCATACCGCAAGGCTATCACGCAGGCACACAAGGCTATCGACAGGCACATGAGGCTATTCGACAGCCACAGTGGGCCTGCCAAGACCGTTCGAGGGGCTTCCAAGGTTGTGCCATGACAGGTAGACAGACAAGTTTCAGTACATTACCATTCCACACCCTACCTTGTGCACTCGCAACGATTTATGATCCTTCTCTCTACACCCCTCGTAACAGATCGATACCCTTCGTTGATATCGTTGTTACAGGAAAGAGTTCTCACTGATAAAAGCCTAGCCCTCGCACAGCCTAACTAGGGGAAAAGATATCTGTTGAACAATTGGTGACTGTCAGGGCGGAGACGTGAGATAAGCTTCGAGGAACAAGGGGGGAGATTTGACAATGGTATTTCTATCCAATGCACTATATGACGAGAGACAAAGGGCATGAAAGTAGTGCAAGACAGTCCTAGATACTTATAGACAGCGGCGTAGTCATGCCACAAAGCTCCCACGCAGGCACACGAGGCCATCTACAGCCACAGTGGGCCCGCCGAGGCCGTTCGACAAGTTCGGAAGGATTGTCGGGGAGCTTCAGGTTGTGCCGTGATAGTGACCTTGTCGAACAAGGTCTCACTGAATGGTTGGAGAGTAATAAATGCCCCTTTATTAGGAAAAGGGGTTATCACCCTTTTGCAGGATTTAGGGGTAGGAATAGGAGAAGAACAGGGGTCAACCCAGCGTGTATATTGTAAAGGTGATGAACGGTTTAGCGCTTGAGTGCCTGTCATGCAGGGAGGATGTCGTCGTCAAAGTCGTTGAGCAACCACACACAAATCTCTAATTACTTCGTTTTTCTATGCTCTGTTTTTCTTCGTGTGCATGTGTATGTTCTCCTTGGAAAACTAAAGGCTCGACGCACTCCTCAACTTTTTTGACCACTCATGTCTACTTGCCCCTTACACGCAGCGCCCCGCTACGATAAAACCAACCATTCGACGACTTTAGGCGTATACCAGAGACCGTCTTCTGACGCCTATACGTCTGCAAAAGGGTTTTCAAGACATGCACGACTCTTTAATCCTCCCGGACTCTTCATAGCCACTCGCAAAGACGGTGTGCACTCCCCCTTGTCGTTGTCACGAGAGTACTCCCCTTACGGCGCTAGTCTATACCTTAACAGACACCCTTCTCAATACGAGCAATATACCAACGGCGTAGGGGGACTTATGAAAGACTTGCTTAATCTCAATGCGAATACTACGATGGCGTTTGGCTGCAATGGGGGAGGTAGCAAAAATTTGAGCTACTGGTTCTAATGCTCCGCGTTACATACAGTAGGTGCTGGGTTGATGGATTTGGCCCCTTCATTCCTCAAGCCGAGGTGGCGCTTGCGCTTTGAGGCGTCCCATATCCAACGTTAAAAGTCTCCGGCGTGGTATGCCTGACATAGAAAGCCTGAGGTATTATGTCTCCGAACATACCAGCACAATGCAATCACAATATTTATATGCTAATATCGGTCAGGAGCGCGATGCTAGGAGTCAACCTTTCTGCCACTGCTTCCGTCCAAGCAACAACTAGTCTACAATGTTTAGCGAGCGATTGACTGGGATCCTGCTGGCTTTCGCCCAAAAGCTCACCGTGACACAGGCGTTTCTGTTTCTTCTCGCTCTTTTCCTTGCTTTGCAGGTGCTCCTCACCATTTATCGTCTTCTATTCCATCCTCTGGCCAGGTTTCCCGGCCCGAAGCTCGCTGGAATATCTTACTGGTACGAATATTACTACGATGTATCGAAGAAGGGCCGATTCATATGGAAGATCATGGAATTGCACGAAAGATACGGTATAATGGCTCGAGCCCCATTGATCCCGCGACACTAACTGGCGAAAGGGCCCGTCGTTCGGATCAACCCAAACGAACTTCACTTCAACGACCCCGAATTCTACGATGAAATATACCACGGCAAGAAAATGAGGACGGATCGCGACCGGTGGTTTAATCTCGACCACCTAGGTCAAGGCCTTGCATTCACTATCGACCACGACCTACACGCCAGACGTCGACATGCTCTCTCCCCATACTTTAGTATGCAATCAATACGAGCACTAGAGCCTCGAATCACCGATGTTGTTCGGCTCATGGTGGATCGTCTCCACGAAGCACACAAGTCCGGCACAGTTCTCAATCTCTACTACCTCTTCTCTGGCTATGCACTTGATATAGTCTCGGAATATGCCTTTGGCAAAGACATCTCGATGAAGTTCATGAGTAATCCAGAATTTGGCAAACTATGGGCTAATCTGACCGCGGAGACAATACAAATAAACAACTTTGGCAGGCAATTTAAATGGCTCATGGTGTTTATGATGTCTCTCCCAGAATCCATTATGATCAAGCTAAATCCAAAGATTGCTCGGCTCATAGACTGGCGAGGTAGCATCGTCGGCCAAGTCCGGCAGGTATTGGACGAGAAACTGGACGAAAAGCCAAAAGACGAACCGACGACGGTGATCAGGGAGCTGGTGGGCAGCGACTTACCTCCAGAGGATAAGACTTTACAACGTTTGTCGGATGAAGCAAACATGGTCGTTGGAGCAGGAGGCGAGACAACGGCGCAGACGCTTACTAGGACGTTTTACCACCTGCTCCAGAGCCCCCGCGTCATGGAACGACTCAGAAAAGAATTGAACGCTGCCATACCCAGTCCCATGAAGATACCCTCGCTAGCAACACTACAGAATCTGCCATACTTGAACGCAGTGGTGGATGAAGGCGTTCGGATATCGTTTCCCGTGCCGGCGAGGTCACCCAGAATCTTTCGAGACCACGCCTTGCAATATGGGGAATGGACGATTAAACCAGGAGTATGCAACAAGAGATAATTTAAACGAAATCGTGCTAATGCATCTCATAGACCTCGGTCTCCATGTCTCCGTGGATGGTTTCGATGAGCGAGAAGATTTTCCCGGAGCCGTTTAAATTCAAACCGGAGAGGTGGCTGGGAAACAAGGAACTACGCAAATATCAGGTCACATTTGGTAAGGGAAAGAGAGCGTGTCTGGGGATCAAGTAAGCCTGGAATTCCTCCCACACCCCTAGAGCCCGAGACTAACGTCAGTTTCCAGCCTCGCCTATACCGAGATGTTGTTCGCCGTGGCAATGATTGTCCGCAACTTTGAGTTGGAGCTGTATGAGACCACGTGGGAAGATGTCGAGATCGTGCATGACTTCTTCATGGCGCTTCCAAAGGCGAGCTCCAGAAGTGTACGAGTCGAGGTGACGAAAGAGCTCTCATGAAGATATCAAGACATGACAACAGTCATTCTTGTTGGGGCTTTTTCCACTTCATTTGCACTGTGTGATCATAAAGTTCCGATTGTCGCGGTATATTCATCCATGAGATACTTCTCGTGCTGTTGAGGCTCGACCATCTTTAGGATTCACGTTCTACGCCACTCGTCTTCCTAGTGTGTGATGTAACACATTTTGAAGAATTCCGAGTAGTCTCGGTGCCATCCGGATTGTCCCTAGTCGATTACTCAAGGAGACCCGAAGGTCGATGTAGAAACGATGTTGAGAGAATGGATGCAAAAGTGCACGCGCATTGGGCTACGGAGGATTCCCCTACTCGGAGACTATCTAAGGATAATGAGTGACTTAAATAAACAATTACTTGTCTAGGTAGGGACATGTCTGCCTGCTGTAGCCTAGAGTCGAACTTTGAGGGGGGGGGGGGTAGGAGGGTGAAAACTCGTGTGTAGATTGCAGCCATGGAAAGGGGAAGGCCCCTCTATATAGGCAAAGGAATAGGGGTTCTTGGCACTAGGCACTAGCTGTTTAATAAAATCAAATCAAACCCTATTTCGACTCTCTTCATGCTACGTCTTGTACCTAGAACTAAATGTTAGCCGGAACACGTTGATTGAATCCTCGCCCTAGAACCATCACAGTACTCGACGGAGCTCATAACCGAGCGTGGACAGACGAGCCTTGACGTCGAGATGATCCATGGATCGGATTCGATGGGTCGTGATATTTCATCGGATCTAATCCGTGGACCATGTGGCCCCGGAGGGGATCCCACTCGACATCGATATGGTTCATGGATCGGATCTGATGAACGATCAACTATTAAACTGGGTGCAACTTGGGATGTATTGAATGCTCTAAGCTCCTCAAACGAGTGTGGGATAGAGCTTATGTATATATCTATCTATGCGGTACGCGCTGGCGTTGTTGCCTGTTAATAGTGTTGCACGCTATGAGGTGAATGTCACAGAATGATTTGGTTTGCCATGAACGATAGGTTACCATTTGTTCAACAGATTATTTCGACACCGACATGATTTCCAGAGCCTTAAACTCCCAAACCCCTTGTAGCTCACATTGATAGGGTCCGTCGATCTCGCTCTTCGAGGGGCTAGCGCAGCAAGATCTGAAAACTCCTTTAGTCCGCCGTCAACCCTCAGGAAACTCTACCGCGTCCGAGCAATGTCATGGATATTGAAAGCCCGGTTGGCTAAAAATTGAAGACGAACCGTACGATTTCTATTTCGAGCCAGGCAATCGATGGACTCAGGATCCCATCTCTACATCCACACAGGTACGACAACGCTTGCTGCGAGGCCCCGCCGTAGACAGTCACAAGCAGTGCTGCACACTCGCGAGTGCCACTCGTGAGTGGCGACGGTCAGCAATCACGAGTGACACCCGCGAGTGACTTAGTCGACCCATACCCAAAAGTCGCGAGTAAACCATCCATGTACTTGGCCTTCTCCGGGTCCTCCAACCAGCGCTTGGGCCGCCATTCGTGTGCGTCAGGACCGAAGACTTCGCGGCTCCGATTCATGATCCAGGGACTCATGCTCACGTGTGTGCCTCCGGGGAGGACATGGTCGCGGATGGTGATGCCAGAGGGTGGGACGTATCTCGGTAGCTGAAATATGATGCTCGGATGAAGTCGAGTGCTGGAAATACTAGCCAAATCAGCCATACCGAAATGATGCAACTCAGCCTTGCTCTAGTAATTCTCATTCCACGATGGACAGAGGAGTAGAGTAGAGTAGGGGGCCCGGGGATGTTGGGGAACGAATAGAGACAGGGTAAAAGAGCTGCCGCTTACCTCTCCTTGATAATGGCTTGTAATATTGGAATCTCGAGGCACTGGTTGTAGGTGATCTCGTCGGTAGGCAAGTCCTTTTCAAGCCAGGAGCGATCCAGTTCCTTCTGCAGCACTCGGTATTTATCCGGATTCAACAGGAGATAGCCGAGACACGCTTTGATACCGATGCTTGTTGTGTCGGCATGGGCACCAAGGGCATTTGCTGCCTCGGATAGCACGTCTGGATGAGAGATCGGAACGGTTTTGGCCTCGAAAAACTGCTGTAGCATGTCCCGACGATCGCGGATCCCCCTTGCACGACGCTCTCTGATTCTTTGGTCGGCTTGAACGAAAAAGTTGGGATATGCGTTCACATTGTCCTTTCCGAGGAACCTTGGAAGGAATTTTGAGACTGGGTTGCGGATCCAGCTTGACGCATGTCAGTAGCGGCGTTACATTCGGTGGGGAGAGCTATGAGACCTACAGTGTCTAGCTGGGGATATAGCCCAGATTTCCCATATTGACGAACGCCGTCAATACCGAATCCATAATGCCACTTTTGTCTTCGCCAGTCTTTAAGAACCCAAATGGTTCGCCGAAACCGAGTTCTCACACCACGTCGTACGCGAAAGCCGTCACCCACCAGTCCAAGTCAATAGGCTTACTTTCTGCGGCAATTCGGTGGAACTGTCCCCAGTTGGTATCCGCGATCCGCTGGACGAACACCTCGGCAGCTAGTACGGAGACATCGAATACGCCTGTGCCACCTGACGTCTCCTCTTTGCGTGTTTAGCGTTGTCAGTCTCTGCAAAGAAGCTGATCGATTTTCCGGAGGACGGATTCCAAACATGGTACCTGTCGCATAGGTTTCAGTCACGCAAATTTTGGAAGGCAGCCGGCAAAGACCTGGGGCTCTTACCAATCATTCTTGAAGCAATCGTTAATGTCACAACAAATGGAGCCACATCAAGGCACAGGGCGAGGGCTTACCTTTGGGGCGGCTCCTGCAAAGCTGTAGATCTTTCGCAGAGCATCATGGTCCACGAAACTGACTTCGTTCGTCGCAATCCGCACCGCTGGGCCTGGAATACCAGCCAAAGACGAAAAGAATGCAGTGTAGATTCGGGAACAAAGTGCTGTGCACAGAAAGAAAACTGCGCCTGTGCGAAGCGTGGATGTAAACCATTTTTACGTTTCGATACCGGGGGCGTCTCCTCCCGACAAAGGTTACGGACGTGAGAGTCTTTGTCTGTGTTGGCTTTTAAGACGGTCGCGACGCCGACCTTGGATTCTGGAGTGCCAAGGGTGGCAAGCTATGTTTATGTGGGGTACCCCTACCTACAGAGCCGTATGTACCGTGTCGTGAAACATAACGCCTTTTCCAGGTGAAGTCGTTTTATGGGGTTTCCTGAACCATTTGATAATGAACGGGAATCTTTCCTGCCGCTCCAGCCGAACTGACCGCCTGTGCAGATGGTAGAGCGACAGTGGCCAGGATCCATCGTCGATCAAGGGAGGGAAATCTAGAATTACATTCTTCTGACTAGGCACTCTCTGCAGGGCCGGAGAGCATGTATTGAACGGCAAGCTCGGCCATATTCTAGGCCTCTTCGTCATCTGCTTCGTTGTCTCGACCCACCTCCAGTGTCTTATGTTGTTCTGACGCTGTGCTTGCCCGATCATCACCAGTACATGAAGCGGCCCAGTCCTGGTCATCATCTTCCCTGTCCATATGCAGTAGATCTGCCAAGTGCGACTGAGCAGCGACTGCCTTGCCCAGCAGTTTCGTCAGGACTCGAGCGCGAACCGAAGCACGTGTGCTCGGTGACCCGACGGCTCGTTCAAAAGATCTGGTTCACTGGAGTTTGTGAGCCGTCGCTGTGGCCTAGGATCAATCTGTGCCGTTTCCCGGACGAACACGAGAATTTCTGGACTCGAAATTTAGCGCAAACAGGGTAACAGTCAGCATCGTCGGACATTGCGACTTACCATGCAGGACAATAAAACTACCCGTGATGCTGAGATTGATTGTCACCTTGGAAGGTCCGTCTCGGAGAAAGTGCCAGAAGATAAGAGGATACTGCGGGTTTGTCAGGTCTGCAACCTGACTCATCCTCTCCATCCAAATGACCCGAGTTGAGGCAGCAAAGACCTCGTCGTGCGTCGGCAAGTGGCGTCGCAACTCCACTGCCAGCATGTGTTGTTTTTCGCGAAAAGAATATGGACCTCACAGAATCCAGGAAGTATAATGCAAAGACGGTGCTGCGCTGAAGATTAGTATCGTGACAACACATCACCAGAGAAAATTTTCGCTCACTGACCCTGACTTTCTTGCTCTGCCCATCGCTCCCCAGGTGGGTGCAGCCACTCTATCTACCTGGAAATGTGCCTTCTCTCTGGCTAGTGGGACTAGCCCTCGGAAATCAAATGTCGGCTGAAATTTCTTGCGGGGAACGTAGAAACTGTCGAGCAGTGCCAAATGGTATAGGCTTTGAAGAGTGTCCAGCGGAAAAGCGTCGTGTAGAAGTTCTGACTAGTGGACAACTCAGCGACGTAAGGTGAGATCCCGAGGGGCGAGGGCAGGGATTGAAAACAGAAGACCACAAGAACGAATTTACTCACCTCAGCTAGTTTCTAGACATAGCGCTCTGCCAAAGCATATAATTTACGGACCTCGAGACCGATGACTTTCACATCCCCGGTATACATTGAGCCCACAAGGATCATTGACAGTAGCAGATGTGACCGAGTACCACCAACACTCCATTGGGGAACATGAATGATAGAAGTATGTCTGTGAAAACATCGAAAGTAGGCCAGCAGACACAGTTTCATATTCGTGCAGCTTAGCCAAGCCGACATATTATCGGGATTTTCAGGGTCTAAGCCTAGTCCCTCGCCGAGAGAGGAACGATGGCCTTCGAATGGGTCAAGCTGTACGAGATTCATGCCCTCTGGAAGCGATGTCGACAACACCCGTTGAATATGGCCATTGTCAACAGGAGAGGTTTGTGTCATAGTTCCCAAATGGTGATGATGGTTGAAAGTTTAGACCGGGCATGGCTATATTCAAAGGAGAGGCCGCAGCAAGGTTGGAAGCGAATCTGTCAAAGACCATGAAGTCTTCCGCGAACCCAAGACCAAACGGATGCAGTGAAATCTGCTACGGATCGGGATAATCCGGAAAAAGGATGCGGAGAGTGTCAGGGACATTGATCGAATTTGGTCGGGAACAGACTGGCCAACAAAGACATCTGAGCCGGCAAACGGTGCCATTCTTTCTGTGTCGGGTGCTGAGCCAACGCTACCTTGGAACGGTACCCGACCCTCAGAGAGTGGCCATCCTTGAGCTATAGTGCCATTTGCCGCCAGAGGGTCGGTCAGTTGATGGTGCTGCTGCACGGCAAGGCTCGGATTGAGACTTTCCACGAGCGTCGGTGCACCTTGAGTCGGTTGCACAATTGTTACGACCCCAGATATCTTGGGACATTCTTCAGGGATTTCTGCTGGCCTCTTGGGCTGATTTTTCGGATTTGTCTGGGGTGGGCCATGTACGGCAGCGATACCTTCAATTTCAGAGTTGGAAGGCGAACAGCATGTTTGGTCGCGGGCGCGTCTATGTTGACTCGTGTAACATCCCGACATGCCACGTCGTAAACAGAAGGTCCCAGCCATCGAATTGAATCCCCAGCCTTCGTAAAGTGGCAGGAAGAAGAAGGCTGGGTGCTGTGATAGAAAGGATCGAAGGGTATAAGAAGAGCCTTCGAACTCTTAGATAGAGAGATAGGTTTCAGTACATTACGATTCCACACCCTACCTTGTGCACTTGCAACGATTTGTGATCCCTCTCCCTACACCCCTCGTAACAGATCCTTACCCTCCGTTGTTACAGAAAGTCTCATCTTCTAGCCGCTCTCGTCTGCTACTTTGCTGCTCAAGATGAACGAGTCGTCTATCTACCGGATTGCCGGTGCCTGCTCGATGAAACTGTTTCCTACGTTAAAACAGCAATGCTGTTCGCCTGGGCCGACGATTTCACTACTCAAAAGAAGATTATGGTTCTAAAGACGGAAGACCAGATTTGGAAATTCCTTAAGAATAAACAGAACGTCATACTTGTCGTTGATCAGATGAATGCCCTTAAGACGAAGGGCGTTGCGAATAAAAGGGCCGAAGGCATACGTGAATGGTTAATCAGTTTCACCGCTTTCAATAAAGGAATCTTTAGTTCCTCTGCAAATTCCACGACCGACCTTGAAGAGTTCCAGCACGAGAGCCCGATCAGAGTTATAACCGTTTATGGCGGTTCACTAAGGTAAGTAGTATCAAATTTATGTCACAACCAGGTTCCTAACTTACTTAGACGGAAATGGAGCAGTGGTGGAAGCAGCATAAAGATATTGATATGGGAGAGTATTCCTCGAATAAGATTGAAGACTTTACGGGCCGCATTCCGTTGCTCTTGAAGCAATGCGCGGTGAAGCAATACGTGATGCAGAAGGTGATTAATTTGAGGAACCCCGAACTACGCCAAATCCATGGTAATTCTGTGGATTTTACGCAGCTAGTTAAGACTGCTGCTACGAATTCTAAATGGGAGTGGTATGTTCGACTGATTGGATACTCAGGATATTTCTGACTTTTTAGGTATTGTAACTACGTGAGAGCTTGCGTCCGTAACGAGCCTGCCCCAGACGAATGGAGGCAATTCCTCGAACTGATCGACCATCGGTACTTTTATCGCGATGAGAACGACATTGGACATTATACCTGTGGTTTGGTTCGTGACGCGGTAACCAACAAGCTTCTCGAGTTGGATGTTACTTTTATCGACATCAACTTTCTGAATTCATTGCCCGACTTTATCCATAATCGATCTGTCGTCGGGTATATGATGGAATACGCCATCCTCGCATCCATCCGATCACAAGGTTTAAGGGTTGGTGAGTGGGGTAGTAAAGGTATGGAGTTAAGCTTCTTCCAGGCTCAACCCGATATTCAGTTCGACATTCGCGATCGGCCGATACTTTTTCGCCCTCGACAGACCAATTACAAGACGATCGATGGAATAATTGTCTTTATTATGGACCCCAAGAGAACCGGTAAAAAGGAAAAGCCGACATTACTCCTCTTCCCCCTTCAGATCACAGTGGCCAAAAATCACTCGAATTCTTATCTGGGATTCTTGCATGAATACCGCCAGTGGGCTAAGCGCCAACTATCGAAGTTTGATATCGAATTAGAATTCCTCTGGATCACCCCAAATAAGAGCGACTTCATACAGCACCCACCCGATTCACCGTGGCCTAGACATCAAGAGCGTTATATTCCTTTCTCGGAGATTAGCACAGATATCTGGATTCAGTACCAAAGAGCAGAGAAAGCCAAAAAAGAGAAAGGAGGATGCAGGTCCAGAATAATCGGAAGGTTACTGATTTCGCTTTCGTGGTCAATGTCGTCATCCCTTAACAGCAGTGCTGCACACTCGCGAGTGGCTTAGTAAGCCAATAAATAGTGGTGTAGACATATAGTAGCTTCTCTTCTCTACTTCCGATAGTTCGGTTGGTAGGAGAAGATAGGACCACCGGAGCTACGTCAAGTAGCATATGATCTCTTATCAATACTTTGCACCTCTTGTGAAATTGAAAGGTCATTTAGCAGCGCCAAAAAGATGGTCGCACCTGAGAGAAACAGCCTTGGAGATGCGAGTTACTGCGTCATTGGCGGCTTAATGGCATCGTATTACCGTCTAACACCATGGAGTATGAAGACGAGGACGATGCTAACAATTTACTCAATTTGGAAAGTGTATGCGACGCGAGTAGATATTGCGAGTGACCACTCGCGAGTGTGCAGCACTGTTAGACGGGTTGTTGTTTGAGGGGGCCTTTTGACTTGGATCACTTCAAAAGGGCAAATACTGCCACGTCCCAAGACCGGGACTTAGACTACATATGGAGAACGAATCAGTTGTTATAGCAGATGCCGATCTCATCGTCGATATCTAAGCCCCATGTATCGATATTTGCTAGATATATCGCGGATATCGTCGGCTTTCCTAACTGGGTATACTGTCAGGGCGGCCCCTGCCAAGACACTAGATACCGGGCGAGACGCAGGCTTATAACCTGCTGTTGGATGATGAGAGGTCTCCATGGGCAACGACGTTACAGATGGTTGCTCTGTGCAACAGTGTAGCATTCGTGTGTCTATAAAAGGAGCCTCAACACCTCGATAGGTAGATAGGGAACAGAGCGCTCCTTCATCTCAAGTTGCACCAGAAGTTTGACAGCCATGAATCGTACGGCACAGGACACCGTGATCAACATCGTCTACACACGGTCCATAGACTGGATCCGATGGAGGATATCGTACGGCACAGGACACCGTGATTAACATCGTCCCTGTAAAGGTTCGAGGTCAAGGATACAAGCAATGTATTCTAGTCAACATCGAGTTCTAGGTACAAGACGTAGCACGAAGAGAGTCAAGATGGGATGCTACGCAGGAAGTGCTGAAGAACCCCTGATTATGTAATCCTTAGCATGTGGTCCCGTGACAGTCCCCACGTGGTCCATAGACTGGATCCGATCAGGGTGGCCTGGCAGACCAAGGCGGCATTCTACCCATTCCTGAGTGGGCCGTGGACTGGATCCGATGGAGTTAGCCAACTAGAGCACGTGATTGGGTATCGGATTATAGATTTTCCGGGCTCCGACGCACTCTTCTGAGTGGGCCGTGGATTGGATCCGATGAGGTCAACCACAGGATTACGTAATCCTCGGATTATTGATTTTCCGGAGGCTTGGCTAATCACGTGACACGAGGGCCTGGCGGTTGCCCGTAGACTGGATCCGATGGCGCCAGAGTCGTCGGATTATAGATTTTCCGGATCCCGAGGGGTCGCAATTACGCATGTGTGTGCCGCCAAGAGTTGCCAAGGCCAATGTGGCCGGCTCAGTCACGTGATCTCTCGAGCGCAGCGAGGCCGGGGGTTTGGGGGCTTGCCCCCAAAAGACAAAGCTACGCTTTCAACCCCTCGCGGAATATCCTGTCCGCGACCCCTGGTATTTTAGGGCCTAGCCCCTAAACCCCCCCAAGCCCTACTGCGTTCGATATTGCCAAGCCTCTTAAATCGCGTGATTAAGCCGGCACGTGAGTGAGACGTTTTTAGTCACGTGATTTATTTTTGGCCCATGAGTAGCCGTTATTAGCCAGAATAGGCAACGCTGGCTTGGCGTGTCACCGCAAGCAACGACACCTAGGGCAACTTGCACTCCCAACCTTTCTACTTAAACAACCACTCAATCTTCTCCCCATCAATTAATTAATCATCCTCACTGTCACCGACAAGTTCTCTACCGTGTATACTACACTGTTGCTCCCTCTACCCTCATAACCAGATCGAAGACCCTACCTCCAACTTCGCGACCCCCTATCCCACGGCAGTTCGTGTGCGCTTATCTTGGGCGAGTTTGAACTCTCCACAACCTACCTGCGAGTCGTCATCTCATACCATCTCCCTCGTTTAACCCTGCTTCACGTCGATCATAATGAACGCTTCTAATCAGGAAGTTGGGCAAGACCCGAAGAGAATTCCTACAATTCAAGAGATGGAAAGTTGGGACGATGAGCAATTGCTCGAATGGATCAAGAATATACAACCGAAAATTTTCCGCGATAACAACGACGTTTTGACATTCAAAGCGGCAAGAATTAGTGGCTCTACCTTCTTGGATTATGCTGGGGATACAGACTTCTTCAGCAAAACTCAACTGCCCCTCGGAGTCTATGGTGCTCTTGCATCCCTTGCACAAAAAGTTAAGAAACAGAGTAAGATTAGACTGTGGATATAACTCAGACACTAGCTAACAGTGTTAAGACGATCAATCGGACCAGACAGCTAGCCAAAAGAGGAAAGGTAATTACGCCTTTGATGTACTATACGACAGCTCGCTAATATCGTTACAGAGGATGAAACAGATTTATCTGACGAGTCGCCCATTTCGTCAAAAAGACGTCAAAAATATAAAGATAAAGAGGAAGAGGAAGATGAAGAGAAAGTCATACAATTAGCCACTAAAGCGAATAAGCGAAGAAAGGCCGTTAAGGATATGATTACCCAAATGAACGACTCTCTTGACCAGCATTCCGATTCCGTCGATCCTCTTCCTGGAGCTGTCGATAAACTTTCCGATCCCACATTAAATCACACGCTCGACTTTCCATTTATCGATAGTATACCAGAACGATTCAATGAGCTCAATATAGCTGAAGGAAAGTGGCTATATATGGGGAGAACGATATTCGAAGACTTTCTCCGCGAGGTAAAGGAAGTGCGAAAGAGTCAGGTTTACCGAAGATGTTGGCTCTATGGAACCCAGGGCTTTGGGAAGTCTCACCTTCTAGCCGCCCTCGTCTGCTACTTTGCTGCTCAAGATGAGCGAGTCGTCTATCTACCGGATTGCCGATGTCTGCTCGATGACCCTGTTTCCTACGTCAAAACAGCAATGCTGTTCGCCTGGGCCGACGATTTCACCACCCAGAAGAAGATTATGGCCCTACGCACTCAGGACCAGATCGAGAAATTCTTCGAGTATCAAGAAAACGTCATATTTGTCGTTGATCAGATGGATGCTTTAATAAGTGATGGTATTCCAAATAGGAAGATGGCCCTAACACTATATAACTGGATGATTCGTTTCGCTTTTTTCCATAAAGCAATTCTCAGTTTCTCTGCCAATTGTACGACGAACTTCGAGGTATTCGAACATCAGACTTCGTGCCATGTGGTACACGTCTATGGCGGTTTCAGTGAGGTAAGTGGCGTTAAATTTGTGTCATAACGAGGTTTCTAACTTTGTTAGACGGAAATGGAGCAGTGGTGGAAGCAGCATAAAGATATTAAATTGGGAGAGTATTCCCGGAATAAAGTTGAAGACGTTACAGGCCGCATCCCATTGCTCTTAAACCAATGCATAGTGAATAGGAAGTTTGATTTAACGGCCCCTAAATTGATCGAAATCTCTAACGAATCTATGGCGTTTGCGCAGCGAATCAAGTCCACTACTACGAAGTATGCTTGGGAGTGGTATGTTCGACTAATTTGATGCTTAGAACATTTCTGACTTTTCAGGTATTGCGACTACGTGAAGGCTTGCATTCATAACAAGCCTGTGCCATTGGGATGGACGGAGCTCATCGAACTGATCGACCATCGATACTTTTACCAGCGTTACCAGGGCCACGACTACATTGGAGGATATGCCTGCGGCATAGTTCGCGACGCTGTAGCAAATCAGCTTCTCGAGTTGGATACTAAGTTTATCAAGATCAACTTTCTGGCTTCATTGAGGGATTTTATTGACAATCGATCTGTCGTTGGGTTTATAGTGGAATACGCCATCCTCGCATCTATTCGGTCACAAGGTTTGAGGGCTTGCGGGGCGGGTAACGAAGGTATAAACTTCAGCTTCTTTACGAGTCAACGCGATATTCAGTTCGATATCCGCGATCAGCCGGTACTTTATCGCCCTCGACAGATCAATTACGAGACGATAGATGGAATGATTGGCTTCGTCAAGACCCCTAAAAGAACCGCTAAAGGGGAAAAGCCGACATTACTCCTCTTCCCCCTCCAGATCACAGTGGCCAAAAATCACTCGAATTCTTATCTGCGATTCTTGGATGAATACCGCCGATGGGCCGAGCAACAACTATTGACGTTTGATATTGAATTAGAATTCCTTTGGATCACCCCAGATAAACGCGACATCATACTACACCCACCTTATTCACCGTGGCCTAGACACCAAGAGCGTTATATTCCTTTCTCGGAGATTAGCACAGATATCTGGATTAAGTACGAAAGAGTAGAGAGAGCCAAAGAAGAGAAAGGGGGCGGTGAAAGGGAAGGAGATAATTAAAGAAAGACGATAACGAGGGAGAGGAGAAAGTCGAAGAAGTCGAAGAAGGCTAAAGAAGTGGACGCATAACACGATCTAAAGCAAGGCGATCTCGGGTAAGACGATCTAGAGCGCGCTAGCGGATGCTGGACAAGTTTATCTCAACAGATAGGAGAAGTGAAGGATACAGGCCTAGAATAATCGGGAAGGTTACTGATTTCGCTCTCGTGGTTAATGTCGTCATTCCTTGAAGGACTTTCAGCCGCCTCAGCTCGTGTATAGCCATCGACTCGCGGAGAAGAGCATTAATGTTTTCTTTTTATGGTTGTGGGAGTAGAAGAACGAGATGACAAGCTATATCGAATATCGTTACGGCGGCTCGAGGTAAAGTTCGTGCTCGAATATAGCGATAAGAGCTCAAAAAGTTATTCATTCGAAATCACTGGATAATTCCATATCCTTAAAATATCGGGGGGAAAGATAAAGATACTAAAGACTTTGTGTGGTAGTCGAGTTATCATTCCGAACTCTATACATACTATAAGCAATTCTATTGAACTGTGAGACAATATATGGCAACGATTTCAGCGTGGCA